AAAAAGGTCATATTTGATTTTCATTGAATAATAAAAGTACCGAAGAACATCCTACTGGTAATACGAAAATAGAGATGAAAATAAATTTTTGCTTCTCTCTATAAAAATTATTCACTAGCCAACCTAGCTTTGATCGCGTATTTTGTGAATGTGAGAAATGTGGGCTTGCCGGCTGATAGCTGCTATCGACCTTTGATACGATCTGCTGTGGTCATTGCAAATGCGACGAACATCCCGATTGTCGCGCACGCTTCATTAATTTTGTGCATCGGTGTTTGGCACTGCGAGAAAACAGGTGGTGGTGGACTAGTGGTGGCGTCTGTCGCGCACAGCATGCTAGGCCTTTCTGCACCCGCGACTGTTTCAAGTTATTTGGCATTGATGAACGAACAAAAAATCATAATATTATTAATATTTGGCGAGTACAGACATCTTTTTTCGCAAACTGGTATACGGTCAGCTCGGCGCGTTATCGCCCTTCAGTGTCCGATCAAGCTAGATCGGACAAAGAAACGACTAGGAATGATAAGGTTTACTCTAAAAACTTTATGGGTATCACAGGTCACTGTGAAGATAATGAATTTGCACTGCAAGCATTTTTTCTAATTGCTAACTTTGGTCATGCTAATTGCCGGCATCCAGCCGGCGGCCAATCCTGATCAATGCATACCGTCGAAAAATGCATGCATCTCGTGCACTTTCTTGCAATCACTGATAATTAGGCAATTCAAAATTACAAAACTTTATTTGTTGTTTTTCTGAGCTAACTATGCATGCCCCGTAGTTGTGTTTAGTCTGCGCGTAGATAATATATCTATGTATGTATATCTAATATATATACATGTATGTACATCTTGTCAGGTACTTCGGCATTTCTTAGTAATTGTTCGAATAATACATCTTGGACAGTTGTTCGCCCGTTCATAGCAAAGCAGCAACGACTGTCTGCGAACATCATTTTTCATGTAACAAAAACTCGATGAGAGGGTCGACCATCGTCCCGCAATTGTTGAGAAATGTCGAAGTGCGTCAATCGACAAACCGCAGAACAGTCGATAAGCCTTGATTACTTGGACATAAGGCCGCGTACACAGATATGTAGCGTACCGTACATAATTTATGCCTGCGTCACAGGCTGCATGAAAAACTAGAGTAAGAATTGCGCAACAACAACTAACGCCTCTTTTGCAGAAGATAATTTTAACATGATACATGAACTTGTCTAACTTTCAAAGTTCAGTAATAAATAAGAAAAAAGCACTTCAAAGAGCACTCGCACCTCCATAAATTTAATCAAATTTGGTACATTTGATATCAAATTCTGTTACTGCTGTCTCAAACAAAAATGCATCACAAAACCATCCAGTAAAATCAGAACGACATCAGAATAGCAGGTCCCAAAATTTAAAAATCGTTATAAAATTTTGCAACGCAATATCAACCAATCTAGAAGAAACTCGATCATAAAATTAGTATAATTCCATGCTATTCTGACCAACAAAAATGGTTTTTCAAGCTCCGCACATGCAGATAACCGGCTAATCTGCTACAATGGAAAGTCTTGCTTTTTTCCATACAAATTAAGTCATTTCCGGTACTCTCTTAGTTTTTAAAGCCATCCAGAATTCCTTATTATTTGTTGCGCCTTGCAAGCACACTTAACCCAAACAACCACGGTGCAAATTAAATTTTAAGGGACAATCGTCAGTTCGACTATCATGATTTAAGTTCCATCTGAATTCGAACTTTTATGTGCCGTTGACAACGCCTTGGCAAGCACACTGAAAAACATTCCTCGACCCTGGATCGTACAGTAAGCTTGAAGTGAAAACTGATACTCAAATTACAGCGATTTACAATGTAATGGGTAGTGCGTGTCATGGGCTTTGCTGTCATAGTTATTTGATAAACTCTTCCTCGTTTCGAGTTTTACATTTTCAGTAGTTTTCAGCGTGAGAAAATGCAAAAGCTTCCAATTTGGACGTTCTTGTGTGCACATTTTATCATCTGTGTTGTAGCAAACGACAATCTGCCTGGTAAGATGCTCTGTTCATGAGCGCAACTATAAATAATATCAAAGCGCTGTTAAGCGATACTAATTGTTTTATAGTCGTTGTACCATCAAATACCGGCAAATTGGCCTCTCAGCCTTCGATACAATATCGTAACGTAACAGTGGGTGCCACTGCCGTCTTCAATTGTACCATTCCCGGAAGCAACAGACAGCTGAACGTGTCTTGGCCGGTTACTTAATGGATCGACCATAGTTTTTGAAGACCAGCCGCGATTAACCGATACTCGCCAGTATTTAACACCGGACAGCGGACCATGGTCAAGTCTCCGCATCACCAAGGTAACGATCGATGATAGCGGCGAGATGAAGTGTCGCGCCCGAATGGGAGAGGAAATAGCAGAAGCGACCGTGTACTTTGCAGCTCGTCCGCTAGGTGAGTCAACCACTTATAGGGAAAACTAAAACGCTGTCTGGGATAACAATCTAAGGTATTAAACACGTTTTGTATTCATTGCATACTTATCTAATCACATAATCACATCGAGTTTTTTCACTAACTGCTAACATTTTAAGTTGTTAATGTAGTGTTAGTGTTATTGTAAGTACTAACTGCATTCAATTACCTGCAAGCTGCGCATCCACATAGTTATGGACTACAGACTACCTCGTATATGTCAGCGGCATTTAAATCATTTCGACTTCTAAAAATACAGTACTAAGACATAACTAAAAGTGCGGTCACTTTGACTCCCAGCAAGTTGGAGTGGTGCTCTTACTTACAATTTGATTCTACTACAACATTAAAATTAAAATAACAAAAAAATTAAAATAACAAGCTGAACGATTAATTACCATTCTCATTTTCAGTAATTGAAGTTCATAACCGGACTATTACGGATACCATCGCGTACATCCGCGACGACCAGGCCTCAAATGAACTGTTATTTGCCTGTTCCGTTCTGGATGCACCGCGAGACGCGACACTCCGCTGGTACGATCAGCAATCCCGCGAAGTGACCGCAGCGTATTGTAAAGGTCAGAGCTGAATGTACACTGACTTGACTACACGTACTATTACGCGATTAACGGTTGGTAATCATGCACAGACATATGCCGGGTGGACAACTACGATGCCGCATTAGAAAACGTTAAAAAATCCACAATCGTTTTTCATGCCGCGAATAAAGCTCCTGAGAGTCTGCAGTGTAAACTGGTCGATGAAGCTGGAATTGATCTGTTAAAGCGGAAACCCATAACAATGGATGCTGTCCGTACGTGTACACTTGAATACCACTAGTTTTCGAATACCTATGTACCTATTGGAACATATTCTATTCTACTGTATTATTAATGAATTTATAAGCATTATGCTGGTAATACATGTAGGAGCTGAAATAAAGGTCATTAATATTGCAGAGGTCATTAAATTAAGAACTTCTAAATCCGCATACCGAAATGAACACAGAGCTGTATTAGTGCTATCACCAACGTTCCCTGTCGTGGCGGGGCCATACAGCCGAAACTGTCAACAAACAAACAAATTAAACTAGCCGATGGCTAAGTACCTGCACAAGCTCGCAACAGGGCGAACGATTCATACTCCGTATCAAATAAAAACTAAAGTGTAACGTTGTTCGATTTTGCAATTCATGATTGGGGAATACGGTACTGTTACGTTGTAATTACCGATTTCTCAATAAAAGATCAATTATAGGAAAACCGAAATCGCCAAGAATGTTCCCTTTCAATGCCACAATTCGCGACGGAAATCAGCTGACAGCCCAATGTTCGGCGTTTACCGACGGAAGGCACCAGCCACGGCTATTGTTGTACTTTAACAATACAACAGTCAATCAAACCTCATCGGTTGTCGGCAGAAAATCAAACCAGCTCCTGCAAGTGAGCCACACCTTTGATGTTCACAGCGGACATCACCACGCTATGGTTCAGTGCATATCCGTTAATATTTTATACGAGGCAACAACGGGAGCGCCATCCGCTAAACTGCAGCTTGAGGTTATCTGTAAGTTTTGTGCCCCGAGTGAAGACGCTGTACGTAACTATGCAAAACCTGCTTTCAACTTTAGCTAAATTCTTCAAATCGTTACAGTCCGACACAATTTTGACCAAAGGAATAATAAAAAAATTACACAGTAATTAGTCTCACAATAATTAGTCTGTCATCGCTTTTTTAATGTCTGCAGTTGGTCCCGACAGTTTGTCTGTTGTGTTGACTGCCCCCAAGATCACTGCGCAAAGCAACAATTTCAATGTCCAGTGCAGTGCAGAAAAGAGCAACCCACCTGCGCACATCATGTGGTTAGTTGAACGTGGAGACGTAACCGGAGAAAATGTAACCGTCATAGCTAACCGCATTGCCAACAGCGCCGGTAATTTCTTTTCCCTTAGTATAAAACGCATTTATTTGATTTAGAATTCAGATTGACTAGATGTTGCCTAAATGCAGACAGCAGGCCATCCTGGGCCAGCGCGACGATCAAGCCCCATCCAGAAGCTACAAGTGTCGGGGTCACTTGCATTGCCAGCAATCCCCAAAGTGGCTACGACGTGCGAAAACGTGAAGTGATTCAGGTAGTAGGGTAAGCCAACCAGCCTTTACCAGATAACACGAAGGGCTGTTGTGCTTTACATATTTCCATTGTCTTCGGTTCTTTTCAAAGCACATTTACTATTTCTCTGTATCTATGAAAGTCGCATATTTTTGGTTTGTTCTATGTAATATTTTTCTATAGCACGTGCCACTTTGTTTACATAAATACGCTTAAAAAAACTGACGGAGTAATTCAATGAGTTAGTATTACTGTATCTCGGCCAACGTCAGACTACAGAAACTCAACGAACTTTGAAACCAGTCATACGGCTGCCGCTTTATTTTTACAGAGAGTGGTACACTTCCACATACGGTTATTATTGCAATAGTAGTACACATAGAAGTACGGATAGAAGTGCATTTTTATTTGCGGGCGTGAAAACGAAATTTTATTCAGTTGTGAGACCAATTACGTACGAAGCCGGAAAACTTTCAGCTACACTGTAGTAGAAAACCACTATTGCGAATGCCTTTGACAGAAAGTTCTATTTACGTATTCTGATTACGCGTACACTACATACGGTACAAATCAAGTTAACAACGTTCCTCATGCAGTTTTGCAAGTAGCGCTACGCGCATGCAGTATCATACCCGAAAAGCAGTGAGTAAAGCTGCATAAGAATTAATGCCAGTACGTCAGAGCAGTGATTAAAAATGTGCGTACTTTCATGCACGAATTTTGCGATGATACGCGAACTGATCGGATGTGCGATGGATGATCCACAACACCACCATCATCATCCCCACCATTCCCGCGATCGCAGCCACCGATAGAGCGCCAATTAAGGCAGCGTCAGGTTTATCATGATCAGCAGGTTGGTTCGCTACGTGCAAGAATTCGGTGAGCTTAGTAGGCTGGATGTCTCCAGTGATTTCCGCTCCGGTCTCATTGTTGGCGCTTTCGGTTTTCACATAGACCACGGCAGTTGCAAGAACGATTTGACCGCTGCCCGGTTTCCGAGCCATGCATTTGATACTGATGGAGGTGGCACCGGCTGCTGGTGTTACCCAAATTCTACCGTACGTCGTTGCCCCACCTAGCCGACAGAAATGCGCTTTAAATTAATAAAAGCCTGAAGTCCTGTACAAGCCAAAGTGGTTCTTGTACACAGTATAATCAGCGTACCATTTTTGTGTTCTGTGTGTGTGATGGATGTTCCACACGACTTTCCCGGAAACGCAAACCAGTGAAGCCTTGGCATGGGATAGTTATGTTCGGAATGGCAGCGGACTTCAAAAGTTTGGTTGGGCGAAACAGTGGCTGGCGCAACCACAGTTACCGAGCCGTCCTCGGGGGAAACTGCCAATAAAAAGGGAAAGATAATTCGTAATCGGTGCATAGTCATAGTGCCATACCGTTTCCAACCTTTCACTAAATAGTACGCCGACAAAGAGCACCGACCGCAAAAGCATAATAAACTCGGTAAACCCAGATCATTTTTCAGTGTTTCAGAATTTCAATGAAAGTATGACAGAAAATCACAAATGTTGCAAGCAGTTTACAATCATCACAATCATTTGGGAGAAGAAGAAAGGAAATTTCTGAAAACTTTCAAGCTTACTGGTTAATACCGAATCATTCTGCCACACCCGGGGGTTATAATTACTGAAGCACCGGAAGTATCTAAAATTCTTTCGTTTTGAAATTCTTTGCTTACGAGGTCGTAAAAAATAACCAGAAATTAATCAGGAAAATGATTTGCCGAGAAACTCATGGATGCTGAATTAAATCTCAGGTATTCGGCTTGAAAAAGCTCTACGCGTTGTCAAGGCAGTAAAAATTACGTGGCGCCTTACATAATACGCGAAGTGGCAGTTTGGCGAATGGTTCCATTTCCTCGTGGGTTTGGTTAACGGCGTTACACTTGACCCGAGCGGCGTTATTTTCTGGGTGAACAATGAATCGATAAGTCACCATTATGCGTTGGCTTCGCACAAAGATGACGGATTCGGCAGTCTTCGTGTTGTTCATGTACAGAAGCAGTTTGGGTGCGTGTTTTGGATCTATGTAGGCAGTGCAGGTAATAGTGGACGTTTCGCCGCTGTGCAGTTGAATTTGATTATTTAATTTTTTTGTAACGTCCATCCCGCAAAACTGTGGCTCTCCTGCAAAATGTATTATAAATTATAAACAGTTGCGATTGCTTTTGGCAAACATTTTCTCAACTAAACTGCATTTCATAACACTAGAAGGGTGGACGATCGTTGCCAATTTGTATTTCAAATTATCTAGGAATATCGTTTACCAGTAAGTGTTTTCAGCTTGACGATGGCTGACTTTTGCGCGGTGCCTCCGGTACTATTGATCAGTTTACAACGTAGGCCATTCTTGGGAACGAATTTTACAGCAGAATACACAACGACGGCTTTCTTGATATTCACAGAGTCAGTGTAGCTTTCGACGTCGCAGTTCTTGTCTGCAATATAGTGGATAATATTTAATAAAGAACTCAAAGAGTTTTTTACAGAACAAACGTTCTTCGAGTAATTCCCAGTTCCCACCCCTGCAGATGATCGTGGTCAGCTCGGTTTCCTTATCAAACCAGCTCAATCTGGCGTCTTTTGGTGCGTACTTGATCGCACAAGTGTACGTTACTTGGGTCGTTTCGCTGGGGATGTAGGCGATTTCGTCGATGACACTTCGCCGGTTGACATCTACCGCTACAATACAAACAGTCAGCATTAACATAAAATGGATGACAAATTAAGTAGACATCGGCCAGTCGGTCCGCTGTCGCGTTTCATCCACTTAGGTGTTTATATGTATGGCATGTACAATAATACGAGTACATAGCAAAGTTTATGTACTGAGGAATTATGAACATGTTCGCTTACCGATTGCGCTGACTTCAAAGGTCACCGTGTTTTCGACAAGCCTCGCCTCAGTCTGCACCTGGCTTGTAACCGTGCCTTGATCGTTGACCTGGACGTGCTCGATGGTGAGGGTGGACGTTCCTGGTTCCGTTATCACAGCGTATCGCGTATTCTTGTACAGCGTCGCATCCAAAATCTTGGCACCGTTATGCTGCCAGGACACCGTTTTCTTTGCAATATCGTGGTGCCTACACGTGAACACAGCGGGAAAACCGGCAGGAACATTGTGCGTCTCGACTGACGGTCTTGTAGCTATTTTGCTGTTAATTCCTGAGTTCGAACCAAAACAATGTCGTAAATAAGCAAACTTTAATACAAACATCTCTTGAAGATACTCTTACCAAGCGGCAGGAAATCGGGTGGAAGTGGATCACTTTCTGCCTGTACTTGCTGGCACAGCATGCCCGTGACACCGATCATCCACAACAAGAGCGTCCACATTGTACTAAAGCGGCTGTATACCCTAGAGTACTCTATAAGACATAAATACAAATTACGAAATACGAATATGTGCAACAATATATAATTGTATAATAATTTGTATTTTACGAGTAGACGATAAGCGCTGCATAGAATACATATAATTATTCACGCATAATTATTTTTAAACTAATGTGGCACTGCTAACACGACATCAAAAGATCCATATTCGGAGGACATTTTATCGAAGCCTATTATGTAATAAAAAAGGAAAATTGGGCTAGGAATATGAGCGAGAAATGGGAAAGCCTTTATGCACGTCTTAAGCAAACGGCAAATGCGATCCGGTTCCCTAATTGATGGGTATCCGTTATGGCGTCTGCGTACTATTACTATCTCATCTCTGTCAAATTACCAGTATCACACTCAAATTTCCATATAATATTTCTTTTATTGCAATAAGCGCCGCGGAGCTTAAAAACCAGGAGATTCCATTAATTGATAGGCAATCATGATCCCGTTTTAATGCGACATTTCTTCAGTTCCTCACCTTAAGCTTCTGTAATCGCACTAACTGCAGAGTCCAGGCCCACTTTAGTTCCTCCAGTTCAGTTTTGTCGATGAAAACTGGAACGATTTTTAAACTGGAACGGTTTAAACAACAAAATAACAATCAGTCCGCATCATGAAAAAAGTGCATCGGCAATAAATACAAGAAGAGCAAAATTGCCATATTGTCTCGGAATGGTTGCGAAATTTCCTCTAATACTCGTATGTAGTGGATTAAGTAATTGTGTAAGTACAGAAAACAGTCGTGCCATGAAGTATACGACTCCCTCTTCGCTATTATAAAACCGAGAATAGCAAAATATGCAATAAAAGTAATACATAAATGCATAGAACAATTTGCCACCTATGGCAGGAATCCAACATATTCCTTATTAAAATTCAAATTATTTTACGGCGCCCAAGATACGTAAAACAATCAAATTTTTTTCCACGCACCGATGCAGAACGAGTGAAAACCTTCCAAAACATAGGCGAAGATAATACGAGGGAAAAACTGAGTCACACACAAATATATACAAGTGCAACAGCCGTACAGTGATTCTCTGAATCAATCCTGAGAATGGCATATTAAATCCAGAGCTGTGCTTAAGAAGTTGGTCGTATGATTATCATAAAACAAAAGCGTGGATTCCGGATAAAACAAAGCAAAAATAATTTATGAATGGTAACGATTAATTTAATTACTATCACCCGTGCATGTGGTCATGGCGTACAAAGACTACAGTAATCCGCAGTGTCACTTTTCACCTGGCAAATCATAAAAATTCGAATGCCTCCTATTTGCTTCCACGTCTATTGTTCGATCGAGGGTTCAGGAATGTTTTGCGGTATGCTCGTCCAGGGGTAATCGCAATGTTCACAACTTCATACCGGTGCATGGAGATTCGAATTCAGGCTCTCGAGTAATTTTAAATCGGCTCGTAAAAAGCTTCATTCTGCTTTGTGATATATAAATGCGATACTTCTACTGCATCTTGCGGCGCATGCAAACAGTTTTTATCGTTTACGCTGATAATGGTTTGCAGCCTTGCACGATCGGGGGTACAGATAGTCCAGCAACCACACAACCACCACCACTATCAGTCTCACAATGCCAATCATATTGAAAAAAGCAGACATATGTAAAAACATTTAAAGTGTTCGGTAGTTATCAGTCGGCAAGCCCACATTTTTTCAAATTGCACTCCTGCTGTCAAAGCAGTGGCAGCACGCGACACGTTGGTGGACTGTGCTTCGGAAATGTCATTATTCTCTCCTTTACTCGTCGATTCAAGTTCACTTCCGGATCGCTGGTAATTTCTTTGATTTTTATCGAGAGAAAGTAACAACACTTTTTCATTTTTATCTTCATGTTCATTGCTTATTCCAGGAGCGTATAACTTTAGCGACTACATGTCTTACAGTGCCTGTTGGACAGTACGACCTTTGTGCGTGGAAAATCCAACGCGACATGCATGACTTCTAAAATTAATACTCGCTTTCAAGATATCATATTTAATGCAGTTATGGTTCTCATTTATCTTTCATTGCTCATCACATGGATTTTGTGTCCTTTTCGCGACTGCGCCGACAGTATAGCTATAGTATCGAAATTCACCATTACCGATGCAGGCAACACGGAAAAGTTTGTGCATCTCCATGTACACAGGGACACTGGCACGGTGTACGTCGGTGCTGTGAATCGCTTGTTCCAACTGGATCCGGATTTAGCGCTCGAAGAATCTGTCGTTACCGGACCAGTTGTAAGTGTCTTTGACCGGTTTTTAAGCAGGGTAGTGTTTGGAAAGGCTGGAATTTGAATTTGTAAACTTATTAAACAGATTTTCTTAATTTTTGTGTATTCTTATTTTTAATTTTCATCATGTACATTGGCGACGCATAACAGAAATGTACAGCACATGTACAAAAATTTTGTATAGTACCGATATTGCACTGGCTCCCTGCATATTTGCCCATTCAGATAATTCTATGCGTGCAAGTTGCAACAGTGAAGCTTTACAAAATTGCATAATGATGATATTTTCATGAAAAACTTTTGATTATTGTTTGATGCAACTTGTAAATAGCGATCACGCAAACGGAAATTTTAAACCGTAAAATTAATATAAAGGCGATCATATTGTCTTATCGGTAGGAAATATCAGGATATTTTTTTCCAGGACGAAAATTCAGCATGTCCGCCGCACGACGACTGCTCCGGCCATCCAAGAGCCCTTAAACCGAACGAAAACCCTGTTCTGATTCCGTACTACGAACGCGAACAGTTGATCGTCTGCGGGACAGCTAACTACGGTAGATGCGTTATGCGAGATATGAAGAACATTACGGAGCTGCTAGAAAGCGACAGCGTAGAGGAGGCCGTTATACCGATGGATGCAGAGTTGTCGGTGGTGGCGTTCGTCGCACCTGGGCCGTCGAATGCTGTTGCGGGCAGCACCAGTCACGTTTTATACGTTGGAAGATCCGTTTACGCTGGATCGGAAGACAACTTACTGGCCCTAAGCAGCCGCAGTTTAGATCCTCGTAACCTTTTCCAGCTGGCCTACAATGACCTTATGACCGGTACCGGCACCTATGTGATGGTCGACTCAACAGCGCGGCAACAATACAAAATCAACTATGTGTACGGATTTGCTTCTGGAAGATTCAGTTATTTCATAACAACGCAACCGCGTTCAACGGATCGGTATGAACCTTTACAGAGCAAACTGGTTCGCATCTGCCAAGACGATAAAAATTATCATTCCTACACAGAGATGCCTCTGGTCTGCGTCAGTAAGGATAAGACATATGATGTAGCGCAGGCCGCGTCCATAGGAAATCCGGGAGCAGAGCTGGCCGCAGAGATGAATATAAAAGTAACGGATGATATTCTGGTTGTGGCCTTCACGGACCAAACAAAGGAAAACGATCGAAACCGGCCAGGTTCCAGTTCGACTGTGTGCAGATACTCACTGGCACAAATTCAGCGGCAATTTGCTAATAACATCCGGCAGTGTTTTACGGGAAATGGGAAGACCGGATTTAGTTTCAGCCGGCAAACCAAGCAGTGCTTAAAATCCGTAAGTTGTGACGGTTTGTGATAAAAACCATAGGAACTGCAAAAAAATTACCGCGGTAAACGAGGCGCGTGTTGGGATAATATGCAAATACTATAGTTAAAAAATATGTAAAACAGTTCACACAATGAACCGAAAGTGTGACCCGTAGATTGCAGTTACCCTGATGCGATCTCGTTTTGATGACCCATACTTTGAACATTTGTATATCGTGTTTGTTCCCATGCGAATACCTATCCCTCTTTAACTGATACCAACAGAAACCGATTTAATTTTATGATGGTATCCACGAACTACGAGTAGTTGCTTGGTGTTATCTAATATCAGCGGTATATGGTGCAAAATGGCAGTGTTGTACTGTTAGAACAACAGCAACACGCCTACTTCCGGTGCCATGTCACGACTGACACGACATGACCGGCTAGTTCTGCATTCTGTTTTTCAGTTGGCTGAATTAAGCAAAGCAGATAAGCTGCACTCGCACTCTAGAGATAGTTGCTCAGAAGAAAAAGCTAAAAATTCAATCGTAAAATTCTTATTTTTATTTAAACTGAAGTTGGTCAAAGGTTGCAAAAAAATGTGAGCAATGAGCACACAACGGCCGCCCCGCTTTGAGTCCATTCACAGTAGGCTTTTAAAAATCTTTTCCGCTTAAATTTCCATGACGGTTGTATACCTTCAGACTATGGTTAAAAGTTGGCTTGCGAGCCACTTGCCCTACCTGTTTCTTCCCCGGCGCTTTGTTCTTTAATTTGTCACTATTAGTAATAAGTGTAGTAATAATATGCAATAATTTCTACTTTTCTAGCACAGCCCTGCGTGTGCACTCTTATACAGTATATCGAGCACTACATGTCAGCGTTAGGTACAACATACCGGCCACATATAACCATAAATCAGTCCCCTGTTAGGTTTTCGGTGCGTCCAGCACTGTGGACTGGCAAACCCGACAGAAAATGTGTTGAAAAATGATAGGCAGAAAATGTGTTGAAAACTTCTCGAATTATGGGGCTCAACGGCAGCTATCTCGTCTTAAAAAAGTTTTTTATTGCAGTACCTAGAAGTGCGTGATGATTTCTGCGGCTCGGATTTCAATTATCCAATAAGCGGCTCAATTCCCATAGCAGCGGCTTCTATTCTGACGTATCCGGAAGGTCGAATTACAGCTGTCGCCCTATCCGTCACCCACATTTACACTGTGCTCTTTCTGGGGACGGAGAAAGGGGTTCTGAAGAAAGTAAGTACAAAGTTTTGAAAACGGGTATCAGTATAATTCTACGAAAGGATGTGTTTTATATTTTAATATTTATATTGCCCGTATTGAAAAGCGATAGGGCAATCTGCAGAAATGTCGATAAATAACATAAGTTTCGCCCGTTACGAATTTTGTTTTTGGAACTTGGTTTGTATTCAACATATACGATATTTATTAAAGGTACTTTAAATACAGCTTGGTTTGTGGCTTTGTATATTGGATTAATCTTTGCAAAACTTGCACACTGATTGACATGATTGTTGTGCAGGTTTATATTGATCCCAAGCGACCTGCCCGCGAATATGAAGAAATTTCTCTGTCATCGGTGCCTATTTTGCCGGATATGCACATCTCCCCAGCGAAAGAATTTATCTACGCGGCCACAGCCTCGCAAGTTAGAAAGTTATCCTTGTTTAATTATTTTCTAAATAACTACTAGACGGCCTGAACCAGTGGCGTTACGAGTTCACGTGCCATTTGTTTAGATCAGCAAAATTCGCATACACAATTGCTCTGCGTACAACACCTGTGGAGATTGTTTGGTAAGCCAGGACCCGTACTGTGGATGGTGCTCATACGAAAATAAGTAAGTTTTGTTAACGGGAGCAATTGCTGCATATTCAGTCATGGAAAGCGAACACTTTTCTAACAGGAAGGGAAAACTCACACCATCTTTAGGCAATAGCTATAGCATTTGTATAACTTTGATGGGCTGCAAAAACCGAAATCCGCTTGGTCAATTGGCACAATGCATGGTGTGGCCCTGCCAGAAGAAATCTGAGGGAATAAATATAAAGTTGCTTGCTTGCTTGCTTAAGGCACTTTATGGCTTTTTACATGTTGTTCGGGAAGCTTTTGAGGAATCGTTAGTAATGATGTAGGTACCATACTGTATTGTGTTTAAAGGTGCAGTTTGCGGAGCCAATGCAGTTCTGCCTACTGGCTGCCGTTGGACAAACGAAAGTGCTTTCGTATTATCTCCGTCACGCCAAACCAGATACAGCGTACAACATCACGCACAGTAAGCACCCGGTGATTTGTAAGAAGCTCACGCGCTTATGAGTAATACGAATTCAAGTTGTTCTTGAATGTGTCCTGCGTTTCAGAATATCGTTCATGAATGTTTCTCTTTTTAGAAGACTTATTAATTGTTATTACGAGTATTATTATGGTACATATTGTTAATAATTGTTATTAATTGTACAATGGCAAAACATGCAGGGCTAGTAAGCAGTCAAACGCATATTGATAAAATATTTAAATTTCGATGTAGTACTTCAATTTTATGACTTTTGATGCAATGGCTGGTATCGTTAAACTTGTAAGCTGATATATCTGTAGTTGTTAACTTATAAAACCCTGAATAGTTTGATTTTTCGCTTTCCGTAATGCCGAGTGCTATTTTCAGATAGCTCTGGAAGTTGGACATCTCCCGCATTTTAATGGGCCACTTGTGTGTGTCTTTTCGGCACAAGGTCGCAGTCTGGAAACAAACGCCATTCGAACACAAGACGGTGTTTCCTGCTTGACACCAAGGGCAGATTTGTTACCTCAACTCCCGGATGGCGGGAATGCACTATCGGTCCGTGTTGCGATCCAAGAGGAAGGTACTGGAAACGAGTTCGGCGCGGACTTTGTGACCTTTTTTGACTGCGCCACGTTTAACGACTGCACCAGTTGCGTGGTGAGCCCTCTTCCCTGTGACTGGTGCCTCCAGAATCATCGCTGCACGTCCACTGCCGAAGAGGAGTGTCCCAGCGACTACCTGGTCAATGGGCATACTAAAAGCGGGTACAACGCACGCTCGGGACCGGATTTCTGTCCCCGCACTGAACCGGCTGAAGGGTTCGTCGAGGCTGGATACATCTTGGTGCCGTCTGGTCTGCTGAGGGAAGTCAAGGTCAATGTGGAAAATATACAGCCGTTCCAGACACGTCTCACCTGTGTGTTCAATATTGACGGTCAAGTAGAACGAACGGAAGCCAGTTATGTGGGCGATAAGGTGTTGTGTTCACCGTTAAAATTCGCCTACGACACAACGGCGCCGAATGTCACTGCGCACTTCGCTGTTGAATGGGCTGACAGGAAGCCGTTGGATAACCCGAAAAATTTGCATGCCGTTGTGTACAAGTGCTCGATGATGGCGCCAAACTGTGGGTTATGCCTGGATTTACCGAGCGAGTTTGAATGCGGTTGGTGCGAGAAGAATTGCCAGGTACAAGGACTACCAACAATCCAAAAAATACTGATTTGAGTATAGTATAGGTGGTACTTTCAATCGTTTCGTTATCTTGGTAGAGGCAAAATATCTTTATCATTCGATGTATCTGTAGTATAAATGCATACATATATGCTATGCCGGTAATTTAAAGACTTCTGGCTCATGAGTGGTTATCCAGATAACAAAAATATTTATACTGGTTGCAAATAATGATTTCATTACAGTATTTTATGTTTTCTAGGTAGCACATCAGTGTCCCGGAGTCTGGTTAAACAAAAACTCCACTTGTCCTAATCCCGAAATACAACAGTTTTATCCGTCGCTGGGCCCATGGGAAGGCGGCACAATGGTCACCATTAAAGGTATCAATCTGGGCAAGACTTTCGATGACATTGCCAGTGGTGTACAGGTAGCTGGCAGACGTTGCAGTCCCCTTCCAGACCGTTATGCATCTACATCAAGGATTGTCTGTCAGACGGATGCTGTGGAGCAGCTTCAAAATAACCAGATTCTAAGCGGTGACGTTCAAGTGGCTGTTGCCCAGCAGTTCATCGCTCGTTCCACTTCCGAATTCAGTTATGTCGACCCGCAGGTAATCGGCTTCTCGCCTAAGTTGGGACCCATGTCCGGCGGTATGCAGTTGACTATTCATGGTCGTTATTTAAACGCCGGCAGTCGTGTGGTCGTGAAGATAGGAAAGAACGTCTGCAATGTGCAGCAACGGAACGCAACGACCTTGACATGCGTCACATCGCGTGCCGACGCGCCGACGCGAGGCTCGATCGAAATGATAATAGATCGTGGTCGACGGCAGTTGAAGGAGCCATTGTTTGAGTATGTGGCGGATCCGGAAATAACGATAGTCACCTCCTTCGGATCCGGACAAATTAATCTAGGTCCACGAGGCACTGCTTCCGGTGGCAGTTACATCTTTGTTGAAGGAAGCAATCTCAATGTTGTTACCTTACCGCGCATTGTTGTGCGCTACAGTGGAAAGGATTACGAAGGCATCTGCTTGGCATCATCCGACATTCGGATGGAATGCCGCAGTCCCACCATTCCTGCCCTAGATTCCCCATTACTTTGGCACGGCTCTATGGAACGGCCACTGGAACTGCACTATGGTTTCTATTTGGACGACGTCCAGTCGGCGCGGAATATCTCCAGACTGGGCACACAGTTTCCCAAATTTAAGTTGTATCCCGACCCGGTGGTGGCCAACTTCTCCGACCACAACGGGATTAAACATCACAATAAAGAAGAATATTTACTTATTAGTGGTGAGAATCTAAATCAAGTGTTTCGGTTGGAAGATTACCGCGTGGAGATTGGCTTGGAAGTGTGCAACGTCACCTCTCTAACGCAAAGTCAAATAATTTGTCGCCCTCCTCGAACTGCGCCTCTGGCGCGCCGATTGGATGGAGATGTGCGCTGGGAAACGCAGCCAGAAGTCCGCGTTGCCATTGCTGGGCGACCAGCGGTTACCATCGGGACCTTGACATATGAACCGCTGACTGGTGAGTGTGGAATATTGTTAATCTACTGTACTATGTAAATTTTTTAATCAACAGAAACACACTTTTCAGTTATTTTAAAGCTGGTATCACTTGACCTTTCCAGTTCATCCTAGCACAACGCTGACTGATGCACAGACTGGTGCCATCGCTGGCGCAGTGGCATTTATGGTCGTGCTAGTCCTGATCATCGCGGTGTGGAAGAAACGATCACGAGGAAGGGCTACCGCACCAGTATCCAGCTTCGCAAGCCGCTTAGTTGAGAACATTGAGCTGTATGGCAAGTTAAGGGTCATCGATCTGCCTCAGTCGCTGTCACACCTGCCAAATGTACGTGCTATACCCCAAGAAGCTCTAAAATTCGGTAAGCAACCGTCGCAAATACAGCCACAGTTTACATTTTCGTCAGTGTCCGATATTTCAGAAGCAGGGAACCTGGGTAAAGGAGAATTCGGAATAGTGAGAAAAGCAGTGGCCTTATATGTACCCGGTTGGCCGTGCCCGTGTCCTGTTGCTGTCAAACAGATACTGGACTACAATGCGGAAAATTCTCAGCGAAATTTAATCGAAGAAGTCACCGTTCATAGCCGCTTGAAGCTTCATTTAAACGTCGTTAATCTTCTTGGGATAACGCTATCTGGTGAGAATAGTCATCTGGTCTCCCAGAAAAAGTATGCAGTGCTTAACGTGTTCGTTTTGTCATTAAGGTGACGCCATACACGGAATCGTATTAGAGTATGCTTCGCACGGGTCACTAATGAAATATTTGCGGCAACAAAAAGAATTTGTCAGACCGCAAAACATGCAATCGGCTCTACAGATTGACGAGCAAGGCTATCTTAAGCCCAGCGTACAGGATGACCGAACCCAATGTCCCCTCAACCAAAGCGACCTTATTAATTTTGCTTACCAAATCTGCCGCGGCATGTTACACTTGACCAGTCATGACGTTATCCATCGAGACCTGGCCGCTCGCAACGTCCTAGTCTGTGATAACAAGATTGTGAAGATTTGTGACTTTGGATTGGCCAAGCAAAATTCGGAATACTATCGAATGAGGGTACGGTAATGAGCTGCTAGGTTGCAGACACCGACATTAATTTACCATGATTGTGCGATTTAGTGTGACATTGTCAGCCACGAAGAGTACGCCTTGCACTGTTAATTTTGCTAACCACAAGCTACAGTCGGTACTGCATAAAATCGGCTTGCTCTAAACATATCCGTTACAGAATTGATCATAACACCCCGAATATCTAGAGCGTATTGTAAAGGTCATAAGCTGTCAGAGAATTTCCTTGTGCAAACGGTTTTTTGCCTGAAGGTAAATGTGAACGGTTAAATGGGTGACCTTTTCCCTGCCCTATAGGACAAGAATACACCAATGCCAGTGAAATGGATGGCACCACAAAGCGTCATGGATTTGACCTTTTCGGTGAAGACGGATGTGTGGTCGTTTGGCATCGTCATGTGGGAAATCTTTTCTTTCGGGGAAGATCCATACAGCGACATTATCCGGAATTTCTCGATCGCGGCTATGCAGATGACGCTGAGTAACGGAAGCCGACCGCTAAGACCGCTTAATTGCTCAGAAAAGATGTAAATGTAATAATATCGGCTTTTTGGTATGCGCTGACTTGTGCCAACAGTATTTGCAGAAGCGCTTCTTTTCCTTTGACAGATATGAAATCATGAAGTACTGTTGGAACTACGATCCTGTTGAACGGCCCACGTTTGCGGCTCTTAACGGCTTAATAGAGCCACTTACCGAACAACGTGCACGTGATACCTATGCGGTTTTGGATCAGCCATATCGAGCGTTAAACATGGACTATGTTACTATTAACTTAGTTTCGGAATCCCGCAAGAGCGCGAGCGAGGTTGAATCAAACCAAACTAATGCACCTACACACTCTGGAGCCATGCCAAGGCAGCATGTGGATGTGGGTGGTCCCTCTGTCGATGCCGTTTGGTCTGGTGCCCACGATGTATGCATGTCATCGTAAAGAAGTTTCCAGGGAGGTATCTCCGCTCCGACCGGAACCATCAGCAGGATCTTCTCGACTGAAATCCTTTCTGTTAACAAATTCTCGCTGCTATCTCGGCTCCTGCCCTAAATTCATATTAAAACTGTTGATCTACAGCACATTACGTTATTGACTCAGCTTATTCTGTGGCTCCAATAACATCGGAAATCGTCGAGCTGCAACTGGAAAGTGCCGCGTTTGTGCCTGTTTTCTCCTGTATCCTGCTCAGCCTTCTGGCCGGAATTGCCAGTGCCATTAACGAGACTGGAATCCCTGTAACAGAGTTGAACAATTACTGTGGCTTTAACGCCATCTTCATTTATCCCGATCCCCAGCCTGTGTATATAAAGTGCTCCAACTACAAGAACAGTGCCACGGACTATAACTATGACAGCGGCTTCCATCCCATCAACTACATGCAAGATGACAAAGGAGCCATGTCGCGCGCTATCGAGGACGCCGTTAAGAAGGTCAAACAACGCTTCTCCAAGAATAGCTCCACCTTTAAAATTAATAATATGAAATTTTACTTCGAAAGCTGTGAGGTCATACAGTGCTTTATCATTACAGTGCAAAATGTAAATGAATAGTAACAATGTTAAGTCCAGTTAAGCGGCGTTCTTATGCGGATTAGCGTCGAACGAAAATACCAAAATTTTTGGAGCCCGAACTGCTCGATCAAATTAGTCTGTCATAGCGGCAAAAGTTTTGGGTGATTGTCGTAGCTGTTATCTTGTTTTTCTCTTCTTTTCCCATTTTAAAGCTTATTCACCATTTCTCCCGCGTTCACCATCTATCTGTAGCAAGCGTCTGCAGATAAGTATTATTTTACAGTTTATGTAAAACTAAGTGCCGTTTTTCTTTATGTGCTGTACAGTGTTCTTACCGCTTTTTGAGTTGTTTTTTTACGTGTAAGCACCAGGATTTTACAAAAAAAAACGATGTCCTGGCTGCATAACAAAACCAAGATTATGTACCCGACGCAGAACACGAATACGCGATACGATGTGAAAACGGAACCAGGGACGTCAATCGGCGAACGTGCAAGATCAAAGAATAGGGCACAGTTACGTGCCAGCTGCAGAGTAGTGGCGGGGGCTGTCGAAGACGCTGTGACCTTTGGAGTCAGCGAACTCGGTAAGTAAACGTGTTATGAACTTCGTTACGTATTATGTTAATACTGCTTGGTTTGTGTGTGCGTAGCGATTATAGTGACTGCGCCAGTCACCTTTTTCACCCAGCCAAAGTTTTGAAAGTTCGCTGCCATTCCGGCAATATGTATCCTATGCTAAGGCTTCACTCGATTGCGATTCCTGGAAAGTCGAGTGGAACATCTAGCACACACACAGTGACACACTCAATACGGAGATGGTCCGTTGATTATCCTGTGTACATGAACCGTTTCGGCTTGTACAGGCCTTGATTCTGTTGGTAAGGTGCAGGCCATACCGCAGAATTTGAATTAAACCCGCAGCACGGCAGCCGGAACCGCCTCCATCAACATCACCTTCCTGACCAGGAAGCCGCGCAGCGGTCAAATCTTTTAGGCAAAGGCCACGGTTTATGTGAACGCCGGAACCGCTAACAATGAGACGGGAGCGGAGAGTAACGCCAACATTCAGCCTGCTGGGCTCTCCGGTCCGTTAGCTATCCGGCGACCAATCCTGATCAATTCGCACATCGCCTCAAATCCATTCAATGAAGTAAATTAATTTTTAACTTTAAAACTGTTTTGCTTAAAATTGTAACTATTAAGTGTACGAGCGCTTACACTTTTGTGCTATTTGGGGCGGCTGTTGCCAGTGTACACATAGCGATTTTTAACTTATGCTTTACGTTATTTTTTTGGTTATGTTAAATACTGCATGCGCTTAGCACTCGTGGCAAAGCCGCGTGTGCGTATGTACGTACATTTTAATAATTATTATTGTAATTGTATCCGTCCTTGTACATCATTGTACTTGTACATGGCTAAATATTAATATAAATTGGGCGACAATATGATTGGGCGACAATACTACTTACAAGTAATATCAGGTGAAAAATTAAAATAAACGGGCGTAAAACACTGGAAACGGCATAATGCTAGGACACGCTTTTCCATTACAGACATACCGAAGTTATGTAAAAAAGACGTGTTCACCTAAAGGTTCAGACTTGCATGGGAGTAAAGTATGTCCAGTTTGAGAACTATTTACTTGTATCTCATAATATTGTTACGTGGGGCCTTATGGGCGCCCACGTACCTTCGACGGCGAAACAGCGGCGAACCCGGATTGAGGCTGTAATGCCGAAATCTGACTCGCGCACCGTGGCGCAGTAACACCAGACTAATGAGATCGGATCCTACAGCCACCGCAGCTGTGCTGTAGGTCCGTCAAAACAGCAGCAATGTGTGGGATGGAAATCCCCAGAACAGCAAAACACAATGGCGAATGGCCAATCATGAAGGAGGAGCTATCGGCCTTCACAATACCTTTACGTAATAAGGCATACAGCATAAATACGCGCTAATACGTATATTAGAGTAAACTACTCTGTGCCCACGACAGCCGCCCATACCGCCGCCTACCTGGTTGACTCAAGCTCAAGCACAAATATCTTGATCTTCGCCAACAGCGGCGATGGCACAGTGGCTGTGCTACGTGGATCTCACTCGGTAGCCAGCGGTTCGATTCCGCTCCATCGCCATTTTTGCGAATGCCTCACGGAACCGCCCTCCTCGCTGAGATCCCCACGGACAGCCGACTGAGGGCTGACTCTGTAACACGTAGTATTTTGTAAATGAAAATAGCGAACCATGATTTTACAAAAGCAGTATCTTTCTTACAGTCTGCCTGGATCGTGCTGACCCGCAACAGCCAGCCGGCAATGTCAATGTGCACGAATACCGTGATAAAGGTCATTCAATCTCTATGTGGTTATGGAGTTTTATTTGTTCATGTTAGGAGTTAGTTGCTGCATGTCCGTAGCCTGTTCGCGTTGTACTTATTGTTTCTTTTATACGTCGGTTACGGTCGGTAGCTGGACATGCATCGATCCAGCTTCTGGACGTGTACCGCATGCACATATATGGAATCTTCCTGTGGGAAACTTGCGAGTTCTGACAGCCGGAAACTGATGATGACTAAAGTTTTTCAGTAGAGATATCGAGCGTAACGCATGAAGTTTTTAAATTTTCATGGTTTAGCCTGGAAATAAAGCCGAAGGCTGTTTCAAAACTACTCGTAGATATTCTCCGTTATAGTCAGATGTCTGACATAGGCCTCCTAGCAGTGCTTTCGATTCGCCCTACATTTACTGATGGAGATTGGAGACCAGAAAAAACTAATGGCGAAACTCTGCCTTCGCTGTATCATGCATTTTATGACCTTGTTAATTGTAGCGCGCGGAAAAAAATTCTGATAAAACACACTATAATTCTGATAAAATAAGCACTATAGTGTTCCCGAGACTAAAGGAAGCTCTATTTTACTGGTACTTTTCTAGAATTGCAGTAGAATTTTATCAACATACATTTTGTAAAGAAAGGGTGAGGCCGGAAAGGCTCCCTAGGCTAAAATAAAGCCGGGATAATTATTGTCAGGCGACAGAATACGGCCGTGACGTCAGCATACTTAAGGACTGACATCTATGCCAAAACCACTCAGTCTAGCTAGAATTAAAGGCACCCAGCCCTTCATAATGGCTTGCAGAGGAAGTGCTGAGAAAGCTTAAGAATGATATATTACAGTCCTAAGAAGCTGCAATCCAACGAAATAAATATTGACATACTACACGCGGTTACTACGCGTGTAGTACTACCAACCTGACCGCAGTCAGCAGAGAAGAAACTCTGGAGATTGGTGTTGGTTCTGTTGCCTACTACCGCAGACAACAGGTACCACGAACACACTCTCACCACACTCACTACCACACTACAGGAATACCACACAGTAACTTCCGCCTAGGTACACACTACTGCTTTCCCTAAACGAAGGTCACTCACAGCACAAACACCAACAGGATCACAGTGATGTTACTCGTTTTAATCAGTTATTGATGTTCACTCCAACTCAGTCACACCGTAACTACTGAATGCTAGCCGACGACGAAGCGCAGCTTCTGATCGGAGGCTACCGATAAGAACACAGATCATACGTCATCGCTAGTACAACAGGGAACACTCGTACAAACGCACAGTAAAGTCATACAACATAATCCCAATTATGTCAATATTCTTTTTTGGCCACGAGCTGCTTTCGCTTTCCGTATTTTATGACCCTTTCGTCATAATGCCGTAGAATCCGCCCGAAGCAACGTTGCAAAAGGCGCAAAGCACCACACCAAACGACAAGGGAAAATTAACGAACCGGCTGCTGGTGATTCATCGGCAAGTTCAGTGGAACCTTGAATGGAATCGTTGTGCAAATACGAAAAAACGAACGTACAAGTAAACGTATCGTCAGACATATTTTCGTTTCTTTTGCTGATGTTGCAAGTGACTCATTCGCTGAATTTGTCTGAAAAACAGGTGACACGGATAAGTCACAGGATGTTTGCGTGGGCCTTACTCAGAGCCCAGGGGCGCTATCAAATTGCAATCAGAGATTCAAACAGCAGTTCAGTTTTTCACTTCTCCTTCTAACGGTCGAGTGAACTTTGCTCCGTTCAGTATTTCACTCGCGTATAAAAGCAGCAGTGTGAAGTGTATGCTTAAGTGCTCGTTAAGGTTGTTTACGACAATAGATCAACGCTTGTGTGATAATCGTAATTCCTTCATTTCCTTGCTCACCATGGCCGCGTCTTTCGTTGTTTTCTCTTGTATCCTCCTGAGCCTTCTGGCCGAAACTGCCAGCGCCGCCAACGAGACTGGAATCCCCGTAACAAAGCTGAACAACTACTGCAGTTTCAGTGCCATCTTTATTTATCCCGATCATCAGCCTGTCTATATCAAATGCTCCAACTACAAGAACAGTACCACGGACTACAATTACGACAGCGGCTTCAACCCCATCAATTACATGCAAGATGACAAAGGAGCCATGTCGCGCGCTATTGAGGACGCCGTTAAGAAGGTCAAACAACGCTTCTCCAAGAACAGCTCCGTCTTCTTTGGTTTCGAAATCAACGGATTCCATCCCGACTCTTACCAACATCGCTATGCCGAGACAGTGGCGGTCATCGATATCTCCAACAAACTGACAGCGACAGTGGGAACAAAGGATGAAGTGAATCTGAAAATCAAGCATGCCGGTGTTCGGTTTGATCCGAATAACGTTGCCGATAAGCGCGTCAAAGTGTTTGCGGAGAACAGTGTTGTGCTGCTTAGCTGGAATTATTTGGTTTAAGTATTTTTCGCTCGCAGTACAACAGTCCGTAAAGTTGGAAAAATTTCTTTTTTTTGATGCCATAGAATTATGCGCAAGTGCAGTATACGTATAAGCAGATTTTGGGCTTATGTAACTCTTTAAATTTGATTGTCGCATAAAGATATGTGTGCGTTTGATTACCGAAATCAGAACTCCAAATTCTTTCGAGATGAGCTTTTCAAATGAAATTAATTTTAATAACATCGTCCAGCAACCAGCATTATACGCAGAATGGACATTATGAAGTACATGCTTTAACAATAAAGTGCAACAGTTTGATCGTGTCATTGTAGATTTCAAATACTCGTACAATAAAATGGCATAATGTGTAGAAGCGCCATTTACCGAATACTACAACCGTATTTTGGCGATATCATTATTGTCTGAAGTCTGGCGACTTTAATGGGTTATTCACGTTAACATAGATTAAAAGCAAAATTACGCAGTTCATCATTTCAACACGTAATACACTTCGTCCAGTCTCTTACCGATACAAAACGTTTCCTGAACACAAGCAGCATTACCTCGCATTAAAGCAACACTGATTCTCTGCTTCAGAAACTGAGTGAGTGGAGTAGGTATTGTACAGTACAATACATTACAAAGCATTACATCACGTACACCTTGTTATCACGTACACCTTGTATCTTGGCACTACTACGTATTTTTTCTGATTTCTGACTGAACTGAATATTTCTATTTCCTGGATGATAAATTTCCCATCATCCAGTATGGAGGGTGGCTGCGGGACGTAGCTGGATAGATATCCAGCGAGCTGACGTGGCAGCTGTCCCGCAGTACCCAGCGCCCACGACCGTTACTGACGTAAGTTTCTATTCTCTCTGGTCTCACCACGATATTTCCTCAGCTGATTTATGGAGACTAACACCGTTTCTCCCTCTTCGAGCGCAACAACGGCTTCTAGACGAAATCAACCAGTGAAGCAGCCAGTTGCCTGCCCAGACTGCGGAGAGCTCTTCACCCGTCTGGATTTACATCGCAACAAATCGACTTGCCTGAAAACCCAAGCAAGTAAAGAACGAAACATCCTCCCCACAACGAAATCTGCGATCCCCGCCACTGTGTTGTGCGAAAACCAGGCTCAAACACTGGCAAAGCTCCGCGCTGCTACTCCGTTGGCTCCCCGGGTTCCCCGAGCGTTACGAATCTCTGTTGCGAACGATTTGTGCACGTTGCTTAACGAATGCTGTACAGGCAACACACCGGCGGCATGGACGAAGTTAAGCACTTTTGCGTTCGAGATATTTCGCCTACCAGCTGAGAAAACGGAGTTATCGGTAACCGCTGCCCTACGTCTAAATCTCATTACCCGTGACGCGCCTCCCGTTCCCCACATCCGTCCCCGCCAGGCTGCAGGAAATCCTGAAGAAGCCATTGCACGAAGAGTAAATAGCAAATTCCAGGACTGTGCTATTTCGGCCGCAGTTAAAGCCCTGTGCTCGACGGATAACGTTATTCGTCCATCCCCAGAATCGGCGTTGGTGTTGCAGGAGAAGCACCCCCGGGCGTGTGCTCATGCGACACCGGTTGACAAGCCCCAAGCACAGTTCTTGATCTCTGACGTTACCACTGATGAAATACTCGACGCCGTCCGTTCTTTCCCGCATGGATCCTCTGGAGGTCTATTTGGTATGCGCCCTCAACATATGAAAGACCTGATAGGATACGGAACGAACGAGCACGAAAAAAGACTTTGCTCAGCACTTGCAGGTGCCGTGACGAAGATGATCTCGGGGGATTTACCTGACGAAATCCTCCCCTCGCTGTATGGCGCTACGCTGACTGGGCTTCAGAAACCGAACGGCGGGATTCGCCCCATTGCAGTTGGTAATACGATCCGCCGTATCGCATCGAAAATCATTTGTCGCAGAGTGAAAGATCGTATGGTAGAAAAGCTGTTCCCATATCAAGTTGGATTCGGTGTAAAAGGGGGAGCCGAGGCTGCCATACACGCGACACGCATGTTTGTTAGTCAGGAGGGTGAATGTCGTGTACTTGTCAAGTTGGATTTCGCGAATGCGTTTAATTGTGTTTATCGGCACAAGATCCTAGAGACGGTGAAAACCGAAATGCCAGAATATTTTCCGTTTTTTCATCAGTGCTACGGTAAGCCAACCTCCTTGGCTTTTGGGGAGCACATTATTCAGTCAGAAGAAGGACTTCACCAGGGCGACCCATCAGCACCCCTGCTCTACAGCCTCGTTACGTTACCTATATCAAAAGCTTTGAAATCCACATTAAAGGTGTCATTTCTTGATGATGTCACTTTTGGAGGAGAGTTCGACGTGGTGTGTGAAGACATCGACACTGTCCGGGCGATGTCAGCTGAAGTGGGACTGCAACTCAACGAGGACAAATGTGAGTATTACATCTGTGGAGGAAACCCAGAACAGCGCGCGCAGACCGAAGCAGCTTTCGTTCAGCGATACCCAAGCATGAAGCGCCTCACCGAGCAAGATGTCATCCTCCTTGGTGCAGGGATTACACGTGAATCGGTCGGCCCACTTTTGGAAGAGAAAGTCGATATGGTAAACAAGATGATATCTCGTTTGCCACTTTTGCCATCCCATCAGGCACTCTTTCTCTTGAAGAATTGCCTGTCTGTCCCTAAACTGATGCACATTTTACGAACTAGCGAAGCCTTTAGTTTTCCGGAAATCCTAACGAAGTTCGACTCTACTGTGCGCAAGAGTCTGGAAAGAATTGTCAACGTGAGCATTACTGACGAAATCTGGGAACAAGCATCCTTGCCTGTCCGGGTGGGCGGTTTGGGCATCAGACGCACCGAACGACTAGCAGCTTCGGCATTCCTTGCCTCGGTCAATTCGGTACGCTCGCTGGTGCCATATATGACAGACCTGTACAGCGAAGCATATGCGACATGTGCGGAAAAAGCTTGGAAATCAATGGGGCCCGCGGAATTCCCCGATGAAAATTTGCGTGCTTCGCAGCGTGCTTGGGACATCCCGGTCGTCCTTTACCAGAAAGAAGCAGTATTACGTCAAACTGATTCCGTTAACCAGAAAGCCCGGCTGTTAGCTGTGTCTCAGCCTGAGTCTGGGTTGTGGCTAAATGCAGTCCCAGTGGCGAGCCTCGGCACTATGTTGTCGAATACCGAAGTAAGGATATCCATTGCGCAGCGCATCGGCGCCCCAGTATGCGTCGAACACCGGTGCAAATGCGGCAGCACTGTTGATAAATGGGGATATCACGGCTTAGGATGCAAGCACCTGAAAGCGAAAATTTCCCGCCATAACGAAATCAGAGATGTGATCCACCGCGCCTGTGGGTCAGCCAGTATCCCTTCCGTTCTCGAGCCACCAGGCCTTTACCGCGATACCCAGAAAAGGCCAGATGGCATGACCTCGGTTCCCTTCAGTCAAGGAAAATCCTGGGTGTGGGATGTCACCTGCACGGATACCATGGCCACCAGCTACATCGCCAAGACATCCCAGGAAGCCGGCGCTGCCGCCACCATGGCGGAGGCGAAGAAAAACCACAAGCACGGATATTTACGCGATAATTTCAATTTCTCTGCTTTGGTTTTTGAAACAATGGGTGTGTGGGGTAAAGAATCGAAATGTAAGATGTCTATACTCGGTAAGATGCTTTTTGAGAGGACACAGGAGAAACGGTCCACTCAGTTTCTGAAGCAGAGAATCAGTGTTGCTTTAATGCGAGGTAATGCTGCTTGTGTTCAGGAAACGTTTTGTATCGGTCTGAAGTCTGGTGAAACCGCCTTTCCAGAAGGTACATACTGTACCTATATCGAACAGTGAGAAATTACCTGCATTTCCAGGCTGTCCAGATACTTTATCAAATTACTCGTTTTTTTTGCTATAAGTTAATAATCTGATTAAACGTAAACTGGGATAAAGGATGCCGAGAAGCGTAGAAATCTGGCCTACTCGCTTTAAATGCACTTATACCACAAAAGTATAATGTATGCGTTTGAATCCGGAACTTAAAATTTTTAATTTGAAAATTTCACTTTAAATACACCAACGTTTACACTGCTTTTATTTCAGGATGTACAAATTTAAATTAATGCCCGTACTAATCTTGTCTGTCTGTAGTACAGTATGTATGTAATACTACGTATTCATCTGCGATAACACATCCTCGGTACATGAAATTTTAGAAATATTGGAAAAAAGTACTTCAGTTAAAACAGGTTTAGATAAGCAGCAAAATTAGGCAAGTTTAATGACAGTTAAGAACTTAAGGTAACCATAATGTTAACATTGCGGAGATCTCTCTGTAAACCACCATTTAACACAATGCAACAATTGTTTGCATGCACCGGAAGATGCAGTACAAGTACAACTGTACTATATAAGTATTGCACTGGATTAGGATGTTACAGCTTACAGGGAATAAAAAGAAGTTTTACGTGCCAGTTTAACTCCACCCAAGCGTTTGATTTCGAATCTCCATGAACCGGGATGAACGCTACAAAAACGTCTTGGCGAGAATCTTGCAGAACATTCCTGAACCCTCGGCCGAACAACAGACGTGGAAGCAAACAGGGGTGCATTCGAAATTCAGTCGTTTACCAGGTAACTGCTGTGCGTGTTATTAGGTTCACCAGGCAGTATCGTAGTAGTGACGATAATTTGATACCGTTTATAAAATAATTATTCTTATTCTTGGTTTTTGTCCAGAATTCATGATTCAGTTTTATGGTATTATCATACGACCAACGTCTCTTCCAGTTGTGCATTTATTTCCGATTCCCAGTACTGGTTCAGCGTGGGAATCACTGTACGACAACTGCATTTGTGTGCATCTACGTCATTCCCCTTCATATTATTTTCGCTTCTGTTTTGGATGGACTTCACAATCACCCACACCTGCATCGGTATGTGGAAAAAAAACTTAAGGTTGTATTACAAGGCTTTGTTGCCTGTTGGTGCCGTAAGCGTGATTCGAGCAATAAATATGTTTGACTGCTCAATGTGCAACAGCTGGCAAGCAGTTTTATGCATTTCTTAATTCTGTTTAGTATTTCATTATTATTTTTCCCAGTTATATTAAGGAAATCGCATTTCGCATTGTATGATTTGTATCCTATAAGTTTCTGTACTATTACAAAAAATTGTGCAGCCGTTCCGAATAACTGTGAACATAGAAATTTTCTCTTTCTATGTATAATTTTACTGCCGAAGCCAAGCACTCTTCGTCGACCAGGGTATTAGTTGCAGTTTTTATGGGCATAACTGATAATCGAAACTGCGGCCACTAAACTGAATTTGGCGCTTACAGACGTTTGAGGCGACAAATCCTAAACGGTTGTCGTGATAAAGAGTTATTCTAATTAATGGTATCTTCTAGTTTTACATTTCAGCTGTGCGTATTTGGCGAAAATTTAAGTGAGCTACAGAGTACTGTAAAAATTAAAATTAGTGCGCAGTCGCCACAACATATATCTATCAGGGAATCGAAGGGTGCTTACCGTTTGCTGAAGACGGGACGTAACGTGTCTTCAGCATCCTGATTTCATCAGACGTATAAAACCCGTTTGATGCTCAGAACCATAAATATTGATCACCAAAAAGGTGCTTTCTATCAGGATGAGGCGTAGTTAGTACATTATCCGTTGCTTGCTGTGTACAGAAGATACGGCAGGCATGTACTCGTATTATTAATTTTTATAGTTTATGTAAAACTTAGGTGCTGCTTTTCTTTATGTGCTGTATTTACAACAAAATATTCTCATTTAATTTCTCTCATTTTACGTCGCTCAAATGCCAGATGTACAGTATACAACTTTATTATTTAATACGCTACACATACATACGCTTTTATGAAGAAACACAATATTTTGTTTTTGTTGATTTCCCGTTTGTAAGTAAAGCCAACACCGTCCGAAAAGACGAAAAAACTACTCTCAGTTCTATGCTTCATACGACTAATTGAAGGAAGTAAACACTTTTTGCGTCCAGGATGTACAACTGCTTAACCATGTGGATGCTTTTGACGTGGATTGCCGGTGTTGCAGCCATTGGGCTCTTCCAGCGAGTGCAGGCTAAAAGTGATTTACCGCCACCCGATTTCTTTCCGCCTGGTTAGAGGATTATCTGTATGATCTGTTTATATTAAACTAACTTATAACGACATTTTGTTGGTTCGAACCCAGGAAATGGCAAGAACACAGCTGGAAGACCTTCGGTCGAGACGCACAATGTCCCTGCCGGTTTTCCCGCTGCCTTCACGTGTAAGCAGCAGGATGTTACAAATGTAACGGTGTCCTGGCTGCATAACACTACCAAGATTATGGATGCGACGCAGGACAAGAATACGCGATACGCTGTGAAAACGGAACCAGGAACGTCCACCTTCACTATCGACCACGTTCAGGTCAGAGATCAAGGCACGGTTACGTGCCAGGTGCTGAGTGGGGCCGGTCTTGTCGAAGGCACGGTGACCTTTGAAGTCAGCAAAATCGGTAAGTTAACGTGCTATTTACAGTTGTTATGCATTATGCTAATACTGCTTGATTTGTAGCCATTGAAGTTAACCAGCGTAATGTTAGCGATGAAATCGCCTACATCCTTGACACAACTATTACAGCGACGTACACCTGTGCAATTAAGTATGCACCGAAAGACGCCAAATTGAGCTGGTATGATAAAGAAACCGAATTGAACTCGACAACCTGCAAGGGTGAGAATTACTGGGAAACTGTTTGTTCCATGTAGAGTAAAAAATCTTGAATTTCTTATTATATTTTATCTCCATATTACAGACGGACAATGCGAGGTTATAAGCTATCCTGAATCTGAGGATGTCAAGAAAGCCATCGTTATGTATTCAGCCGTGAAATTCGTTCCCAAAGATGGCTTGCGTTGCAAACTAATCAATAGTACTGGTGGCACCGCGCAACAGTCAGGCGTTATCAAACAGATAACTTTTAATAGTAAGTGATAATTTTCCATATCTGTTAAATGTGTAGTACTGTACATTGGCGCCCCTTGTCATTTCTAGTTGGGCGTGATAAAAGAAATGTTGCGCAATACTAATAGTTATTGCAAACTTTATGGCTTAAAAAAGCCGAGATATTTTTTATATGTTGACTATGTGTTGATTAATCACATAAATAAGACTTATGTGATTAATGAAGACGTAGTCATAACTCATAAGGCATGTAGTGCCGTGTACGTAAGCGGACAGTCCCTTTATTTTACTGTCTTCCGCGTACAAATACTTATGATTATCGATAATCGCTCGATTTAATATGCCATGCTCTTCTGCAACTTGCATAGCGATTATTTTACTTGTTTGTGGAAATCGGTTGTTTATAGTTTAAAATGTGTTTTGCAGGGAAGCCAAAGTTTTGCGGGATGCATGTGACAAATAAACACATTCTGGTGGAGAGCGGTGAAATGGTCACTATTACATGTGTTGCCTGCATAGACCCCAAGTACGCATCCAAGCTGCTTCTGTACATCAACAACACGAAGGTTGCCGAATCCGACAGCTGTGTGGGAGACCAGCGGCTAGTGCTGACGTACCCATTCGTTGCTCATCCAGAAAACAACACCGCTCGAGTCGAGTGTAAAATCGTTAACGAAACCCACGGGGAACTGGAACCATCCGCCAAACTGCCACTCCGCGTACTGTGTAAGTGGCCATATTTTTTTACTGAATTTATTTAAAGCCGCACATCAGTGACATCACGCACTCGCACCCGTACGAGAGATCTGCTTTGGTTTGACCTGTGTTTTTGGAAAATTTTCTAGAAATCTGCTGACTAACTAATTCGAGTTATATTTTTCACGACAACCTCTTAGCTAAAGATTTTAAATTGGTAAAATTTCAGCTACTTCCGGTGCGTGACGTAACTACAGCCGCCCGTTTTGGCCGAGTAATACGCTTTCTGGTTTGAAGTTTTTGAAAATTACCCTTCCTTTGATTTTCCTTGTGGCGCTTGGGATTTGCTGCCATAGTTTCATAGAAAAATTAACGAAAAAGTAAAATGAATTATTTTAAGCTGTAATTCAGTAAACGTGTGAGGAATAGGAGCCTGGAGATTTTCAGAAACCCGGCGATGAGCAAGTTTTTGGTTGTGCGTTTTAGTATTATTTTTTTTAAAAACGGGCCGTTGAAACGGGAAATGGGATGGGATGGAAGGAAATGGGTCTGATCCAAAAATTATGGGATCTGGAAAAAGGAAACATGTGCAACCTTTGGTAACGAATATCATCTTCTTTAATAACTATTATTGGTAGTTGGTCCCGACGACGGATCGGTTATAGTGACTGCGCCAGCCACCGTCTCGCCCAACCAAAAGTTTGAAGTCCGCTGTCATTCCGGAAATAAGTATCGCATGCTATGGCTTCACTGGTTTGCGATTCCTGGAAAGTCGTATGGAACATACACCACTCACACTGAACCTGGTACGTTGATGTCCTCTGTGCATGAACCGTTCCTGCTTGTACAGGCCTTTTACAGGCGTTTATTAATTTAAAGCACATTTCTGATGGTTAGGGGAAACGATGCAATACGGCAGCATTTGGGTAACACCCGAAGCCGGAGCCACCTCAATCAACATTACTTGCATGACCAGGAAGCCGCACAACGGTCAGATCGTTCAGGCAAATGCCGTGGTTTATGTGAACGCCGAAAGCGCCGCCGACGAGACTGGGGCGGAGAGTAGCGCCAACATCCAGCCGGCTGAGCTTACCGGTTCGTTGCCGCGGACGAGCCAACCTGTGGATCATGACGAACATGATGCCGTCTTCGTTGGCGTTGGATCGGTTGCTGCGGCCGCGGGCGTGGTAGGATTACTGATGGTGGTGTTTGTGGGTTATCCATCGCACATCCGGGCATTCCACGAAAGCGACCTTGCGAGCCATCTGGTGCGTTACCGTCGCAACTAGCTGATTACTTCATAAAGTTAAGTGAAATTAATTTCACTTAATATCGGTTTCAAGTTACGTATTTCTGGTTACGTACCACGCATTCGAAGACTTGTTTGGTGCACGAATTTGGTACCATGTACCGGGCCACTTCCCTTAAAAATAAAAATTATGAAGTTGACGATCGTACGATACTAGCTATTTTCTTGTAGTGTCCCTTGATCGGAAGAACCTCACGTTAGCCATCCGGCGAACAATCCTCAGTTCGCATACCGCCGCAAAATTCTTTCAAGAAAGTACCCTCTTTATTATGTAGCTTATGCTTTACTCGTTATTTTTTGGTTATGAATTATGATAATACTGCCTGCGCGAAGCTCTCGTGGAAAAGCCGCGCCTGCGTACGTATGTGCAAGCACTACTACTACTAAAGTAATTATTACTTAAGTATGATTCATGTAGAAAACTGGAACGGCAGAATGCGGGCCAGCGTTTTTCCAGTATAGCCATGCCAAAGTTATTCAGTAAATAAATTCTTGATCAGCTGCTTGAATTTAAACTGGTGTAAACATTTCGAGAAGAACGTTGTTAACGTAATCAGAATACAAAATGAAACTTTCTGTTACAGACATTCGCAGCTGCAGTTCCCAACCAGGTGCCACCGGCTGCGGCTACAGTAAAGATAGGATTATACATGTTTTAGGAAAATAAGGAAAACAAATACTGGAAAAGGCCTGTAGACAACTGCTCATTTTCGCGCTGTATATACCCTGTGGCTGTAACACCTGCTTTTGCGCGCCCGCAAACACCGTTGCCGCACTGTTTACGGCACTGTTTACGGCCAAAACGAAGTGAAAAATTGCAGAAAAAGGGTTTGAACAATTAGTAGGTCATCTGGCTACAACATGTTGTTAAAAGTAATGCCACAAAAGCTTCAGTTTTATCTATACACATAATTATGCACTTACTACCACATACACACACATAGTCACTGACATCACCTTTGGACGGCCAAAACGGAGCGTGAGGTTTAATAAGGTAGTTTGCACAGCGTCGATCGAGAGTTTTAAAGCGCTGTATGGAACTTCGCCGAAAGAAAAATTGGCGAAGTTCGTTACAGCGAAACAAAAATCCCACATGGGTTTCTGAAAAAACGGATGTTCTTTTTCCGAAAAATCAAGTAATCAAGACTTTGTGGTGACATCCATTGGTACAACCGTACAATCATTACAATTCTCGGAGAAGCGTCTACGCTGTACAGAGAAATGACAACGGAAACAGCATCTCCTCGAACAAATCGCTTTTATTTCAATGAAAATAAATGCTAAAATCACATCAAATGCAAAATCTAAAGGAGAAAGGGCATAAAAACATCTCCATGCTGAAAGTACTGACGTTGTCACTTGTCAGTACCGATGCTGGCACTCGACTGAACTGGCATGATGAAGCACGCGGTTTATCCGTGTGCTGAGTGGCCAAAAAGGAGGCGTGGCTATCCGCCGTATCCTGTGCTCTATGCACGGCACTCTGACACAATGGATGTCACCACAATGTTTCGATGACCACAGAGTCTTGGTGACTAAAGTCTTAACTGGATGCTAGAGGCTTCCATAACTGCTAATTTTCCGCTACAGTACCTATAGTGGAGCGTTTGATGGCTGCATACGTGCTTGAGTGATTTTAATAATAATATCTCACATAAAATAACAATGAAATAAAAACTACGGATTTCATGTGGTGGCGCCTCGAGTAAAATGACTATTCTAGGTACTAACTTTTCGGTTACTTATTAAGTTTTTTTAATGGAGAGGACGAGAGCAAAATTTTTAATTTTGCTTTCGCCTCGTGCACGCCATATTCTACTGAGCTTGCAACGCGCCGAAGATTTTCATGAGCTTCCTCTGATGTAGTAGTCAGCAAATACCACAATAACCCTGGAGTTTTCGAAATATTTTACCGACATACGTTTCCACACTGCCAACCAACTATTTTACATATTCTAACGTTTCACTCTGCCGTGATTTTTTGCATACACAATGCACGTAGTGCCGTACCGTACATAATCGGAATCAAGGAGACTCAGCTTAGCACGTATTCGCAAATCAGTTGCATTTCCGCTAAATGACTTCGTATGCGATTGATCTTAAAGTTAAATACACCGACAGATACAGACCTGTAGAAGATTTATGATAATTCTATATGTAGTGGCGTTTCGAATGAATATGTACCGCAAAAAAATCCTTTCAAAATAAAAAGGCATCGCAACATGTTTTAAGATGCGTTAAATTTTTATACGCGACACTAACTGAGCAATAATATGCTAGGCTATAAACACCTATAATTCATGCAGCCCTAAACAGTGATTTGGCTTCTCCTTTCGCTTATCAAGCTGATATAAGAGAACTTCCTGATTTTCCCGTGCAAGTCAATTTCCGGTGTCCGCTTATTTACCAAAACCAGCCAGGCTCCATTTTTTCTTTGTTGCCAGCACACTGAATGCGAATAACCACGGATCAAATATCGCCTGTATGGAGTACATCGTCATGGCCACTGATAGCACATTTTCCGGTATCCATTTCCCCGAATATTTAATCGTACCGAAGCTAACAATACCCGGTGTCCAAAAGATGAAACAGCTGACGGCCGTCAAAGACAACACCAAAAACGGTTTACTCGCTTCTTTCCGGGTGTTCTGTCGGTCACTTGCACCGGATTCGTTTCCTGACGTATAGACTGCGTTCTTCCGGTGTCGTTTCCATCGGTTGATACATAAATGCACATACGCCACGATGATGAACATCAATGTCAGCGCATGCAGCGCGAAATCGAAATGGCTCCACAGGATTTGTTTCATGTAGTCCACGTGGCAACCGTGCTCCAGATAATCAATGGAATAGTACAGCGCGTCGAGGACACATCCGGGCAATTCGATCAAATGAGCGAAGAGCACCGCGGCGAAACAGATCAACAGCGCCACTTTTCGGTTGTGATGTTGCCGGTACGAGATGGGAGAATGCACTGCCCACAGCCGGTTGACGGAGATGCTGACGTGAATGCAGATCTGCGAAGCCGAACCGACACTGGTCAAGTAATTATGCAGGTCGCACAACGGTTTGCCCATCCACCATCTCCCGTGAACATTGCTCAGCAGATCCATCATGGGCGAAAACTGATAGATGGCGTTGCACACGGCGAGTGCCACCACGTACATGGTGAACGGAGTCAGCAAGGATTTGCGCAGAAACACTTCTACTAACAGACCAACGTTGGACGAGAATGACAGCAGCACCACAATGGTTTGACCAATCAGGTGCGAACTCCATTTCACTGTTAGCGCACTCTGATTTGCAGCAGTGAAAGTATGATTCGCAAGGCCAAGAAGGGAGGTGTTAAGGTCAACCCTGGTTAAAGAATGCACGGTGCCATTTGAATCCATAGCCAACCGGAAAACATGCGTTGAAATGTTTGATGATGTGGATGCGTAAGAAAATGATGCCCGAGTGCTGAAAACATGTGTTTAAGAACCGGACATGTAATACAGGGCAAAATGGGTGACAGCGAATGCCCAGGGCACGAAATCACACGACAAGCGATTGTAAGAAATGTTTCAAAAGGTTATGCAATGCGTACGGCACTAAGCTTTCCCTGCTAATCTGATTAAATGCCAACGAATAAACAATTCCAGCATATTTTCCAAGGCTACAGCATTTTAATCACCATAAGTTTGGTTTTTCTACCGGATTATGTGCCAGGTTAATCTTTGCTGCAGCGACTGGTTTTCTGGAACTGCTCAATAAACTGTAGAATACCCAACAAGATATTACGCCGGACCTACCCCTCACCCGATGCGATGCATATTAAACTGACCTTTTAGGTATGATAGTAATCCTTTTGATTACACAGTAAGCAAAACATCTTTGCAGATGTGCGGCCTTTTCTAATCCGCGCAACTTTGGTTTTTCAACCAGATTAACTGGTTCGACTGCTATGGAAATGATCAGCTGAAATTCGGCCTTTACAGCTGCTGATTATTCTGCAGGTTTCGGCCTGTACAGTTATATACATGCAGTGACGTTTAAATAAGCAGCAGTTTAGAGGCGATATTTGGAATATGATGCATCTGGATGAAAAGAACGAAGACTGTAATACTACCGCTCGATTCTCTGCGGATTGCGTAAGCAGTTTAAAACACACCGGCATAATTCTTGTTCAAGCGCAGATTTTTTCCGAATAAGTTGCCAGACGTGACACGTAACGCGCTACAGCAGTATTTGTCGTTAAGCATGGATGAACCTTGCTAAATAAATTCAGTAACCAATAGTGTCCTGAGTACCACGCAAGGTACTGTTACTAACGGTCACCAGACGATTTGTTTCTCGCGGGGATTTAGTCGAGCAGTGGCAGAACAATTAAAAGCGGTTGCAAACTCCTCCATGTTAGACATCACACCATTGATTCTCCACTCCGGTGGGGAGTGAACGTTGGTCAGCAGGGATACCCTTTCATCCTCCGGGCGCATTTTGAAACAGAAAACCTACGTTGACCAAGAAAAGCCGCTCAAACATCGTGCTAGATGTAAAGACTGTGACGTAAACCACGTACAAAATCAAAATGCTAAAACAATTATGCAGAAACCTGAGCACCTACTTGTGCTGCTGACAGGAAGAACAACTGATCTGGTGAATACTTTTCCAGTCCTTTGACTACTACTTCACCATGTTTTAGCCGCTCCAGATGGCGAAGATATCCCTTTAACAATAACTGTCATATACAACTGAGCGCTGGCAGCACCACTGCGACAAGCGTGCGTTGCACCGAATATTACGAAACACCGAATATTTTGTAACACTTAATGAATACATATTACGAATACATATGGTGTAAATTCATTGGCTGATACTGTGCTTCTAAAGATAAATTTACTGCATTTCGTCATATTTTTTTGCACATGATTTATGTGGCTTACTTTATAAGCAGCGCGCATGCCCCCGTTATCCGAAATATTTTCCTCCAGGGTGAGGCGCCCATTAATTTTGCCTGCCCTTGTGGTGTAGTTGTTATACTGCGCCATGATACCATCGCTTTTGACTTTGAACGCAGCTCTTGCCTGGTCGGTGGCCCATGATCGTGGAAAACCGCGATAGTCGTACAGCACACCAGTACTGTCGAAGCCATGGGTAAATTCGTGTCCAATGATCAGTCCTATGGCGCCATAATTATAGTACGGTGGACTATCGGGGTCGAAAAATGGTGGCTGGAGAACGGCTGCGTTGATGACTGTAATTGAACGATTTGATAAGGCATGAATGACGTATATTACTACGTACTACCCACTTATATACAATTATTCTTTGTGACCTTTAACCCCCTTCAAATTCTTCATAATGGTGTTCCGCTTACTAATGCAGTTCCTGTCAATAGAATAATAGGCACTCGGGGAACTGATGTCCAGTTCATGAAATCTGCCGAACGCCCCGCAGCCCACAATGGACGGTCGTACAAGACGGTGCAGGTCATGAGATCGCTTGTTCTTCTCGATTTGCATCATGGAAAGAGCGTAGCTCTCTTGAATAACTATCTAACAAAGTGCAGAAATATATGACATCAGGTGGACTGTAGACATGCCATTGGAAAGGCACAAGCTACTTGCATTTTCGTATTCGGCGTCGATTAAAGTAGTGTTGGAAGCCATGAATTCGGGATAAGCGATCATTCTCTGTGCATTATCAAGCTTCCTTAACGCTGCTTCGTGTGTGCTGGTATCCATCCAACTGGCCGACGTCAACAATAATCTAAAGGATGCCTCAATATCGTCCACCATAACCGTGGCCTGAAAAAAAGAAAAAGCAGTTAATATTACAGTGTAGCACTTCACGGTAAGACAGATAATGTTGATACGTACCAGACCTGGGCAGTTAATTTTAACTATTTAACTTAACGCGAGTTTTTTTCGAGTTAACGAGTTATAACTTAACTTTGAAGCTTAACTCGCCAGGACGAAAACTTAACTCTAGCGCAACTCAAAGATAATATAGCGCAACTCGAGTTTAACGTAACTCTGCGGGTTTCGGTTGAAAGCAAAAATGAAACTAAAATATAGAAAATATCAGAAAAAAGGCATTTTAACCGTGGATCGCATAAACTGCCATAATTACAAAAGTATGTGTGTACAAAATTTCTCGAGCCGACGTACACTACGACCGCCCAAGGCTTTGTCTAGATGAATATGCATCGGGGAGTCCATGCTGACAGGGAGTGTGGTCGTACAATTTGAGCTCAATTAACAGCGTGCAGAGAACGTAATTTTTTGCGCAGCAAAATTTTGCCAACGCGAGGACAAATCATGTTCCGCCCCAAAATAACACGGGAATTGATCGTCTGTGCGTCTTCGCTACCTGCACATTAGGGAAGCGTAATAACGCGGTCAACACTGTCAAACAGCTACACTAACTTCGGTAGCCATGTGAAGCGAAATGATAGTAAAAAAGTTCATCGTTGCCGGCGCTCGGCCCTAAAAAGCCAGGGTCAAAAAGTGGGAGGAATTTTGAGAGGGAGGAGTTTTTGTGTGGTTAAAAAGAGGGAGAAATTTTGTCAGATAAGGACTTTTCTTATGTTTGATTTTTTCTTGAGGGAGAGAGAAAATAATAAGAACAAAAAACACAAGAATGTTTTCTTGTGTTTCATTCTTTTGTTTCTTTCTTATTCTTTCTTATGTTTCATTTATATTTTATCTTCTTCCCTCAAGAAAAATGCGTCTCTTGCTCTCTCCCTCAGGAGAAACATGAAAAACAAACATAAGAAAATGCATGAACTTTCCAAATCAGTTTTAAGAAAAAAATTAATAATGGTCTGTCTCAAATCTGGTGAAAGTGATATCGGCATGCATAAAAGACTACTTGAAATTGATTAATAAAATTATGATTTTTTTTTAATTAGAAGTTAACTCCAGTTAACTCTAGTTATTGCGGCTGACTTAACTCGTAGCGTAACTCGAGAGCTGCGATTAACTCTTAACTCTAACTATGAGCCGAAATCTCATAACTGCCCAGGTCTGATACGTACCTTTGGCTTCATATCTTTTGGTATAATATTCCGCACATACAGTGCTCCCATCGCTAAGGGCATTGCGCCGGTTACAATCCCCAAACAGCGTTCTTCAGCGGTTGGGTCGTCTCTGACCTTTTGGCCTCTGGCAGAAGCTTTCTGATTAAACTCCGCCAGTTTGTGCCGGTAATCTTTGGACAAGTGCCTCAACGCAGTCACAATCGCTCGCCAACCAAAGTAATTCGCCATACGCCTTAATCCGTTTTCCCCTTGCTGCTCCAGCTCTACAAGCTTTTTATCCAGAGTTCGCCAGAATTTCGGATAGTCTGCAATGACAGTTGTGTTGCCGTGGATTTTCTCCGTTATTCCAGCTTCAGCAAAATAAGCCTGGACGTAAGCTGTGAGGTTTCTTAAAAGGGATGAGTTAAACTGGTGTCTTTCTTGAAGCCTTGTTAAGGTCATCTTTGTGGAATTATCGCTGTCACCGGGAAGATACGGTCCATACTCTTTGCTTTCCCACTGTAATAACAGATTTCTAGTACATAAAACATACCGGCAAAGATACTCGGGGTTACCCTTGTCAAAGGTCGTTGAATTGCCGCAATATCCAAAAGATCTGGTGAGACGGCATTCAGATCGACCGGCAGTTTCTTCTCCCGGAGCAGCAGCTCGGTAACGTTGAACATGAGTTCAAAGTAACTTTTAGTGTACAGTTTGTCTTCAATATCGCGCATCAGCAGATCACCCATCAGATCGCCGACACCCAACATTGACGGCGCCTCAATGTGGATGTAATTGGTCAAGGGATTTTCCGGGTCGTGTTTGATAGAAATGTCGAAGAACGTGTCGGTTCCCACGATCAGACTGTTGACTGAAGCGCTAAAGACGTCGAACTTTGAGGAATTCCAGTTGGGTGTAACGATAGGCCAACCGCCAATATGCTGGTCAAAAAAATCCAGCAACGGCTTCGCTCGTAATCTGTCGAACTCGTCTGCGGATGATTGCATTGTGGTATAGCATATTCATATTTCACAATAGCACAAGATCGCTTTATTTTACCTTCGTTTGTACATTGCTTATATAACTGCTTTAGCTTGACTTCCGACGATGATGCGTCTTTTGATAAGTTACTGAGCAGCTCTAGAATAAGAACGGCGACTTTAAGTATGATAGTGAATGTAAGTTATCTCGATTTGTTCAGCAGGGAACAATTACCTTGGCCAACGCGTTTGACAAGTTTTGTCACAGAATGGAATTCACTTATAACAGTCTCGTTATCCGGGATTTCGTATTTTTCACCCATTCTCCACATGCATATTCGTAAAAGTTTTCGCATGGATCGGCACTGCTGTTAATGCGGCTTAGGATCTTGTCGGCTAACAGAAACGTTTTAGGTTAAATGTTGCACTAAAACGGCACAAAGTCTCGACATACTTGAAGCTTTAGTTTCAGACACATCGTATTAATCCGACAGCCGCTGACCGGGTTATCGAAACGTTACACTATATGCGGTTTACGGGCTTGCTTACCAACTTTTCTGCAAGTCGCTGTATCGCAAACCGTATCGTTTGCGGTGTGCGGCGAATTTTGCGGAGTGCCAGAATCTAAACACATATGGCCGAACGCAACAGTAACAGTTAAAAGGGTAAATGTACAAGCTTGTCCCGTAATTTCCATCGCATCAGAACAGCGAACATTACAAATTTACGTGTTGCGCGTAAATCCGTACTACGGCGCGCCACGCCACACTATTTAAACACGTAACATGCATTTGGCTGGCTGGTGGCTTGGTACACGCCATATAATTCAATGAGAATAACAGTAACTGCCTGGCGTAAGGTGGCTAAGAAACAGTCGGTGTGGTAATGGACAATCTAACTACGGAGCGGATTTAGGCAAGCAGATAAGCGTAGCGACGTGGCCATCGTTTCAAGCGCAAATTTCGCGCTAGCTGTACCTTTACGATGGAAATTAGGGGACAAGCTTGTAGACCAGTATCATTATGGGGTTTCTTGATGAGCATTACCGTAACTGTTGCTCGACGTGCTCAGCTTGTAGTAAAGTGGTGCATTTCCGCTGAGAACACGGTCCTCTGGATACATAGCTGCGTGGACTGGCTGATTAGGAAAGTCATTGCCGGTGATGGGAGTAAACGTTACAGCTTCGTGATGAATAGCAGCCTTGACCACAGCCAGGTAACCAAGGAAGCTCACGGCTTCGATAAACTGTACTGTCGCAATTAAATGCATTAAATTTTGTTTCTCATAATCGTATCTATGTACAGATATAACGCTTTACACAAATCTATCTGCCACTTTAAAACAAAAACAAAGCTCTGGAATTATTTTATTACGTGTCACTACGGTTATGCTTTAAATTACAAGTAGAGATTTTCTGTTGCTTGTAACTCATAAGCGTTCTTTTAAGCATCGAAAAAAGTTCCCGCTGTACAGCCACAGGTAGCGATACATACAGTACGTATCGTTACATACAGTACACTTTGTACAATACAATACATGCATCTTTAAAACCATGATGATACTATCGCACAATTTATTATCACTGTGTAAATCGCTCATCCATTCTGTAGGACTCTCGAAATCTCCGAAACGAACTCATTCAGTTGTGGGCTGCTGCTGGTCAACGTACAAAGTGCAACTGTGAACAAATTAGTAATATCGTATTGTGAGCAAAATAAAAAATTCAGCAAATAAATCCAATCCACTTAAATGTTCCATCGGAGTACATCGGAGTATATAACTACAGCAATACTATAATTATTAGTACTGCTGTAGTATTGCTGTTATAAGATGTGTATTTTGCCTTCAAATTAGCCGAGCGAGAATGATGTTGTGTATTTTTGTTATTGTTACTTCTGTAATACGCGATGATCTTTCAGTGTGGCGCCTATTATGCGCAATAAAGCCATACCTATGTATAAAAAAAATTATTATGACTACGTTCATTGGCAGATCAGGCAGTTGTGTTTTGTGCATTGACGTAGTATAAAACTGAAGAACATACGCAGATTTGGCGGCTTAAGGCGGGGTACAAGCAGAATTTTAACCTGCATCTTCAGCCGTACGAAATTTATGGTAAATTATTCTGGATCGGCAATATGATATTCATCCCCACTTTACTGTTTAATTTACAGAATTCTGTTAACGCATGATCAGCATGATCAGTTAAAGATAAATGGTGGATAGTTCAATAAAAACTGTGCTAAAGGAGTACTCGTAGTAAAATTTTAAGAGTGACTCAGTCAAGGAAGCTGTAATGCGTAAGTATTACAATACTGTACATATAATATATGCACAATAATGTAAACTAAGTACAAACTGATTAAAACAAAAATCCATAGCAAAAACACTTCCTCTACTCTATCTTGATCAGGGATTGTACCCATCACACAAACTGCGTTAGCAAAATTATTTGAATTGTGTTTTTTTCGCAAAGAGTGATACACCATCGCAAGCGAATCCCTATCACCACACACTTTGTTTATCTCGAGGATTCATTCGGGCAGAGGTCGAACAGTTAAATGCAGCAGCAAACTCCCGCATGTTCGACATCATTCCATTGATTCTCCATTTCGGTGGGGAATGCCGGTTGGTAAATAAGGGAATATGTTCCTCTCCCGGCCGTGTTTTGTAACAAAACGCCTGTGTTGGCAAATGGTTGTACCGATTCCCGCGGAATTTACTGGAATTGCTTTAAGAACACAGGAGCATTTACCTGCGCCGTAGAGAGGAAGAAGAGTTGATCCGGCGAATAGTTCTCTAGCTCTTTAATGACGTCTTCACCATACGGCAGTCTCTCCAAATGGCGACGATACGCCTGGTAACCGGCATAACGAAGTTTCAGCAGTCAGTGACATTTTACGATTAGCTTCACGAATACGTCAGTTTTCATACTTCGTAAGCAGCGCGGATGCCTCCGTTGTCCGCAATATTTTCACTCAAAGTCTCCTCCCCGTTCACTTTCCCCGCAGGCGTGGTATAGTTGTTATACTGCTCTACAATACCTGCGTTCTTAACGTTGAATGCCGCTGTCGCCGTGGCGGTTGCCCATGAGCGTAAAAACCCGCGTTCATCAAACTGCAAACCATGGCCGCTGACGCTATGGGTGAACTCGTGTCCAATGATAAATCCTATTACACCGTAACTGTAATAATGTGGAGCATGGGGATGGAAGAATGGTGGCTTTAGAATGCCCGAATCAATTTCTATAAACAAACGGTTCCATAATACATCATGCTTAACATTTCTCAGATAATTTAATAAATTTAGTTGGATAGAATCGGTAATAATACGCGGTGCTGATAGTCCCTTACTCATGCAGTTCGTGTTTTTGAAGTAGTATGCAGTAGGGAGAGTGATGTCCTGTTCAGAAAGTTGGCCATAACCAAGCGCGCCACAGCGAAAAATGGTTGCTGTACCAAACGATGAAGTTCGCGAAATCGCCTGCTTTTCTCGATTTGCATCATGGAGTGGGCGTAGTTGTCTTTAATAACGATCTGAATAGCAACTAGTGTTGTGCTACTAAATAAAATTAAATAACGGCCATTTACTTAGTAAAAGTCCGCCTAATATTAAAAGTGTAGTAAATAGTAAGGTTTTGGAAACAAAGTAAGTAAAAGTAAGTAAATGTGCTGCCGGAATAGTAAAAAGTAAGTAAATATTAAGGTTCAGCGTTGAATAAATAAAAATCATTTACTAAATTATTTACTGATTTGTTTTATCAGCGTTACGTAAAATTGGCGTGGCAGGAGCCACCACTCGCTGGTAAAGTGAGAGTGCGCAGTAGTCGGCTGCCAGCCTGCCGCCCTCAAAAGCAGCAATATTTACTGTTCAGTATGCACCTGTACTGTATAGCTCGATTAATGCATAAGAAATTCATCTGCACTATTTTCAGTAGTCTGTTGCGCTCTGAAACTAGGGCAATTCGAAACTGCTAATGCTAAATTATATTTATTTAGTAAATTTACTTTAATTTAGTAAGTAAATGTCCTTGGAAAAATTGAAATAGTAAGTAAAAGTAAGTAAAAGTCCCGAAAAATTTTGAATAGTACGTAAAAATAAGTAAACTTCCAAAAGCAGATAGTAAAAATAAGTATATTGGCAAGGACTTTTACTACCCAACACTAATAGCAACCCAACAAAAGTCGATAATTTGTATTGCGGGTTCAGTTGGAATTAATGTTTTGGAATCGCTAATGGAAATTCTGGTACTTGCGCTTTCGTATTCGGCGTCGATCAATGAAATGTTGGAGGCCATGAATTGTGGATAAGCGATAATCTTCTGCATTCTAGCGAGTTTCCGCTGCGCTGCTTCCTGCGTGCTAGCATCCATCCAGCTGGAGGAAGCTAATAGTAATTTAAATTCAGCCTCAACGCCGTCCACGATGGCCGTGACCTGAGCGAAGGCTGTAGTAATGCATAGTGTCTAAATGAGGTCACGTATGATAGATAAACGCACCTGCGTCTTTAAATCGTTTGGTACAACTTCCCGTACGTAGAGTGCTCCCATCGCTAACGGCATCGCGTTGGCCACGACATCCACGCAGCGCTCTTCAGCCGTTAAATTGTTTCTATTCTTTTGGCCTTTGACTGAAACTGCTTGAACGAAACCAGCCAGTTTTTGCCGGTACTTCTTAGATAAATGATCCACTGATGCTTCTATCACTCGCCAACCGATGTAATTCGCCAGGCGTTTTAATCCTTGCTCACCTTGTTTGTCGAGTTCATCAAGAATGTTATCCAATACTTGCCAAAATTTTGGATTTGCTGCAATAACGGTGGTGTTATCGTCGATCTGTTCTGTTAATCCGACTTCTGCGCAATATGCCTTGATGTACGATGTCATATTTTTCAAAAGCCAAGATTTGAACTGATGTGCTTCTCCAAACGTCGCCAAGGTCGTTTTTGTAAAGTAAACATGGGCTGTTTTCCGCTACAGGAACAAATATACAAGGCGTTGATCGTTCTTATGAAACCCGATTTCTGTACTACTGCACCTGGTATAGCTCTTTTTCAAGTATTACAATGTCTTCCATGCCCGAATGAACGTTTGATGCGATTCCCAATAAACCGTCGACTTCAGTGAAATTCAGCTCCCATATCACCAATGCAGTTACATTATAAAAAAAATTTAAATAATGTTCTCTGTAAACCACATCGTAAATATCGTGCATCTTCCGGGCCTCAAGATAGATAATACTGGTCTGGGGGTCTTCGAGGTCAGCTTTGATGGAGATGTTGAAGAAACTGACAGTTCCCACAGCCAGGCTGTTGACTAATGCGCGGAAGACACTGAATCTGGAGGAGTTCCAGTTTGCTGTCACTAGAGGCCACCCACCCATGTGCAGATCCAAGAAATCTAGCACTGGTCTTGCTCGTAGTTCGTTAGTTTGATCTGTCGATGATCACATTATGTTCAGCAATGAACTGATACTATGCGTCGTAAGAAGAGTATTTACTGTACCTTCATTTGAGCACTGTTTGTAGAGCTGTTTCAGTTTGACTTCCGAAGAGGACGCGCTTCTTGAGGAGTTCTTTAGCAGCTCTGAAATTAGACCCATGAATAAGTATACAAACATGTACAGTATATGCATAGGTGACCTCAAATTGTCGCATGGAAGATTACTCGTACCCTTGTTAACTTGTTTAGCAAGTTTCTCCATAAGATAAAATTGGCTGACGGCTTTTTCTGTATCAAAAATTTCCTGCGAGTCAATCCATTGTCCACAGGCATATGTGTAGAAGTCCTCACAAGGATCGGCACTGACGTTAATACTCATTAGAATCTTGGCGCCTAGTGAGAATTGTGGAAAGGTGCATTAGGTGTAACGCGAAACAAATGTCTTGCATTCCACGAGCATTGATTGGAATATTACCGATTTCTCTGCATGTCGCTGTATCGCATACCCTCTCGTTCTTGGTGTATGATGAAGTTTGCGGAGAAACGGTTGCATCTACAACAAAGAACCCGATAAACGTAATTTTTTTACATTAGTGAAATACGTATCCTTGATGTTCTAACTTCTAAGCGATTAGCGTACTATTGCTGCCTCTGTTCGACGTCCTGATTTTTGTGTCGGTAAAAAACGGGGCTTTCCCGTTGAGAGTACGGTTGTCTTTTAAGACATGTACAGACGCAGCGTGCGTCTGATGAGGGTTATCTTTGTTTATTATGGGAGTAAACGTTGCAGGTTCGTGATGAATGGCAGCCTTCGCTACTGTTAAGATTCCAACGAACCTCAGAGTTTCAAAAAACTGTATTGCCGCAATCGGATGCATTTGTGATAAATTTGTTGTTATTCTGGGCAAGTGCTGCTGTATTTACCATTTAGTACCTACAGCAACACGCGAAAACTTTAACGATTTCACTCTACAGATACTTATCAAAGCGTTTGCTTGGAGATAACATCTGGATACCGTAGGAAGATATTTAGGTTGTAAAAGATATCTGCCCATAATATGCATTGACAAATTTTCTCACTGTACGAGCATCTGGGTGCAACCGTATATCTGTGCGTACCAAGTTTCCGCCTTAATCTAAATACAACACAAAATTCATTAAAATTTTTAGTTGAACTATTTCACAATTATTCCTAATCCTTCATATCCTTATCCTTATGTCCTTCGTCCTTATTATTCCTTCATATTTGTTATTACAAATCTTAAACTAGAACGGATCGCTAATCGACTTAATGTACGAATTAAGTACCAAACCAGTCGAATAGGTGTAGGTTTTCCATAAGAAGATGATCGAGTTTGGTCAAAATCCAGGCGTTGTAACTGGGCTATGAAGCAGTATTAGCGAGCACCACCTGCGTGTTGGTGATCACTGGAAAAGGGAATTGCAGTTTTTCCAAATTCCGTCTAAAGCATGAAAAAGTTCCTTGATCCTAAGAATACTGAAAAAACTGCGTTTGAAATTAGATCCTCTTATGCAGCAGGTGACGCATGGGTGGTTAACGTTTTGTCTATCTGTGATTATCGGAGCTGGGCAAAGCTCTGCTTGTGTGCTCGGCAAAGGTTTCAGTGGTTACTTAAAGTAACCATTACTGCCATAGGGTTTACAAGCGACATTTCGTTTCACTTATTGCGTAGCAGCAAAAATTTGCTGTGCCACAACCTGTATCGCAACCGCTACATTGAGTGATATTAAATTTGTTGGCGCGGCACTTGGGAGTCGGAAAATTCTGGACGGGCAAATTTATGGCAGCAAACATTCGAGCGACACAAAAACGAAGTGCCTTTTGGTGAAATATGCGTAAAACCGATAGCCCCACAGGCTACCGCTAACTGTCTCCCGGCAAATTTTTTCACGGCAAAATGTGAAATGCAATGATTTGGCAACTGCAATGATTTGTCGCGGCGCAGTTGGATAAACGTTGTGCTCTTTAATGCTAATCAAGTACAATATACTAGTTGGTGTCACTTGTGGAGATTCTGAGCTTTATGTTGACTTGTTTTGTCCAGCTGTCTTTAGTGTTTGGTAGATTTGCTAATTTTGCTAGTGTTACTGTTGTTGCGCGCTGTCTTTATCATTCTAACATCCTCTGCTACTACGACCCAATAAATATACGAGCTAGATTTCTAACCGCAATCGTACAAGCAGTATCGATTGGCGGTAAGTTAAGGATTAAAACCACCCTGCGAGTGGCGCAGCGTAAACAGCAATTTGCTGAAAAGAAGCAAAGATGCAATGCAAACCAACCAGACATTAGACAATATAAAGTAATCTATGTCAGGGCTTTAGAGACTACCAGACGATTCGTTTGCTCTCTGGGTTCATTCTTGCACCGGAAGAACAACTGAAAGCTTTAGCGAACTCCTCCATATTCGACATCATGCCGTTGACCCTCCACTGCGCCGGTGAATGAACGTCCGTTAGTAATTTGGTCCGAGCAGTCTCCGGTCGTATATTTTGACACCAGACCTGTAGTTGCCAGAAACTCTCGACTACAGCCGGGGCATTTTCGTTGCATGAGTACCTGGGCAGCCGACAAGAAGAACAGCTGTTCAAAAGAATACTTTTCCAGTCCAGCAATCGACGTCTCTTGCCGCGATGACAAGTCCAAGTGCCGAAGATATCCCTTTAGAACAGAGAAGCACGAAGTAAACCTTATCAAATTTTGTTAAGATTATAATGGTACAATAACAATACTTTGTAAGCCGCTCTGATTCCACCATTATCAGCGATATTTTCTGTCAGCGTCAGCTGGCCATTGACCTTTCCGACAGCAATGTTGTAGTTGTCGTACTGCGCCACCATACCGTGCGTTCGCTCGTCAAACGCTGCCCGTGTCGCGTTCGACCACCAAGATTTTCTCGCTCCCTGGTCGTTATAATTAGACCCGAGGCTATCGAATCCATGGGTGGTTTCATGCCCAATTACCGTTCCAATACCGCCGTAGTTGTAATACTGGGGACTCTCGGTGTCATAAAATGGTGGCTGCAGGATGGCGGCGTTTACATCTACGATTTTGCTTTTGATTAACTGTGCTTCACATAAACGTATGGCATCTGTCGCTCACTTAGGACGTTGTTGGCTTGTTCATAGTACGAATTGACCCAAGTGACGTCCAAAGTGTCTCGTACTGGGTCATATCGTGGATTGTTCCTTGGATATCGTTGCAGCTCGCGATATTTAGCGTTTCGAGAAACTTGCCACATGGTTTGTACATAGTTTTCATGAATGACGACCTTTTCGAAGTGCGAGAATGCGGCTTTGTATATTATTATTATTGCTAATGTGCATGAAGTTAATACGTGTACTGCGCGCATTATTAACGATACACTTTAGTTGATACTACTTAAGACGAACGATGATATTGATGGTGATCTACTCTTTGGTAATTTATAGCATGTAGGTTTACTATATACATATCTCGCAGACTCGCACAGTGTTCAAGGACTTACGTCAGCATATTCCGCATCAATCAGGAAGATGTTGCTGATTAAGATATCTGGGTACGCCGCTACATCAATCATCGCCCCAAGTTTCTTAATAGCAGCTTCTCGAGTTGCGTTGTCCATCCAACTGGCCGAACTCAACAACTCTCGAAATCCATATTGGATGTCACTGACCATGTTTGTTGCCTGCAAGGTATATGGCATTCTTTTCGTGTTATATCACTTACAGTATATGTATGCCCCATTTTATGCGATGACTGACACACATAAACAATACGTATACCACAGTTACCCTACATGCATACACTTGTAAATTAGAACGACTCATTGTACATACTGCATGTACCGTACGATGTATTCGTACAGTATGTAAAACAATAATAACAACGAAAATTAATTTCATGAATAACAGAATAAGTACTTTTTCTTTGAGTTGCTTAGGAAGAGTGTCCCGCACATACACTGCACCGATCGCTAGCGGCATGGCTCCGGTGACAACCGTTAAGCAGCGTTCTCCAGCGGGCGGGTTATCTGGCGCTGTTTTGCCAGATATCTTCTGGTTGTACTCCGCCAAGGCAAACCGGTAATCTACCGGTAAGTAGTCTAACGCACGGGATATTACGCTCCATCCGATATAGTTGGCAATTTGCTTCAAACCGGCATCGCCGCCAGATTCCCACTCAGCCAATCGAATGTTAAGTTTCGGCCAGAATTTCTCATTTGGAACAACCAGGGTGTTGTTTGCGGAGATTGTATTCGTAACGTTTGTTTCGGTGAAATACGCAGCAATATACATTGGGATATTTCGCAGAATAGAGGAATTAAGACAGAATTTCTCGCCAAAGTCGGATAGCGGCACTTTGTTCAAAAACAGGGAATCGTTCATTGATTCTACCGTTGTTAGTTTTTCCTATTGATAAATACAGGAACAAGAAATTTCTATTCATGCAGATGTCAACTTTCGTAATGACCACTATTACCATTCCGAGATAATGTTGAAAATCCACAATTTCTTTTATACTGGCGACATCAATTTCGGATTGGCTTAGATTCGTGTCTCGCAACAGCAGTGCGGTAACGTTCGATAAAAGCTGCTGGTAGCTTTCTGTATAGAGTTTCCCTGTGATGTTATTGGTCAAAATATCGACTCCTGCATAAGTATCGCCTGGTTCGACAACGATTACATTGACCAGCGGGTCGACCAGATCCTTTGTTACTTGCATGTGGAAGAACGGCTCACTGCCCGTAAAATAAAACCAGACCAGAGCGCTGAAAATATCGAATCGGGAAGCATTCCAGTTGGGAGTGATAATTGGCCATCCACCAATGTGCGTATCGAGAAAGTCCAGTAGTGGCTTGATGCCAACGCGTGCAGTTTGATCTCAGAACAACGCATACATCAGTACTTACAATTGTCAAGCCTAAAATATTCCATACCTTCGTCTTTGCACTGCCGGTATAAATCCTTCAGTTTGGCTTCTGATGGAAACATTTGATTGGTTTCGTTGTTTAGCAGCTCTAAACAAACCAAAATCGTTAAAGATAGCTAAAAAATATTCAGTAAATAAAAAAACAATAAAATGCTTTTACAAATTTTTTATTAATATTATTTACAGATTTTAAAAGCTACTGTAATTATACAAACGAGCTTTGGTCAGTTCATTCATGAAAAGTATTTGCCTACGCTGCCCGGTTTCTTTAATGGCTTTTTGCAAGTAGTAGAATTCGTCAACGGTGGTTTCGTTGTCGGGAATGGGATGCGCGTTTAACCAGTTTCCACAGGCGTAGAAGTAAAAATCCTCACACGGATCAACGGACGTATTTATACGATCCAAAAATTTCGAGGCTGTAATGCGGATATAAATACGTACACGTAGCACATGTCTACATCGCCATCCTATAGCTAATGTACAGTCTGTATCACAGCCATAGGTACAAAACTTGGACTGACCAGTTTTCCTGCATTGTGGTGTTTCGCATGCTTTTTGGCTGGATGGCGCATACGATTCCAGTGCTCTGACAGGATCTACTGGAACACGAACGAACAATGTATTTATGTAACCCTGGGTGGTGGTACCGATTAATCTTAAGACTTACTTTGGACGATGAGCAACCACTCAAACACTCGCAGTAATGAAATCAGCGATAGGAAATACCAAGATGGATCCATATGATAGTTATATACTCCGAGTATACGAGTATAGTACTCGTATACTGATTACGCTTCTACAGAAGCAGCGGCACTCTCTGCCTAAAGTCAGCCTTACAGTATCTGTAATTCTATTATTGCACGCAGTTGCTGCTTGTTCTTTTCATTAACGGCGCATGTCTCGAAGTATGGAAGCGCGGAAGTATCGCTATAGTGCACTTGTTCTCTACTTGTTTGTGCGGTTCCGTTGAACACTTATACAACACATAATATTTATACCGGAATATACCTTACCGCGGGCATGAAAACCGTTCACATTGATTGCACTTTTGTAACAGAAGATGTAATGCGACAATTCTGTTAACGATATTAACCTGTAATACTCACTCTGCTACAGGTACTGTAATGTACCTCAATTCTCGTAATGAGTCGTACCTTTAAATGTATCGGCATTATTGTTTAATGCAATGCGACCACTTACATATGGCGATACACTGGATTCGTCTACACAAAACAAGAAAATGCAAAACTCCAGAAGTCCATCTGATCATAAATTTTAATGCGATACTGCCGCTTTGGGTTTCAATGGACGTACAACGCTTTTCAGCGCTCTTTTTCTATAAAAACAGCCAGCCGTACGCAGGCGTAAAGTCTTCAGGCTTAGGCAAAAGAATACCGGATCTAGGACCGACTGTAGTCGGTAAATGAGTGACACCGCTGTGAAAAGGGATGGAAACTGGGCCCGTATGCTTGGCTTGAAGTCCAGTAAGGTATAACACACTATTCCGGGTATCCAGCAAACAGCCGCCGTGCATGTGTACAGAGTTAAGATGACAAAAGGACGGGGCATGGAATCATATTGTTGTCGATTGGCTGCTTTGATGCTTATGTTCCTACGTGATCTTTGGCGAACATCGCGGATTCGTTTGAGAGACCTCCAAAATAGTAGCGGATAGCACAGCGGAACGAACAGCTTCGGTATATCAAAGGCGACAATCTCCGAAAAAATGGTCCACCCATGCTGAGCGGTGGCGTTCATCCGGCAAGCACTGCCGGGCGGACGATAATACACAGCGTCCAAGATAATTCCTGGTAACTGGATAACGTGGACATACACTACCATAGCGAGACAAATCACCCATGCCACAGTGTAGGTGTGATGGTGCCGGTAGGAGTGCGGCCAGAAGAGCGCCCACAGACGGTTCAGGGTGATGATCCCGTGACTGTGCACCGTGATGACCACGATGACGTAACGACAGTACAAGTGCAGCGTGCACACGGGATGATATGACAGCCAGGTTGTGTAACACAGGGTGAGAATGGTCATCAGCTGGGTAAGTCCAAGATACAGGAGATGGCTAAGTGTTATAACCATAATGTATACGTTGAATGGTGGCCGCGGGGAATTCTCCTTCAGCAGAACCCATAGCACGATAACATTCAGAATGCCGGCTGTGGCAGAAGTAAAGACCAGTTCGTACCAGTCGTACGGCGACCCGGGCGAAGCGCCGGTTGCATGTGTATAGGTCGTGTTGTGCGATCGCCCTGTCATTTGAAATTCGGATAAGTTGACAGGAATGTTCAGCATCTTCTCGAACCGAAAAATACGCGAGCGGTTGTTGGAAGCGCAGCGCGCTTGCACAATCCAAGTGCATGTGAATAATCCATGTGGCAGTTTTCCAAGTGCAGGTGAACAGGAGCGGGCGTTGTACGGCTGTACTTCCATTTTCAAAACTGCACAGCTGCAACGCAGATTTCCAATGTGGGGGAGTCAAACATCTCAAAGGTTAGCCAAAGCTCAAGGGCAGTTTTTCAGTATTACGATGGGAATACGTATCTGTAAAGTGACGCTGTTGTTTTCAAGTCAACCGTGACACACTGATTGAAAGAACTGCTACAGGCAAGCGGCATCGTTTACTAACCTTTAGCACACTGGATGGTTCTTATGAGATTGTCCATAACTGTCTTCTCCTGTTTCAGTCTTCGTTCATGGCTGAGATTTACATTTAACAGCTCTGGGTTCATGGCTACGATTTGCCTTCTTCGGGGTACTATGTGATGAAGCGGGGGTTGCTTGGTGAGGCGGAGAGGCAATGGCGAATCCCAGCATTTATCCTATGCGAAGATTGTTCTACTACCGATTTATTGTATTGCTCACTGCACTTAGACCAAAAACTGGTCTAAGTGCAGTGAGCCGTATAAATAAACAAATTTTATTTGACAGCTACGAGGATACCGTGAATAGATGAGATAAACGAACGTGACCGTGAACGGAGTGCAATGAAAATCGGCCGAAATTCTTTGATTACAGCAGGGTACATTTACCGGGTTCGGGGCAGCGCATATACACAAAATGGTCAAGCCCCAGAGTGGGCATCGCATTGTATGTCCACGTAAGTTGTGACGTAACTATCTCAGAATTTGTATGTTTCCCACGCCTGATGCACAGCGATGCGTTCGAGCGACAGGCGAGTGTGACGGGAAAGCGGCATCAAGCTTCGAAACCGAGACACACTCTCGCTTTTGTAAAAACTCGAAGGAAGCTAGCGACTCAGTGTAGCTATTTCCAGTCGGTTGCACGTGAGTAATTTTAATTAACAAGTTAAACGGAGGATTGCAGCTTGTGATAGTTTGCAGCACTATGTCGATTTTGGACGGTAGTTGTTGAATGTTCGGCACCATTTCCGGTATAATACGTCCTGTTTTAGGGGGCGACCACAGTGTGTAGCCTAGCGTACGAGGTGTTACCAATTTGACGAATCGTTCCAAATGACGCTTAACATGGATCACGACTCTCTGCGTCGGAAGCCCATCCAGTAGGCAGTAAGTGGGGACGGTGTGCAAAGTGCAAAGACTATCATTTTATGGGAAGCTCGTAAGAATTCTTGGTTAACTGCCAGTTTGTGGCACTTTCCATATTCTGAGATTTAATTCATTGATTTCCCGTTTTATTCCTGTACGCTCCGGCTTTATAGTGGGCCGACGGCCAGCTCGTTGGTGCGTAGGCCTTTTCTTTCTCGTATTCTCGTCTGGGGTGCTAGGATATCCGAGATCTCACTCCAGAATTCTGCCTTCTATCAGAAAGATGTCATTCTGTTTCTCCGTCACAACGAGATTAACTAAATTCCCATCGCGAAATATTATCCCGGCTCCACTATGTCTTATAAATGCAAGCACAGAAACGATCTCTGTTTCCTAGGGAATTTACGGTTTTACCTGATGCACTGCTATTCCCATGACTGGTTTCTTGGGAAAGATATCGCATTGGCATTGAACGTGCCCGCAAATGCAAACTGGCCCTGACAGCCGAATGTCGGCCATGCCGAATGTCGACCAGCCAGTGGACCACATTGCCGAATGTCGACGGAATTCCTGAGAACACTAAAGTAAAGTTTTAAAGTGATGTAGCCTTCAATGGAATGCATTAAACCAAGAACTAAACCAGCAATTAAAATGTAAACTGAGCTCCTGCAGTCTTGCATTCGCTATGATCGCTCGGCATGCGTTTAACTGCAGGCATTAAGTTCAAGAAAACTGTCCAAGATTTTTAAACCTGAATCAAATAAGATAGATACAATCAGCAGATCCGCGCTCAGCGGCCAGAGAAACTGAACTGCATTAACGAGAAAACCGCTCAACAGCTGTTGGAGGCCGTGGTGGACTTCGAAAAGGACAAGGATGCTCGAGTGGCGGTGATATATGGCAAAGGTTAGTGGCAACAGAAACGTGTGCCTCATATCAAAATATCCCGTGTTTCAGTTTTACGAATGTGACAGCAAAATATTTTCTTTTAAAATTTCTACAGATGGATGCTTCTGCTCGGGCTGGGACCTCGACAGTCTGTTTGGCGAAGACGAGAAAGGGGCTATGAACATGTCAAAACTACCCGGTCTCCTTGGACCACCGCGCAGGAATTTGATTTCCAAACCGATGATTGCGGCTGTTAATGGGCTCGCTGTGGCTGGCGGTTTAGAATTGGCGCTCCTATGTGATATGCGCGTGGCTGAAGAGGACGCCGTTTTTGGTGTCTACAGCAAGAAATACGGTACGGTACGTCTCCATTTCCGTACGAGGTAAAACTAGCAAAATCATTTTATAGCCGTTGCTTTGCTCTAAGCGCACACAAGGGCTTCTCTGTCCGAACCGGGTGATGAAGATTTATGTGCACTGGGTGTTTTACCCTTCGTCGATTTTGTTATTAGAATTTTGAACCGTCTGGCCAATTTCCACCTTTTTATTCCTCCCACATTGTACTTACGTGTTAGTTATTTCTGCTTTATTTTAGTGCTTTCTGTTTTAGTGAATCTGTATTTCATTTAATTCCTGATATGATACAAACTGCTGCACATCTCAGCTTTTTCTTCTTGCGTAAAACGATTTCTGTGAATTCTGTAGCCGCGCAAATCTCTATTTTGTAAACTGGCAAATTTGCTTATTATATCGCTTTTGTGTATCAGAAATTTCCATTTGATGTGGGTTTCGTTTTTAGATTGTTGTATATTTATTTTATATTGTGTAATGTTTGTTATTTTGTTTTTTTATCTAAATTAGCTGATCTTACGGAGCAGTTCTGATGAATGGTGTATACATAGCTGATTTCCATTTTCCAGGTGTCCCTCTGGTTGGTGGCGGAACCGTTCGTCTGCCAGCTTTGATCGGGGTGTCTCGCGCTGTGGATTTGATTCTGACTGGGAGAGGAGTTTCCGGTCAAGAAGCTCTTCAGATGGGTTTAGCTAATCGCATCGTCGACAGAGGCACCGGTACAACTTGCACTGAAACTTTTGATCTAACAAAAAAAATCGGGTATTAGTCAGTAGTACTAATTTATATGTGGCGGCAGCGTTTAAATGGTGGTAACGGAAAGTTACGGAATTGTGATGCATCCAGTGAATCAACCGTACTTTTTAGATATTTTATTTAGAAAACCTACACCAAAGCTGCCAGACGTTAACTTGGGTGTTGTCCTTTCCAGCTGTAGGTGAGGCGGTTAAAATGGCAACTTTGATTGCGAAGTATCCACAAGAATATATGCTAGCTGATCGGAAGTCAGTCTACTATGCCACATACAATGCTAAAACGCACGATGATGCCCTTCTGTTTGAACATGACAACGGCAAAGAAATAATTGCGAAGGGTTCGGAAGGTGCGGTACCTTGTGTTTGTTATCGTTTATTTGTAATCAGTAGGCAATGATGTGTGAAAGTAGGCAAAACTCTGAAGGTTTATTTGCCCACGAGTAAACTTTGTGTAATGCTTCCTGATAGTACACTAGTTTTGTATCTCCTTCCTTGTTGAAGTTGCGTAGTTTTATCAGCTGAGACCGCTACGTGCTCATCAACCAACTTTGCACATGGCTAATGAGTTTGTTTTTGAAGGGTCCCCAGGATTCCCTAGCGGTGCAGGAAGCGAAGACAACGGTTCCGATGCCAAAAAGAAAGGGAAAAAACCGGGAACCTTTCATCGTCTTTGAAAAGACAATTACTCTTGGAAATATTGTGCTATGGGTCTGGATCTGTTTTGTCACTTGGGTGTTCAGTGTATACCGAACCTGGTAGGTAGACGCTTGATATTCAACTTCGGACTATCGTTACACTTTGTTACACGCATGCATTTGAGCTGAAGTTTTGTGCATGACATGCGCTTGGCGACGTAAAATTGCTTCCTATGATATAAAATATGACCTGATCACTGATGCAACCTTTCTAATTTTGTGTAAGTAACTCTTTTTTTGATAAAAATTGATTCGCTCTAACGATGACGGTTCAGATCGTACTGAAGTACACGACTTTAATGACAGGTGTAAATGCATCGGTGACCAGTGACCACTTTTCTTTAGATCTGTGCGAGTAGTTTGAATGCAGTTTTGTTAACCCCATGATCAACTGTTTAACTGTCCAAAGCCTTTCAGACACGAGTACATCACTCGTATGCAGTACAGTATGCACTATGCAGTACGTTAACCAGTTTCCACAGGCGTAGAAGTACAAATCCTCGCAGGGGTCAGCGGACGTACTTATACGACCCAAAAATTTTGAGGCTGTAATGTGCATATAGCTATATAATGTGTATATAGCTATATAACTATATATAGCTATAATGTGTATATAGCTATATAATGGCTATATAATGATGTAATGTGCATATTTACATACAATGATACACGTAGCACATGTCTACATCTGCACATGTCTGCACGCATACGGTGCGTTTCACAGTTGCAAAACATGGACTAACCGATTTTCCTGCATTGTGGTGTTTCGCATGCTGTTTGGCTGGATGGCGGCCGCATCATGGCGCATATGATCCCACTGCTCAGACAGAATCTACTGGATCATGAACAAACAACGTATTTGTGTAATCGTGGGTGGTGGTACTGCTTAAGACGTCGTACTTTGGACGAACACCAACCACTCAACAACTCGCAGCAATGAAATCAACGATAGGAATACCAAGATGGATCCATATAATAGTTATGTATATGCTCGTATACAGACTGCGATTTTACGAAAGCAGCGGCATTGTCTGCCTAAAGTCAGCCTTATAATCAGAATTACTAAGAATCAGAATTACTATTCAGAATTACAATAATCAGAATTACTATTTTGATTATTGCACGCAGTTGCTGTTTGTTCCTTTCATCAACGGCGCATGTCTCGAAGGTTTTTTGCAGAAGTGGAAGCGCGGAAATATCGTTAAAGTGCACTTGTGTTTTCTGCTTGTTTGTTCCATTCCGTTGGACACTTGTAGAGTACAACGTATAATAATATTTCTACCGGAATATACCTCACCGCGGGCACGAAAACCGTTCACATTGATTGCTGTTATAACAAACGGTTTAACTGCGACCATTCTTTTACCGATAGTAAATCATTAATCTGTATGCTCACTTGTGTCATGCACAATAAATGCTGAAATACGTATAGTACTATAGGTTACGTATATAAATATACCTTTCGATACTTGCACGAGTACCTTAAAATTAATACACCTTCAATACTCGGCAGTATTGTTATCCACTACGAGCACTAAAGCTTACGTATAACGATACACTGGATTCGTCTACATAAACAAGAATCCAGTATTTCAGCATTTATTGTGCATGACACAAGTGATCATCTGATCATTATTGTAGTGCGACGCTGCCGCTCTGGTTTTCAAATGGACGTACAACGCTTTTCAACGCTATTTTCCTATAAAAACAGCCAACCGCACGTATGCGTAAAGTCTTCAAACGTATGCAAAAGAATACCGGATCAAGAATCGACTGTAGTCGGTAAGTGCGTGACACCGCCGTGAAAAGGGATGGACACTGGGCCTGTATGCTTGGCCTGAAATCCAGTAGGTATAGCAAACCCAGCATACCGCCGCCCTGCATGTGTAGACTAGAGGTTCGAGATGACAAAAGGAGGAGGCATCGAAGCTTAGGCCTTGTCCCGAATTCAAAGCGAATCTCGTTATGGTACGGTTGCTCAACCGCACGAGGTGGCTGTATGCAGTGGCCACGCCTACAGATACGGTACGCGAAGCCACCTCGCGAGGTGGAGTTGCTGTATCGCAACGAGATTCGCTTTGAATTCGGGACGAGGCCTTATTGTTTTTGGCTGGTTGCCGGCATCGCTGTTTTGATGCTTATGTTCTTACTTGACCTTTGGCGGACAACGCAGATTCGTTTGAGAGACACATAGTAGTCGCACTAGTCGCTAACTTCCGTTGTAGTAGCGGATAGCACAGCGGAACGAACAGCTTCGGTTTATCAAATGCAGTAATCTCCGTAAAATGATCCAGCCGCCATTCATCCGGCAAGCGCTGCCAGGTGGACGATAACACACTGCGTCCAACATAATTCCCGCAACTACTAGAGTAGGTAATATGCACAATTATGCTACCATAGCGAAGCAGAATATTAAGCCAAGCCAAAATGTACGTGTGATGTTGGCGGTATGAATGCGCCCGGATGGAAAACGGTGGAAGTGGTTCGCGGATTGCTGTTAGATTGGGGTATCACGTGCCGAGATATACGATGGGTGACTCTTCCATCGGAGCGACTCCAAAGAATAATGGCGCGCCGGCCGAACAAGCGTTTGTGGAAATAAACAAGATGTACGTGGGTATTATTGTTAGCCTGTGGACCTTTGATGTTTGGTGCAACGCTTTTGGTAACCTCTCAAAGAAAATCGGGAGAAGGCTGTTTAAAAGAACCAAAGAAGGTCGCCTTTTTTTTGTATCAAACTTTCAGCCTCGAGATCCAACGCGGAAATGCTCTGAGTTTGTTTCCGTGGGAATTGTTCCTTTCCGTGTTTTTAACATGTGGGAACTGTTCCTTCACGTGTTAACTGGCTTTTTACTTAAGCGATGTCTTAGCGGCGCAGCCATTTGTAAATACTGAATTAAGTTTTCCACATATTATGTAACTTTAAGTGTGAAAAAGTTAGTTGAATCGTCCCCATTGCTTTACAATTCTTCCGCGGAGCCACTGGTCGTTGCTTCGACACGGTTACATCATGATGTTAATTGGTCTGTTGCCGTTCAGTTTAAAGGCGCTGCGTGTATTGTACTATAAATTATAGGCGCAGTGTTATTACTTGTGTCCGAACTGAACCTATTAACCTATACTTGTTATGCCTTGCGCTTGTACTGTAGCTGGGTTAGTTTTCCGTATTTGGTGCCCTTTTGTGCGACCATGGCCGCGAAAGGACTGCACCAAAAGACGGAACGCCGATCCACATGTAGCTGTTTACCTAGTCCATTAGCTGTAGTGTACAGATTTAAATTCAGAAACGAAAGGGCCTGTATGCGTCGTAAAAATTATGTAAAAATAATAGCACTAGCTTTACCGTAGTGCATATGAAGCCGGCTTCATATGCGGCTGCATATGCACTACGGCTTTACCATACGTGTCCAAATGTGCGAAGAACTTTGAAACGATTTTGAAAGTTAAAACAGCTGTCTTTAAAAACAGTGAAATACCGACAGATATACGGTCAAAATACCCTCTATTAAACGGCGGCTAGATTCTTGCTTCGTTACGAAAAACTGTAACTTTTGCTTCACGCTGTACATTAAGCACACAAAATGTCTCGTTGAACGTTCTACGCGTTTTTCAGTTCAGCGGATCGAAGCAGCTGTTCGCGATGCCGAAAACAACATGAAAGATGGTGTTATTAATCTTCCGGAAATCAGTCCTTATAGCCAAACTGACGACCCCGCCCTAACGTATGTCGAAGTGCCAGTCGGAACGACTGTCAATTTTTCTTGCCAACCGTTGCAGAATGCTGGACTGTATCTGAGCAACTACAGTTCGAATGAAGTAGTTTGGAAACATAAGAATATCGAAATTCGCTCTAACGCTGTACCCGCCATTTCCGAAGAGTTCTTTTACAGCTACGGTAAAGTCAAAGACGTCTACTATTTCTTTATCCATAACGTCAGCCCTGGTAGTGCCGGGATTGTGGAATGGCTGCAAATCTGTACCAACATCATAACTGCAAACCTGTGCTTTATTCGAAAATTTTTTCTGCGACCGACATATTTGCGTGCCAGTGACCTTTTCGTGAATATGTTTAACAACATTACGACCCGGTTTGGTAATATCTCATTTACCTGCACGGCGCGCTTTGACTGTTCAGAAACCGATACTGGGCCGCATTTTATGTTCAAAATCCGCGATTATTTTTTTGGCCCCCCTCGGGATCACTATCTAAATGTCCTGCCGATTACATGCTTTAGGGATATAGCTGAACTAGCTTCCGAGAGCAGAAGATCCTCCCCTGGCGATCCAGAACCTTTTGCGAAGTGACTGTATTCTTCGTGATGTTGAAAAAAGCTTTCTGGAAGCCGGTACGAGTTCAGTGTTGGGTGCGACCTAATGAGAACAGTGATAAATGGTTTGTGCAGTCCGCATACGCTCTTTTCAAAGCGGAGCCTTAATTAGCTGGCAAGATTGCTTGGATGGAGAAGTACAGTCCTAAATGTTTGCAGTGAATGATGTTGTTGTATTCCTTCGTTTCTGGATTACTTTCTTCGACTGTCGTTAAAAACCAAATATAGTTAATAAAATCCTATGGTTCAAAAAGAGCGATGTACCAAAAAGAATCGTGACGGAAAACTGTTGAAGAATACTGTACGTACTACGTACCATTGAAGTGACTGAATGCTGAAATTACTACTGCGTCTGCCTGAAGCGGCTACTCCCATACGCGGCTACGCCATTATACGAGTACATACAACAATACTTGGCTTCGTAACTAGACGAGATGAGAAAATAATATATTTTGTATACCAGTATACGGGATCGGATACCGCACCCGACATACACTAGTAGTTCATTCATTCTGTACTACTGGACAGGGTAGATCGCTGTTCTGACTGGATGCAAGTATGGGTCGTGCTGATCCTCTTCTTCAAGCGGACCTCATCGGTTTCGACTGGGGATTACGGAAACTTCGACTGGCTAACTGAAGCGGTCAGCTACTTTTGTACCCAGCCCATATCTATCGTAGGCCTAAAACCCAAAAAATACTAACATATCGTATTTTATCAATGGAAGACAGACAGACATGAAAGTGCCTTTGGCCTGGTCATTGAGAAATTTTAACTAAACTATGGTGCGCGAAACGTTTTGTTGGTTAGCCGCTTCTTTAATAGGACCGAAACGCAGAAATGAGAATAACAAAAACTTCAAAGGCTACTTTCTAGTTTCTACTACTAGTGTAAATTATAACAGGCAGAAATATGCAGGCATAACACCGGGGCATTTCCATTTATTGCAAGCAAGCTTAATCGCTTGTTAAATATGCCGAGCAAACGGCATTAAAATAAAGGTACCCTTATGGGCACCCCCTAAAACCCCCGTATATTTTAGGCACCCCTTTTCTCACCCTGCTTATTATAGGCACCCTTTTTTAATTATGATGTACAATTAGATTCAATGTTCTCAGATAATAATACTGCTATACACATACACATATGTATATGGAAAGATGCGGATGATTTTGTCATATAGCTTCCGCCCAACCGCCACGACATCTGCCAGTTCGCTGTCGTAAAGGTCCAGCGTGACACCTATGCTTTTTTCACCAGGGCCTCGGTTTTGAATTTTACCTGCTCTCGTTCTAATATTCACAGGACATCGCCACGAATGCTGGCTGCAAGCCTGACACGAGCTGGGCACTGGTTCCGTCGACTATGAATGAATATCCGAACGCCAACCTGCTTCTTTTCGTATTCTCTATGAAGCACAGTGACTGTACACAATCGTAAACAAATCTTTTGTACTTAAGGGAAGATTGCAGAGCTTTCCCTTCTTGAACTTCTCGGACTCGTATTATACGAGTAAATGTCTGGAAAGTCCTGATATCTTTCGGAGTCTTTCTCGAATTCTTCGAAAGAAGGGTATGCATCCTTCAGGTTATACTAGATGACTACTGGGTAGATCAGCGATCATGACTTCCGATTGCCGCGGCACAGGAGAGCTGCTTGAACCCGCCATAATATATGAAATTTGCCGATTACAACACAAAATTTCTGGTGCTTTTCTAATAGTTATGGTTGTGTATCGCTATTAACAACATTGACCTTTTGTCCATAGTAAGTTTTTGCGTTCATAACAACTGTATAAAACAATAATAATTTAATATCGGAATACGTAAATAATATTGCGCTCACATAATACTGTATACCATAATTAGTAATTCAGAAAGGGTGCCTATAACAAACGGGGGTTTCACGGGGTGATATAACGGTTTCCTGACAATAATACAATTGTACTTTGATCCAGCCCTTTAACCGCAGGCATCCTTAGGTCCAGCAGGATACGACGTGATTTAAGTGTATTACTGTTACACGTTAAACTGTGCTTGTATTACGGTTAATTACTTTTACCGGCAAAATCAAACTGGTTGATGGCGATGAATATCATTACGGTGGCTTCTTTCTGCATTAACTGTGTCACTTCAAACCTTAGCGTTGTAAACATATATTGTTCCATGTGTGAGCTAAATTATTACAAATCAAGTTAGTTAGTGATAGCTATTAGCTATACTTAATGCAAATCCTTTACCAGCGACAAAGATACGAGTACAATGCCCACTCGAGGCTTATGATTTTATGGACTTTCAAAACGATACTGTACGGGAGAAGGTATAATATAGAGAAACCGACTTAGGGCGACGGAGAGGTAATCGGTCTTCTCTTCAGGTGAAACATATTGATTATCCCCAACAGATCCTACAAGTGCAGTTGGTACTGGTAGGACACCGTTCTGCCGCTGCTAGGCTCTATTATTGCGAAAGCCTTCGACTTGTTGCAAAGGAAGCATCAATGAACAAAGCCCAGGTCTACCTTAATGTGCCGAATTTGGTCATCGTAGCGGAATGTCTTAAAAAATCGACGTCGGAATCATTGCTTAATATAAAAAATGATCTTGTATTTCATGCAGTCCAGTAAAACACAAATCGGAAAGAGTGAATATTTTTATGGCAAAATCAAAAATGTCTGCAGGTTTTATTTTCCGGCTCGCTGTTGATCGGCATCTTGCCATCCAGAATGATAACATGCTATGGCGCATGTACCACAGTACGAATATTGCTTTTGGTTAACTTGTATGAGCTCCGGCACGCGTCTGTACGACGGTGCGGTTTGTCCTGTGTTAAGTCATTTATTACGAGAAATTCCATGTTGTAACATGCTGATTTGTACCTGATTCTGGAGGCAGAATCAGTCGATCGATACGTGAGCTAGCGAAATAAGACCTAATAAACTTGTGTTGTGATATCCGGATATTCGTGTGTTGTGGTGACCTTCGTAAAGACAACTAGGGATAGTTATCTGAGCGGAAGTCAGTGTGTGTAAGTCGGAAGTAACATCATCAGACAAAATCTGGGACAACAACATCGTCCTAGTAGGATCCTGAGTGTGTGTGTGTACGCGCGTGTTTGTAGGAAATATTAGTGCTAATATTTCCGTGGTGTTTCCATTATTATACATCTAGAGCAGATTCCATCTTTATTGCCTGAGTAAGGTTGGTCATCCTGCTGTACTTGTGAGTACAAGTACACCAGAGCATGTCAATGATGAGACAAATTTTTTAGAAAACCACGTGCAACGTTTTGCTTAGCCATCCGATATTTTTTAATAAAGAAAGCCCAGACACAAAAACAAGCGTTTAAACAAAAGTATTTTGTCTCCCGTTAACAACATCGATCACATGATGATGAAAGATAGTTTTGGCAAAAGCGTTGATTGGCGAAAAAGTCAAGAGTGCTCTCAATGTATACTTAGTATATATGTGGCGGAGCAAGTAGCAGACATTTATGGAATTGCATGGGTAACGAATGCGATAGCTTCACTAAAGTAGTAGTTTTAAAAGTTATATCGATCATTGATGTACCAGTGAGTTCAGAGAGAAGTTGAACCGCCTCGCCCAGTTTCGACTTTCACCAGGAAGTGATAATCACGCCAAATATTCTCCGGGTCGCCTTTGTGCCGCAAAAACAGCCCCTCTATTTGTGCTGGGGTAGTTTTGGTGTTTAGCTCATACGCTTTTTCCGCAAAGCTCTTCGCAAAGTCGCCCGCGTTGTCCACCACGTTGCACCGGTATTATCGTCGCGGTAAGAATAATGCCGCTTACACAGTAAATTCGCTATGCATTCACAAGCCATCGAAATGATCCTAGATCGATCGTCATCACTGCACTGGTTGAATATCTTGAGAATGACCTCTGAGTCTTGGAACTGCCGTTTATACGTCTCTATCGCCGAGGTTTTGTTATTAATCAGGTGCTTATAATGCCAATGCAAAAATAGGAAACGCAAAAAAGGCAAATGTAGGTAAATGCAAAGAAAGTATTGACTTATTACTAAGTAATGTTATAATACTGTACATCCCTGCCAACATAATGGGCTTTAGACTACTGCGCACCAGTGATATGACTCGTATGATAAAATTATTTAAAGATACTCCACAAACTGGAAAGGCCGAATTTCTCCACAAACCTGAAAGAGCCGGTTCCGGATTCTTCTTCTCTTAACTGCACTTAATTCTGGTACGCTTTCCGAATAAATAATTAATAACGAATAAACAAACTCAGCTCAATGAATACACCATTTCGTATGCTGTCTCGTACCGGGTCATATTCGGGGATTATTTCTTGTATATCGTTGCAGTTCGGGAACTGCATATTTGGCTTTGTTTGTAACTTGCCACTTGCATTGTGCATATGTCCTTCGAATAAGTGAACTTATCAAAGTGCGCGAGGGTGCGGCATTGGCTCACGGACATCATGTGGACTAACATTTCGTCGACCGCACGATGTCGACCGTCACGAGGGCGACGAATAAGAAAACTAAAAAACATATGCCGATTAACTCCCGACATGTTAACCACTCCAGCCGACCGACGGAAACCCACGTCATCGCCGTCGGATCGGTGGCTGCCGGCACTTGCCGGTGGTTTATGTTATAGGCCCCGGACAATCCGTAAAAGCGCGAATCATTTGTTTGTATTGAACATTTGCATATGTATCAGTTTGAAATATTTATCGGTTTTAAATTTCTTTCTCACGTAACAGAAGGTCGACGTACTATTCCAGAATCCACATTTTTACAAAAAACAAAGAACATATCATCATCTCTCTTAGTAACAGAAATTCATCGTGAAAATTTACTGCGCTTTTCTGCAATTAAAAACCTGTGCAAATGTCAAAACCAGCTGTCAGGGAAAGTAGCGAGCAAAATCAGCAACAGCGGTTCCGGTTTCTGGTACATACTGTACTGGAGGCGCTTACGTACGGCATAATATTGCTGTGTATACCTTAAGTACTCGTACATCGAACAAAACGTTGCCTCTTAGACAGTCTACACCACTTATACGAGCGAGCCCAAGTACTTACAAGAATGACGATAAAGAAGTACCCGTAGAAGATGATTTTTTCATTGCTTACTTGTTTTTAACTCATGGAGCAGACAGATATATCGTTATCTAACCCACACCAAACCTCCTATAAAGTACTGTACTAGTTCTACCACACCACATGTTTTGACTTTGGATTCATTTTGGCATCAGCAGAACAGTTAAATGCTTGAGCGAACTCGGGCATGTTGGACACCATGCCGTTGACTCTCCACCTGTTGGGCGAATGCTCATCAGTCAATATGCTAACCCTTTGGGTTTCGATGCGCACTTTTTCACACCATATCTGGAAAACCAAACACTTGGAAAATCGTAAGGCTATTCTCACTGGTCCGTAAGACCTACCTGTGCATTGGACAAAAAGAAAAGCTGGTCTGGGCCGAAATTTTCCAAGCCAGGAAGTGCCGGTTCCGGGTTACTTCGACGCGAATAATGCTGGTAACCCTTTAAAAACAATAAATGGAATTTCGGTTTTATGAACGCACGCTGTATCTAGTTCTGCCATAAAAAAAAGGAAAAAACGCTTTCCCCAAAAACCCCACCTCATATGCTGCCCTCATGCCGCCGTTGTCGGCGATATTCTCCGTCAGCGTCAGCTCGCCATTCACTCGGCCGGTCTCTGTCGTATAATTCCCGTACTGCCATTGTATCCCCTTGATTTTTTCGTTATAAGCCGCCTGTGTGACATCCGTCCACCACACCCGTCGTACGCCCTGATCGTCGTACTTGGCACCCTGATTGTCGAATCCATGCGTAGTCTCGTGGCCGATCACCGAGCCGATTCCTCCGTAGTTCATACACTTGAGATTATCTGGCAAATAGAACGGACTTTGTAGGATGGCTGCGTCGATCACTGCAAAATTCGTAGTGGTCAGAAAAAAGAATTATTTTAATTAAAACTGTTTACGTAGTAGACGAATGTCGCACCTACTTAAACCGTTCAGGTTAGGATTGTAGAAGGCATTAACCTCCGTGACATCATCCGTATCGCGAATCGGATCGTACCGTTGATTGGGTTTGGGCAGACGCTTCATTTCTCGTACTGCGTAGTTCTTTAGAATCTCCATGACGGTTTTCACAAATGTTGGTTGAGGTTTAATCTGCAAGCAGATACACTTGTTGCCTGTTGGTGAACATCGCAATGGTATTCGGTTCACCATTGGATGGTACTTACGTCGGCATATTCAGCATCAACAAGACTGATGTTTTTCTCGTAAATGCTCGGGTACGCGACGACATTAATCATCGCTGCGAGCTTCTTTAACGCCGCGTCACGCGTAGTATTATCCATCCAGCGTTCATTAGCTAACATATGTCGGTAGCCTTCTTGAATATCCTTGACCATTTGCGTCGCCTGTTACGAGAACTCAATTTTAAACAACCGTCATGCGGGTGTTAGTGCCAAAGGCGTAGTTTTAGTGACCTTGGGCTTGACGCTTTTCTGGACAACATCGCGTACGTACAGCGCCCCGACCGCCAATGGCATCAGTCCCTTGGCGGTATCCCAGCAGCGTTCCCCGGCGGAGGGATCCCGCTTCTGCACGCGTCCGCTAATACGCTGCGTATGCGCTAACATCGCGTCGCGGTAATCTTTGTTGAGATAATCCGTGAACCCGTTAATAATCTGCCAACCAATGTACGTCGCCAGACGGCGTGTTCCCTCTTCGCCCTGCTGCTCAAATTCCACCAGTTTCTGGTCGAGTTTAGGAAAAAATGTCAAGTTGGGCAGAACAATCTTCGTGCCGTAATGGATTAAATAACCCAATTTAGCGTTGTCAAAGAGTAAGCGCAGACGGTGCGTTGTGTTACGAAAAACAGAAGAGTTGAAGTTATAGCGCGTTTCAAATTCGCCCAGGGTCATTTTGTTTAGGTAGATGTCGTCATTATTTGCTTCCGTTGCTGACAGTTGTGCCTGAAATACTCAAACTGAAATCGACCAATTGAAAAAAAGGTTTCTAGCTTTACCATGCCGAATTGGCGTTCCATGTCAATCAGATCGGTGATATTAGCCGAAAAATCATCGACGCTGGCTGGAGAATTGGTGTCGTTCAGCAATAAGGCCGTAATGTTCGTGACCAGCGTCAAGAAGCTTTCCGTGTACAGCTTGCCCGTGACCTCATCGGATAGAATGTCCACACCGGCGAAAGTAGCCGGTGGTGCGAATTCAAGAAGATTTACTTTGGGGTTCTCCACGTCTGGCTTGATGTTGATCTGGAAGAACGGTTCAGTTCGCGTGAGGAAGGTGCTTCGCATAGCTGTATGTATGTAGAACTTGGAGGAATTCCAGTTGGGCGTTATGATGGGCCATCCGGCAATGGCGTGATCCAGCAGCTCTAACAACGGTTTGGCACGCAATGCATTGATCGTTGCTAAAAGATTTTCAACCTCAAAACATCACCACGTTATAATCCAAAATTGGAAAAATTCTCCGAGGACCAAGACCTACCATCATCGCTGCACTGGTTGAAGAACTTTTTAAGTATGACCTCGGAGATATAGGATGAACTATCGTTTACAGGTCTCCGCAGCATTTCTGCAGGGATGCATTTTTGTTTAACAACCTATTTCGCGACATGATACGAAGAACATTTTACCTTGTCCAATGTTCTTGGTCTGTAGTTCTAGGTAGTGGAAGTTGTGGATGTCGGTTTCGTTATCCAGAATCTGATGGTTAGCTCTCCAGCCTCCACACGCATACTCATAGAAATCTTCGCAGGGGTCCGCCGAAGCGTTCATACTTTGCTTGGTGAATCTTGCTATAAGAATTTTAAACCGACTACTATAAGTGAACTAACGAAGTAATATTACGATGTGCAAGTGGTCACTAATTTGGAGATTTGCTTACCGACTTTCTGGCATGTTGGTGTCTCACAAATCTTTGGCTCCGCAGGCCTGTTACCTTTGGCGTTGAACTCTGAGCTAATAAACCCTGTTAAAAATTATGCACAAGATTCCAGATTTAACCCGTAAAAAGATCTTTCAAAAAATGAAAATTTTTCCGTACCTTTGTGCTTTAGTATGGCGCACGATGAGGATGATAAACTGCCGATAAACAAGAAACCTGCAAATAATACTGAAGACATTGTGGCATAAAGGACGAATGTTTGTGTCCGCCGGATGCGAATGTTTGCTGCAGCATCAGATGAAATTAGCAGGCCACTAGTTCTGTCAACCAAACATTTCAACTTCGGTTATTTAAAAAAACATAATTACTCCGTTAACATAGAACAGCAGTAAAATTGACGGATTAAATAGCTGCGCTTATAGTGATTTCTGCCTCGTTTACGACAAGTCGAAGGCTTTCGCAACAACAGCTGTAGCAACGGTATTCTACAAACTGCAGTTGTAGAGTTTGTTGAAATTAATACGTTCACCGCTACGAAAATACCGGTTCCCTCTCGCACCACACCGGTTTTATGCTCTTATTTCCGCCCGTAGCGTTTTGTTTTGAGAGACGATCAATTAAGTGCGACAATGGGAACTGCTTGATTATTATCGCTAAATTGATAAGACACGAGGAAGGGGCTGAGGATATACAATTATACATAAGTAAATAATCAGTAATTAACTGGATAATAAGTCAAATCACGTCATATCCTGCTGACAGGAGGTTGCCTTCGGCTGACGGGTACTCGTAAAAATATTCATTATGTCAGTCACTGGATTCCGCTAGGCATTTTCTGGTTGCACTTTCATTCATGCATGAAAACGCGTTTTTTTATAATTAATTTATTTACGACACGAGCAGCTTAGTCCCACTTCATTCATTTTTATTGTGCCAAATAGTAAGCGTGCTTGCAGAAAAGGGAAATGACCGTATTTCCGTACTTTTACGCGTGACCAGCGAAACTCCCTTCGTACCCCATCCATAAGTGCCCAAAACTTTGGTGACCCGACTAATGCACTTAATTATGTCATGATTATGACCATGCATACGGGTTACTACATAACTCGTACACTACGTCCATGAGCCGCAATCTGTATGGTATTAATCTCAAATTTTTAACAACCGGTTGAATTACTTGTACAGACCGAGATCTAGAGAAAGCAAGTGATTTACACATCCGCTGATCAAAGCGTGACGAACTGGCTATACGGAGTAACAACTATCTTTAATTCTTTGCCGATGTTTATCACTACAGCGATTCTTTGAATAATTTTTTTAAGTTTTTGGATGTACACTGAAAATCTCGTGTTTTTCTGTATAATACCAACGCACTTTCATACTTAGAAAGCCATACAGTTTACCGGAGTGACTATCGTTGTAAGACATTTTAATTTACGTGAGCAACAAGACGTTCACGACACAAATGAATTTTTAATTGCAGCTACTGTATTTGATTAAATACAGACAGAAATTGCACGAAATCATATACAGACAGACAGCAAAATGGAGCACAATAGGAAATTGCTGAACTCCAGATTCTCCAAACAGTCATCGACTTCAAATTAGCCCGCAAAACACCACAAATATTGACAACGCGTTTAGTCAAGTGCGACCTTTACTTCCACCACGGTCCCGGACCGCCGAAGGGTCCACCGTACGGCCCGCCGTATCCGAAAGGTCCTCCATAGCCGCCATAGCCCCAACCACCGCCGAACGGACCACCCCAGCGTCCACCGTAGAAGCCGCCGAATCCCCGTCCGTACCATGCGTCCGCCGTGGTCACAGCCATCACGATGACCGCCAAAACAAGGAGCAAGAACTGCAAAATTAAAGACAGTCAGATACAGCAGTCAAGCCGTGTGCATTCATTCGATATCAAATAAACTACACTGAGATTTTTTCGAGCGACGATAAATCTACAGTTCAAGGAATTCAACAAAAACATCATCGTCCTGATTATCGTTTGCAAAACCGACTCAGCATAAAATCTTAGCCCAATAGCCAAAAACTAAGAACCGCATGTGCGGTTTACAAATCAAGTGCACTTACCGATTGAATGGAGATCATGTTGGCAAAAGGTCACGCACTGGTCCTAACCGTTACCACAAACTACAAAGCACGACGGATCAGAACTAAAAAAATCGACTAACCAAACGCAAACTCTATCAAACCGAAGAAATTCCAACTACAAACTCAGCATCACGCTGCGAATGGCTTATATAGGGGACAGCCAAGACTAGGAAAACTGCATGCCGGATGTATGCACCATCGTTGCGCATGTATCGGCTGAAATCCGTCGCTGCGGTTGTCAGTTCATCTCATTGCGCTGGTGGAAACAGGAGATCATAAAAAGATTTCTGAAAACTGGTAAGAATAATAACTTCTCTAGCGTTATTACTCGGCAAAAAAATGTGAGATTCATACCGAGAAGTAGGATCATACCCGTATAATAAAAATTCGTGTTATGATAACACCATCGATCTGTATTATAACCTTTACTATTATGGACAAGCTTTACACCGAAAAGACGGCAATGTCCCGCGTTTGCACTATACCTGGCGAGTTTAAGTTTAAGTTTAATGGTTTAACGTCCGCACACATTCAGGGAAGAATCCCAATTCGAGGCAGCAGACACTCACAACAGCAACAATGCAACAGAGTCATACGCCCGTTATTTTAGTAACGAAATTTGCGATAAGACAGCTACTTTTCTAATGATCAGTTGACGGATCGTGCAGGTAGTTTTCGTTAGCTTTACTCGATACTTCGAAATTAGCATGGCTGCGATCATGCAATAGAGCTACCAACGCAGCAAACTATCTAACAAAAATTCGAAAATTATAATTACGATTAAGTTCTCTTTCCTTATAAAAATGTCTAGAAAATGTATAAACAACTATTCACTCATAATTTTCATGGTACGTACGATGAATGATAAATCAAAATATAATAAATTCATAATCTATCCATTAATTTATTGTTAATATTGAGGGCAAGGGCATAAAGGCTGCCAAATTATTATTATTGTATATATAATCGCATAAACGACTCAAACTTCAGACCTATATAATATATTATATTTTACTGGATACTGCAACATCTGCAAACAAAAATTTAAAAATTTTACGTGTATTATTGGCGTACATCGAACATTTGTCAAGCATGGAGTTCACATTCTCCGCGCATATGCCCCTGTTATTGTCTGTGTGTATTATTGGGCATGTAATTTACGAGAGCATGGAAACAGCGGATAGCCTCTAATACTCGTACAAATTTTACTCCAGCTGGTGTTGTAAATGAATGACATAGGTAACCGCTACTGATCCATCAAAGCGATGCTTAATGATACTTCTCCAGAATGTAACCATGCATAAAAAATTACGCGCACCTTTATCATGCAGAAAATTATTACTATCCAGCAATCTCTCGATGGTGTCGTTTTCCGTAACAACTATTCGATTTTTCACCGAACGGACATTAATAACAGCAGCACGTACGAATAATCGTAGCTTTTCTTAAATTTTTGAATATTTTACATAATAATTATCTCAATCTTCCGGTTGACCAGTTACAGCAATATGCGGATGGAAACCGGTATATATGCACACGACATTAAACATATCTCGGTTAACCTGTTATAAGCGCTCCATCGTTGTCGGCTTTTTCGTGATCCACCGTGCCAATGCTGTTTCCAGTTTCCTGCAGTTTGACTTCAGCAAGCGCTTAGTATTGTTGTTCCGCTGCAGACGAGTGTTTGTTGGAGTGTTACATCAGCCTTTTCTCCACTACCTGTATGCTGTGTGTGTTTGACTCGGCAACCGGCACCGTGGTGCGATAGAAAAACAGGTCACCTCGTCATCAGTCAGCCCAGAAATAACAATCGCTTCCTGCTCGCCAAACAACGCGAGAGAGAGAGACTTTCACTTTTTCCACCATCATTTGTCCATGCATTGTTATAATTATGTGAGACCTGCCAACTGCATGTAACCCGCGCGTACAATGACTGGGAGATTTATTGCGCTGTTCACCTTGTGGCATTGCTGATACAGCGCTGTCATTATCCGGCGCTGCGTATATACGCACGCGATGCCATTGATATTCCAGTTCCTCTTGCGCTAGTGGTGTTTGTTGAATAATTTTTCTTAAAGGAACGGAAAATGTGGATCACGTATTGCTGTTTTTACTCATTTTTGCCGGTGATATTATCCGCTGCCAAAGCACAGAAAGGTCAGCCACATAAATGTAATATATAAACGAATATGACTTATATATGCTATAATGCTTCATAAATCACATTTTAGCGGATTTTATTATGACAAGCTGTAATCGTAATTTTTCTTATTGGTATTATAATATTCGCAGGAAACGTACATGAATTATTTTTACAGAGATTGCTGTTGATAATTATCTGGACAGTGCACCGTTGATTAGCTCACAACCGGTGATACAGGATGTGGTCAACGCTTCCGCTTCCAATGACACAGCAAAAACCATTTGCACAACGGCATCGTGCCAAAAAACCGGTAAGCCAAGTCGTGCACTGCCTAATTAGAGGTTTGCTTAATCATGTATGAAGGTTGCCTTGTTGATCTCTGGATTTCAATTTTCCCGGTAATGGTTAGTTGTTTTGTAACTAAAATGATACGTAACTAAATCTGCAAGCTGAATACAAAGCAAAGATCCAAGATCATTACGTACATATAGAAGTAATAGAACATGACGTTATCCGCTGTGTTTAAAACAAATTACTGTATATGAAAATTGCAATATGTATCAAACTGATTTTGGTTAATCATTGGTTTACAAAATTAAACGAAATGGAAAATCTATATCTTGGATTAATAATTTTAAAAAGAATACAGATAGTGTAAAACGTACAAGAAAATACACAATGTGTGATTCTGATGTGGGACCGGCTGAGGGTCGATAAAAAGAATAACCGGTACTGTATCTGTACATAACAGTGTACTGTAGTAGAATGCATATATTTTATATTCCAAATGAATGTAATTTTTAGCTGATAAATTTCTCATCCGGATCAACAGTTCCGCTGATCCCTGCGATGACTTTTTCGAGTATGCATGCGGCAAATGGGTGAGCACGCACGAGATCCCCGATAACGAAAGCGAAATCAGCGACTTCTACTTCTTGACGCAAAAGATGAAGAAAGTCGGACAACGTAAGCCTTCCCAGTCTTTCTGCATGAAATACGGAAATTTTCCATTTGTATTCCCATTTTAATAGAAATTTTAAGATCCATGAAGGGTCACATGTTCCCCTCGGAAGTTAAGGCCAAAACTCTTTTCCGGCAGTGCAGCAACGAAGGTACACGTTTATACACAATCGAGATGATTAAATTCCCACAAAATAAACACCTTCTGCGTTGCTAGCGGAAATTGAGAAATTGCGCGCGCAACCGTTGTTGGACATCCTGCAGGAGTTTGTCAGCGGATGGCCGCTGCTGGAATCCAACTGGGATGCATCGCGTTTTGATATCTTCGACACACTGGTGAAGAACTTCTTCGTGGGCAATGAGCCCTTCTTCGCCGTCACCGTGGCCGCAGATGTGGAAAATCCCTTGACGAATGTCATACAAATTAATTCCCCTTCGACGTATGCCGCCATCGATGTGCTGACCAACGAAGTTACCGGCAAACTGTATACCGAGAGCTATTTGACCTTTCTGATGAACATGACTTCGTTGTTGTTGCGGGATTTGAACAGCACGGTGGATGTGAATACTTTCTCGCCTAACATAACGGAAATTGTGGAGATTGAGAGATCTTTTGGCATGGTAAAGAAATAAACAATGTATTTTTGAATCATTATACCCAACGGCGCGATGGTCTATCCCATGGACAAGTTTTTCACTGTCCGCCTTTTTAAAAATTATTATTTGTATAATAAAAGCTTATCATAAATGGAATCTTTTTTCAATTGTTATGAATAAATGTAAATATATTACAATACAAGATAGTTTTAATAATACGGTTCCTTAATAAAAATTTCTCTTAATATAATATTCAATATACATACATAAAACTGAGATAATTATATGTATAAAAATTTTTCCTTGTCAGAAAATACAAGCGCGCTTATTTATTATAATTTTTAAGAAGACCTTAGCTAATGTGTTTTACAGGCCAAATTAACCGCCGTAGAAAATGCCGACGACAGCATATACCTGAACCGTATGACCTTATCCCAACTACAAGACCGCTACCAGTTCAACTCCAGTATTTTACGCAACCTGACCAACTACGTCCGCGAATATTACAGCGCCGCCAATCTGTCCAGTGCCATTACGGACAACACCACGGTGGTGGTGCCCAATCTGCGATTCCTGCCGGTCATCGATGCCCGGCTGGCGGAATTTGAAAGCCAGGGGGAGGAGGGAAAACGGCGCTTAGCTAACTACATCGGTTGGCAACTGGTATCCGGTATGCCTATTTATTTACCCAAGGAATACCGGTACGCGCTGGCGGAGTACAGTCAGCGGATTACGGGCCGGAAGGCCAAACGGGATCCGCCGGTGGGCGAGCGGTGTCTGAGTATTGTCACACAGACGATGCCGTTGTGTATGGGAGCGATGTATGTGAGGGATTCGGTGCCCAGTGGAATGAAGTCAAAGGTCAGTATTTCATTTTGAACAAAACCCTGATGTGGCAATATTGTATGGGCTTATAATTCAAATATAACTCGTCGTGCTACACTGTGTCTTAATGCGAAAAAAAAACTACATATAAGAAAGATTTCGGTAGACTTTCTCTGATGATTTGTTTGTTTGTGTGTTTGCTTAATGTCTAATCTTTTTTGTACGGACAGAATCAGAATAATTAACGAAAAGATATATATGTGTTTGAAGTATCTGTAGGTACTCATAAAAATTTAATGATTTCAAACGCCTTTTCTCGCAAGAGGGGTGTTATGTGAATTACCCTGCATTTTAATGGTACTACGCGGTTTGAAAACGAAAATTTGTAGTTCACGATAAAAATAAATTTGTCGATAACGATAATCGCATATTCTGGGACTTAATAACGGTCTTTTCTGGCACGTGAAAACAACATTATTAAAAATATTGTAATTTTCCAGTCTTTTAGTGAAGAAATTATTACTAGCGGTACGAAATGCCATTAAAAACGACGTGCTGAAGTTTTTTCCAATGTCTTGTACTCGTATATATAGGCCACCATGATGGTGAACGATATACAAGTTGGCTTTCGAGAACTGCTGGACGGCGCAGACTGGATGGACAATGCCACCTACCAGAAGGCGATGGTCAAGCTGAACGCCATCATCAACGTCGTCGGGTATCCTGATATCTTTCTCACCAATACCTCCGCGATCGATGAGGAGTACCAATACGTAAGTCGTAAGGACACATTAATCGATTCAATATGATGGATATGGCGGACTGTCTAAAGGAACAATAATAATTGAAGGTCACGATTCAGCCGACATATATGGAGACGATTACCAAGAGCATCAAGAACGCGGTGGTGCGTGTGATGAAGCGATGGTCAAGGCCCAATATCCGCTACAATCCCATCGAAGATACCATGGATATAACGGAAGTCAATGCGTTCTACTCACACAATAATAATCTTCTCAGTATGTACCGTACTTCATATTATACAAACATAGTTTATATGTGTAATATGCCAATAAGATAGACAGAAAAATGATTACACGTTACATACATACATATGCACTAATATCTGTTTACATAAAGTATTACATTTATCATAAACGTAATAAATATGCATAAATGATTTATGCATATTTATTACGTGCATATGCGTAATACATTTATTGTGCACATTAAGTTCTCAGTAAAGATATCGGATGTGTATATGTAATTTCAACAAATAAACAGAAATTATATACGTGTGTGACGTAGCCGATAAATTGTACAATTTGGCTGCAGCAATGTTAGCCGCCATATTGCAGCTGCCGTTCTATGACTCCAAGAGTCCGCAGTATCTGAATTACGGAGCCATCGGGTCTATCATCGGGCACGAGACAACCCATGGGTTCGACGATACCGGTGCTAAGTACGATGATCAGGGTTTCCGGCGCGTATGGTGGACCAACACTACCGCGGTGCTGTATGAAGACAGGAAGAAGGGAATGATTGAACAATATAATAATTATACGCTGCCAGCCGGAAAGGTCAACGGGCAATTGACACTCGGAGAGAATATTGCGGATAACGGAGGATTAAGGGCGTCCTTTAAGGTACTTTCAAATACACCGTGCTGCTCGTTTATTGACGTAGTAAAATTTATGTGATAAAACAGAATATGTGATACAGTAACTATACGAAGTTTAATACGTGATCTTCGCTGCGAACCGTTTAAATGTAGGGCCTATCGGTAACTCAACGGTGCAGCAAACGCAAAATTAAAGATTTAACTGATTGGAAAAAAATTAACATGGCATGTGTTAGTCACAGTGTGTCTGTGCTTGCACGTTACTGCCTACTAGAGAAAAAAATTAATTCAATATTCAGCAAATTTATTACGAAAATTATGCGAAAATCTGGGTACGCTCTTAAGTGATTCATTATCCATCTTTGCAGGGATATACGCGATACCTACAGCGGTTATCCAAACCAGAACCTGTTCTACCTGGACTGGTGGACTATACACCACTACAGTTATTTTTTCTTTCGTTTGGCCAGGTTAGTACTGAAATTATAACATATACTTTATATTATCTGATTGTGATGATGAGCACGTTGCTTGGCTTACTGCATCGCAGAGGGTTTTTGAAAATGTATTTTATGAAATAACTGGTTTGCAGGTGTGGTGCAATAAAGAGAGGATAGAAAGTGAACGCGTAGATTTATTAACGGAAGAGCATTCTCCTAATCGATTCCGGGTGAACGGAGCGGTGTCCAATATGCCGGAATTCGCTCAAACATTTAACTGTACTGAAAATGCTAGAATGAATCCCGCAGTCAAGCAAGTTGTCTGGTAATTATTCAATGTTTAATATAAATGTGAGTTAATGGTTATGTTTACTGGTTTGTTGTACATGTTGATGTTGTCCACTCATGATCATGATCACAATACGTGCCTAGTATGTATTGTACGAGACGTTCAATTAAAAAAACAAAAAAGCATTAATATCGTGCGTTGTATTTTATGAGGGAATTGCTCATAATATTAGTAGCTAATAATATCGTAATTGTATCCGTAACTGCGTTTACGTATGTATGTGAAATTAAAGTTTTACAGATACTATATGCATATACTGTAATATCTTAGTACGAAACTACTTACAAGTTAGCAGACTGCAGCCAGATCGATATCAAGGTTTAAACTTTTAATAATTTCCATTACTCTTGCATTATTTCAAACAATTAATCACATGGACGCGCATTTGTCTGATAAAAGAATTATTATGGTCTTAATGCGTGTGCGTACTGGTAGTACTGAACACCAGCTATAATAATATTAATTTTATCTATGTTCCATCATTATCCGCATGCAACTGCTCCTTCATTAACACTTCTTATTATTAACTTATGACACATCATGGGATTAACGGTCTTAGTAATGAGATGAGTTCTACTGAAGTATTGGTATTGATATTTATCAAACAGTGGTATGTCGCAAGTAGTAAACGAAAGCCTTTTAAATTTAAATTAATGGAATAACTATTTTCTAATTAATCCGCAGGTAGTGGCCGGCAACAAGGTGGTCAAGTTAAAAAGCGTTTTTAATGCTGCCGCAGCAATATCATTGACATAGATAAAATACTGTACATCGCACCAATAATTATTATTATATTCGTGATACTGTAATTGTTCTTGTTATCATTTGCAATGATGAATATTTCGCTGCTGTTGGGTGTATTATTTACTAAAATTAGCATAATTACTTATGCTGCAGCACACCGGAGGTTTGCATTGATAAACTCATCGGCATTTTTGAGACATCACCGCGAAATCGTAAAGATGTAGCCGATGTGCGATAATTATTATATATAATGATTATTGCATCAGTTTTATCATTTCGATAGATATATAGATAAATAAATATAATGAAGCATATCAGCTGACATGTTTCCATTTGTTTTTTTATTAATATTGAATGTACGATTCTAAAAGGCGGGGTGAGTAATCCGCGGCTTCCAAGAGCAAATTGTGCGGTTTTGAACTGTTTGTACTTTCGCCATGAGTCATAAAGCGCCGTATAAAATGCATGACTAAGCCGGCCGGCTACAAGCGAAAGTTGAAGAGAGCCGTACGAGTTGGAGAGAACACGTTCCATCCAGCTGGTTGGCACACTACCGACTGACTGCCGGTCGATGATATCAGAGGAATGACAGCATCTGTATTGATTTGTTGTGAAAAAGGCTAAATCTGATAAATCCACTTTGTACAGTACAGTTAAGCCGGCACCGAATATTTCGTGTTTAAACCTGAAGCTAGCAGTAGCATCGGCTACAGTAGACCGATCTCTTTATAAACGCCGTTCATCCTTTTTCTATCGTATTATTCACTCGAGCATCGAGTTGCTTCGCTCTTTTTATTTTCCTACTATTAAATTTTTATCAGCGACATTTTTCTCTCCTCTGGAAACCATGGTGGCGTCGGGTCCGGCGCGCCACATGATGGCGGAGTTCATCAAGTACCTCGGGAATGATCCCTACATCGCCATCCGCATCCTGGTCGTCGTCGGCGGGGTGTTTGTGGCGCTGGTGCAGAAACTGATCTGGAATGTGTCCATCGCGGATTACATGAACTTCCTGGCGCAGAACCCGTACTTCGGGGCGACGTTCGGGATCATGGGGGTGGGGGCGGGGTTGGCGTGTCTGCAGCAGATCTGGACGATCTGTCGGAGTTTCTACACGAGCTACATGACTAGCTCCCTGCAGATCCCCAGCACGGATCAGAGTTTCAACTGGGTGCTGCAGTGGATCTTCTCCCTGGAGATGGAGAATCAGTTCCATATCAGTGTCAACACCACGACGTCGCACAATAATTATGGGCATGAGTGCGGAGTGAATTTTGATTTTATCCCCAATGAAGGCGTCCATTTCTTCCGGTGAGTGTTACCGAAATTTAGAGCCCCCAAACAGTAACAAATTTTTGTACGGCTACGTACGGTTTCCGCGTACGGCTCCTACGGCTACGGTACGGTTACGGCAGAAATAACTGGATTGACCGTACGGTATACCGTATACGGCAGTACCGTATACGGCAAGCCCATTGTAAAACCGTGTTTTTGGCTTACGGTTACGTACGGCACTTTCGTTACAGTACCAAATTTCACTACGGTTACGTACTGTTGTGCCGTACAGTATGCCGTATACGGCAGTACAGTATACTGTTTGGGGGCTCTATACCGAATTTATTGACATTTTTTTATTTTTTTAAACGTTTTCTGGTATTTTTTTACTTTAATATTTTTAATGCGTCATATGAAATTTTTTAATTTTTTAATGAATATAAGCGACTTAAATCAGTGTATGAAAGTGCCCGCCTGCTAAAATTATATCAAAAATAATGATTTGTAATAAAACAGACGACGTTAATGGTTTAAATCAGAGTACAAAAGTGCCGGCCGGCAAAATGACATCAGCACAGTGTGAGTCATTGTGCTTCACGTAACTATATAATTATAGTAGAACTACTGTTAATAATTACAATCGTTGTACTTTGATTATTGATAAAAGCACATGGCGCTTATTGTAAACGTTGACAGATGAACTTAATTTGCTGAATAATATCAAATCTTTTGGTGGTCAATGTTATCTGCCGCTTTTTACATTTAGACGTTATTTACGTATTATGAGATTCGTTTTGTGTTTTTTGTTTTGTTTTGTGTTTCCGTGATTACACTTTGCGCCAGCGGGTAATTTGTGCACGGATTGATCAATTAAATACCTAACAGTATTTAAAATCTACTATCATTTGCAGTTATTAATTGTATGAGTATAACAATTTCTGAATTTGCAGGTTTAATAATCAATGGGTCCAAGTCAGTCGTACCAAAACGCCCGGAGATCGTTTGACCGGGATGCGCTCTTTCGAATGCATTACGCTGACCGTCAATAGTCGGGACACGTCCATCTACAAAGATATCCTGAACGAAGGTAAACGCGCTAACGCATTGTTCCTTAAACTGTTTTCTTACAAATTTGTTGCATATTATTTTTTACAAACAATTATACAATTTTAGTAGCATTTTTAATTAATTATTTTGGTCTTGAAATAAATATAAAGTATGTACAATTCGTACATTGTTTGTATTTGTATATCTCTAGTGCCGCAATTTCCAAAATTAATTAGAATAAATACGAGTTAATAGTATAATACAATAATAAATGGAATAAAATTACTTTTTATGCTGACATGTATCGTTGTCATTATAGCGCACAAATACAGTAAGGCCAAGGATGAAGGCAAAACGCAGATCTATTACCCATCCGGCGGCTCGTGGTACAGCAACAACACGCCGCGCTACAAGCGTCCGTTGGAATCCGTCGTCCTGGAGAAGGGCGTCGCCGAGAGTATCATGGAGGATCTGGATGAATTCTTCAAACATGCCAAGTGGTACTTGGACCGCGGTATTCCCTACCACCGCGGTTATTTGCTGTACGGACCCCCCGGCACCGGGAAGACCAGCTTCATCACCGCGCTGGCCGGGCATTACAACATGGACATCGGGATTCTGAATCTGAGTGACCGGTATCTGACGGACGATACCTTCAACCAACTGCTGACCAATGCGCCGAACGGGTGCATTTTGCTGCTGGAAGATGTCGATGCGGCGTTTGTTAATCGCGAGGAGAAGAGTGTTGCCGACGCCGGTGTGGAAGCTAGCGGTAAGTTAATTTTATTTGTACATCTACTTAATTTACTACTGATTGTCATTCGAGAATTCTTTTTAATTTAAAGCTATGTGTCGACTTTCTTACGCTTGTAGTTTCGAGATTGAATTATTTATTTAAACCGCGATATCAACGTTGATGCAGTGCTAGTGCTAATTATTGAATTATGTATTATACGAGTATATGCACTATAAGTAATTTTATGTTTTTGCTGGTTATTCGTTGACCCTTGATACCTGATACTTCGTAAAATTTAGCAGACAACTGTAGTAAAAAAATTATGCAGGCAGTTTTTTTGATTACTTAACATTTTGCAGATAATTGTAGCGCTACAAATTTTGCGGTTAATATTATCTGGGATTTCCTTAATCTTTTTATTAACTTTTTTTATTTTCTAGATGGAACCGTGGCTCATAAAGGCGTCAACGCGCTGACCTTTAGCGGGTTCCTCAACGCTTTGGACGGAGTGGTTTCCGGCGAAGGCCGCATTCTCATTATGACCACGAACTACATTGACAGGTAGGAACATTTTCACACTCCATGCAGCAAATTTTGAACGACATATATTTTATTAAACTTCGATGCGTTACAGACTGGATGCCGCTTTGGTACGTCCTGGTCGTGTGGACTTCCAGACCGAGATCGGTTATGCCAGCCGCTACCAATTGGAGAAAATGTATGCCCGCTTTTATCCGGAAGTGGGCAGTGCCGAAGCGGAGAGTTTCGCGGAAGAAGCATACAAACTCAACCCGGAAATCACGTTGGCGCAGGTGCAGGGACTGTTCCTGCGGCATAAACACGATCCCAAACATATTCGCGATGATTTCCACCTCTTGTTGAAAGCCAACGCCGGACCGAGGCGGCACAATCTCTGAGAAAACTGGCAAATTTGGTGATAGTCAGGATAAAGAATCTGCGATAAAAATGAGTGTTTACTGAATTCTGGATCTGTTGGAATTTTATACCCTTTGATTCGGTGATGTATCTCTGAGAATTACCACATTAGCGAAGCGCTCATATCCGTAGTAGTGCCTTTTATCGTTTTTATGCTGCTTTCTCGGACATATATTTTCGCCTTTTTTTGCCACTCAACGCTTTTGCCAAAGCTTGATTAACTTCCCCGATACATAGTACTTTCATGTATAGTTTGTTACTTTATTTGGGTTTTGTTTCTTAGAAAAACCAAATGGTTATTCCTGTGGCATTAAAAAAGTTTTTATCAAATAAAATGCTACACGTGATTTTCTAAAAAGTCTGCTAATTTTGATAGACAAAAATTCACAAAATATAATTTACCACCACCGGAACGTAAATGCACCAACAGTTAAACAAGTGAGATTAAAAAAGAACAGCATATAAAAGGAAGAACGACAGTGATCATTTTACGATGACGAATGGTCCATCAAGTCATCCAAAAGTTTTCCGTAGAGATTCAGATCCCGCGCCAAAATAGCCGACATGAGGCGAACGCGTAAGCTGTGCAGTGCCGGTTTCATCGCTGGTAATTTGGGGGCGATGCGCGCGGCCAAATACCAGAACTGATCGGGCGGTTCCACTTTGCGTGTCTGCTGGAAGACCAGCGCGCCCTGGATCAACTTCAACGCTGTCCTGCAGATACAAGACAAAAATTTCGCTGATCAGATTATATAGAAAAAAAATAAGCAATATGGAAAACCATGTAGAAGATGCCATTTATTTTATGTTTATTCCAGAGTACTCAGGCTCGTGAGGAAAATCTTGGGCTTCGACATGCTTTAACGCATAATAATAAAACAATAAAAAAAATTAAACTGGTTAAATGAATGCAATATGAACCAGAGAGTAAAGCGATTATAATGGCGATTTTGTATTATAGTCAACATGATCACTACACTACGCAATTTACTACAAAAACATGGGTGTGCTGGACTGTATACTTAAAGAGTTAAAGCTGAAATTGATTGATTGAAAATAATCAAGCAGTAAGTACGTACATTAATTCATCCTTGGCCGTCAGCGTTAAGGCTTTATTGTATACTGCGCGGGGAAAATCGGGGCTCATGATCAAAACCTGATCCTGAACTTCCAGGGCGGTGTCGAACTGGCGGAGATTGTGCAGACAGGCACTGATCTGATTCAGTACCGAGGGACTCGTCGGGCTCTGTCGGATAATGTGCTCAAAGTGCTGACCGGCGGCGGCATACCGGCCCTGGCTGAATTCCAAAATGGCCAACGCCCACTACAACCGAAAACAACTTACAGCTTGAAAAACACGCATTTTTATTTTTATTCGACCAAAAATTAACAAAACGTTTGGGCCAGCGCTGAACCTTAAAATAATATAGACAAATTAATTAACAATATTCGTTTGTGCTAAATGAATATAAAAATGGCGAAGTAGAAAATTACTGTAACCGCACGTCTCATATGGACCAAATCCTAATATTACCGGTTATACTCCAGAACTGCGCGATAAAGTATAAAACTTTAGTAAAATTAGTTTAAAAAATTACGAAAAATATCGGCTTGTATGCACATGTATAACGGGTATAAATGCTATATCAAATAATTAGAAGTCAAACTTACGCGTAATGTGCCATCGGCCGGCATTTGCGGAAGAAATTCCTGGCAGATATCGGTCAATAATCCGGCAACATCTCTCTCCCTAAAAAATCAAATATATATTTCAGGAAGATTTGTGCTGACGGGAAACAGCACCAAACTAACACATCGCAGCCATCAGCGGAATTCTCATCGGACTGCAAAAATCCCTGGACCATAGCATCGGATAGCGCGAAGTAATCCACCATCCACTGGAAGAGCACACTGTGCATGGCGGCCAGATCGCCTTCATTGGACAGGCACGTTGCCAGCAAGAGCAGCACCATATTTTTGGAAGATTCGGAAGGGTCGTCCTGGTGAGCAAGATACCTGCAAAACAATTATCGCAAGCATATTATACGTAAATTCCACGAAAGATTTATATAGCATACCGTTTGCAAACGGAGATGGCTTTGCTGTCGTTCTGGCTGAAATAGCTGGCCAGCGCAAGGAGCATCCAGGCCTATCGGAAAAGCGTTCTGGTAATTAACTTGGAATTACTGCATTCTGCAAAGACTCATTAGGGAATCAGCTTTAACTTTCATTTACGAAATAAATTCAATAACGCGTATAATAAAGTTATTCAGAACTATGGTGAATGCACTATGCTTATAACGTATCCGTTGTAGAGTAGTGACATTCAGATGACGTGCTCGGTCATACTTTAGGCAGTCGTCTCGATAGTCGATAACAAAAGCGTTGATGATTAAATAAGCTTTACCACTTTGTAAACTTATTTAATATAATTTTATTCTTACCGCGTTGCTTACGCAACAATCACGAATTCATGGTGCACGTTTTAACTGTAAATAACTTATGCATACATCGATACGCAAGTGGCAAAGCCGAAGCAATTTTTCAAATCTCTAAATCGTCGTTGAGTTGTTATGTATATGTCTGCAAAATCTAATATATAAACTACCAAACGCAATGGCAATGCATGGATTCCTTTCAACTATCTAGCGGCATTTTAAATATCAACACTATTGTTACTAATTTTTGAAAGTCTATTGTCTATCAGTTGTTTCAACTACCGAAATACATACCTCGCAGTTGTTCGGCTGGGATTTAGTAACAATCTCCAGGAGCGGAATGGCCTCCACCGGCTTGTTGGCGCTGATCAGATCCGCCGCTTTACTGAAGGCGTCCGCGCAGTTCGCCATGTGCAGCTTGGATAGGATAGGCTATAAACGGATACAGTGAAGAAAACACTGGAAAGGGCAATTAATTGCTTCAACCTGCATTCCTACTTCCGATATGGCAAACCGCAGTCAGCGTGAAATCTCGTAGTACAAGGTCTAACTGCCGCATGAAAATAGCAAAGCTAACCACCATAAGTTCATAACGATAACAATTTGCCACATTAATCATATACTTGTACTTTCCGGATAGATTTTTCTATTCGCTAACGAGGAAACACAAAATTTACACTCAAAAAATTTTTAGCAATAAGCAAATAGTTTCAAAGCATTAAATTAACGCACAATCGTTCAAATTCAAAATCTGTCACATTCACAATGTACTTACAGTAATTAAATACAAATTTTAACGAAAAAATACAAATTTTCGCACTACAACTTTGACGAGCAGGAAACGAACAGTCAAAAAGCAAGCAGTAATGTGAAAAACCACAGTTAGTCGGAAGCCAGAATGGTATTTTCTATACCATTAAATTTTTTTGATTCATTTTACTGTAAATTCCGCACAAACGCACCTTTCCTGCCACCGGTAATCCCATCGTGAACGACCGCGAAAACTGCTCAATCACCGACGTCTCCGGCATGGTCTGCGTCGTTTTCTGCTCATGGATGCGGTGCAGTGCCGTCAGGAGATTCCCGACCACCGCGGCCTCCCAGGTGGGATTCTGCACTTCAATCAGACAGTCCACACCGGAAGTGGGGGTGCAGTCGTCGTGGTGGGCATCGGAAGTGGATGACTGACTGGCAGCACGCTCGGAAGACAACTGGCAAGGAGATTCCGGGAAGTGCGTGACGGTTGGCAACATGGGGTTGCGCAGGAAGGAAGGGTCCAGAAGAAAGGAAGGCGGGATGAAACAGAATTCCGAGAGAACGGCCGAGAGCGCTTTCTGCAAAATTCATCAATACAAACGTCGAAACTGCATGGAAATGATGAACGGAAGGAAAACAAGACAAAAAATCTGCAAGATTACAAACACAACAACGAGCGGAATGAAACAGTCAAGCACAGAACTTTCCAGTCAGCAAAAATCAGTCAATTTTAAATGAAAAAAAGGCAACTTAGTACAAATTTCATACGCGTACCATTTAAAGAGCGACAGGTAAGGATATACTAAAAATTATCAGAGGAGAAATCACAACATTAAGCGAACAGTTTGAGGATAAAAAGCGCATGAATCACATAAAAATGGAGGAACGCAAAGAACTTGACGAAGAACGCAGTTTGCGTGTGTGCGACTTACTTCGGGTTCTTCCACGTCAATTTCTGGCGATTCCACTGCTGTATATGGGATTGCTGGAGATTCTTGAGACAAGGTAGTCGTGTGCGTGTCTAAAATGGGTTCTTTCAGTTTCTGGAGCGCCTGCATTGCAAATAGGTACGTTATTCCACCGTATAAAGTTATAAACATAATAAACTCACTGTAAAGACCTGTATGTTACCCGTATCATCATAACATGATGCCTTAGCCCTTATGGGCTTTCTAAAAGCAGTGCCATTGTGATGCACGTTGTACCTGGATAGGTGTTCCCTTCAACGTTTCCCCATGCTCCTCAGCTGCTGCGGGATTGGATTCTAGCTGCACTGTGCTACCCGTGATAGTCTGCTCGGTATGTGCTGCGTCGTCGCAATGGTTGCGCAGCACTTCATCGACGCTTTCCATCTGTGCTGCGAGCAGCGCAACAGGGCTGGCCTCCCCGCATTTTGCACCCAGCAACTTGTCCAGGAAGGTATCCATCGCGTAACTGCCGGAAATGCAGGATTATGCACTGCTTACAACGAGCAACTGGATCTAGCAGTAGCAGATCAAAACATTGTTCCAACACATTGCAACGTTCCAACAGTTGGGTTGGAGAATCAAGAGGGACCAGTCGATTCCAGTGGCAAATTCATTCGAATGCAGTTTCAACACGGTGACTGGCACCAACCACTCGACTCTGGAATGATCGAGCAATATAAAACCGTGATAATTAACAAGGAGCGATAAGTATTTGAATTTTACGTTGACAACGACATCAAAAACTGCAGTATAAATTTCAACAACTTGAAAAGTTGCACGAGTGACGAGTACTGTTAACTGTACCTTCTTTTCTGTTGCAGCTTGCAGTTAGCACTGCAGGTGCTTGTTTAATAAGTACTGCAGAGATCAACGTACAGTCGCCCAGGGCGGTCGCAATCAGTGCGCTGCTTTTGGAGGCGGGGTTAGGACCGGAAATTTGGTTTGTGTATGCTCGAAAGCAGACAGCTTGCTTTCGCATCTTGCTTTCTTATTTTTGATCAACAGACTTCACTCAAAGTTTTTAAAATTAGAATCAATCAATCAAACCAAAATCTTTACCAAATCTGTTTAACCAATTTCTTCCCAAATTATCTGAATCAACCAACTTGATCAATCTTCCCATTTCCTCTGCAACCAAAGCCTCTGAAGTCCGTGGACTGGCAGTCGATGTTGTTCGTGGTAAAAATCAGAAAATGGACGACAGTTTTCTCCGCTCGGAAATGCAGGCGCGCATGGAATCTCAGGATCGTCGCATCCAGCCCCGGATCGTCTTCAACGACAACGATGTGACATCGTTCCGGCGCATCCTCTCCTACTACATGGCCGGGGATTATTCCTCCGCCATGCTGGAGATGAACGGCCTGAAGTCGCGCGGCTACACCGATGTCGTGCACATCAATCTCAACGATCTGGTGCTCAAGTTCTATGCGTCGCGCTGTATCGAAGCCGAGGTTCTGATCACGGACCTGCGGGAGGCCATGATGAAGGTACGTTGTCTGCTAATTTTTCACAACATACAAGTTGTAGTTGAGGATAAACAACTGCAGAAATTCAACGGGCTTTTAAAAGTGGATTGCAGATTTAGAGTTGCATGGTAATTACTGCGCATGTTGTGAGTTACCAGTTGTGTTTACGCCGTATTACGCACACTGTACAGAGAAATTGCGCGCTTTCATTATAATATTGACTTGAAATAATCACAAAATATCAAAGCAATGTTTGCAAACACTCAGCCAAACAGGGTTACAGGAGATTTATGTTGCAGGCGTACGGGCCGATGTTCGAAACCAGCAAGGAACGGGATCTCACGCAAGTTGGATATCTCTACAATTACGCCTTGATATCGTTCTATTTGATGCGCTATAATCAGGCGCTGGCGATCATGAATGCTGTGATGCGCTATGCAGAAACCCTCGGTAAGTCAAAATCGTAAAAACCATTCGCAGTTTGAGTGTTTAACGTTCATCATTCAGCGTTTTTTTTGTTGTTTCTCTGAAATTTGTTTCTTCTAAGTCTTCATTTTATAAACCTGAACTGGCAGTCATTTCCCTAAATTATTTTGAAATTTTGCGTAGAATTATAAGATTAGCTGCCTGTTTTAAGTGTTTTTCGTGAAATAAGTTATTTACAGAGATTTTTGTATTGAAATCGTGTACAGTCTGTACTGGTGGTGCCTTGTGTATTTGATAGTATCTGTGGAGGTTGAAGCTGTTTATATGAATTTTGCAGCTGTGAGGTCTGCCATTATTAAATGAAACTTCACTTTTATACTTTCGCGTTTCTTGTGCATCAGTGCATGTACAGTTGATTTGGAAGACGGTACTTGCTTTGTTTTTGTGGAACCGAACGATGACATTCGTAACGATAATGATACGTTAATTTTTACCAATCCCTAATTTACTTGACGTTGATCGTTTGCAGAAGATGGATTGGTTCGCGACTGTTGTTTTCTGCTTCTGGAACTGCACATACGGCTTTTTCAGGTGCGCTTTATTGCTGTTTTTATCCGGTACTTATACAGTTATACTTTCTTAATTTTTTTCCTTTTTTGTAAAATATTCGTGGCAAACCGCATACTATTGTGTTTGAATGTAAAATCCATCGATCTGATATATCATGAGAGCATCATTGTGGTTTGGGAGTGCGGGCGAAGTGGTTGTAAAGACGGTATTAAATTAGGTGAACGAAGCGCTGCAAGTGATTAGCTATTTGGAGGATGATTTCGATGAGGCGACCGGCCTGCGTATTAAACTCCCGGATAACTACCACACCGATTCCCTGTTGTTCGATGAAAACTGCCAGCTCTTCCGTCCGGCTATCACATTTAAAGCGAAACTCCAACTGGTTAGTGCACGATAATGGGATCTTGTATTTTCTTTATTTTTACATAAAAATATTTCCGGTGACGACTATGGATTAGTTGGTAACGGCGGGTGCATTTTTACGTTAATGTAATTTTGTACGAGTATCTTTTGTATTTTATTGCGTATTGTTAGAGTAAAATATCTATATGCACATAATAAATTTGGTTTTTAATAATGTTCTCGCGTTTTTCTGGGTATCGTTAAAATTTTCAACTTTCCGATCCGGATTTGATTTGCATTATGTCGGCCTTTCGTTGCAGTACAAACTGCGAGTGGTCAACATGTTGTGGAACCAGAATCAGAGTAAGAAGGAATCCAGAGGCCTGCTGTCCACGCAAGGCACGGTGAGTACTGGAATAGCGACTTAAATCGGTTTGCTAAGTTGTAAAATGTCCGGGTTTGCAATAACCCAACAGCACCCATTAGTGCTGCATTGTAATTTTTTTAAAAATCAGTCTGCGACAATGGGGAAAGTTGAGTAGTAGCTGGTACGGGCACTTTAGGTAGTCGATTGTGTGTCATAATGCCGGAAATCATTAGTTTTGTGTGGAGATAGTTGTACAACGAGTAAACACTAATATACTGGTTAAAATTGCATCCAAGCAGTTTTACATATGGAATACGTTGCGAGAATAATAAGCAGTATGTAAATAAAATTGTTAAATTGTTGGCTGGTGAAAATATTTATAACTGCACGCAATTATTAAAGCGGTTTTCGATCAGATTGATGGTGAATAATTTTATCCTACTTCGAATTGATGGTTGACATTGCTTATAGAACCCCGTGTCATTGTACCTGAAAAGCCAGTCAGAGTACAACCGCGGCAACTACTCGAAAGCCATGAAAGCCCTCAACCACACGGCGCCCAACGCCAACGCGGCCAGCAGTGTCCTGTCGGGCGACTGCCTGCCCTCGCTGTACTACAACAACATGGCCTGCATCCACAGCGCCATGGGCAAGAACACCATCGCCACCGTCTACTTCAACCTGGCGCTGGAGGAGAACACCAAAGCCATGCAGGCGCTGCAAATGAACGGCAAGGTGGACTACGGGCAGATGCCGTTGCAGTGTGTGCAGGCCTCGCGCTTCGCCGAGTTGGTGTACAATCTAGGCACGCAGCTGCTGGTGTCCGGGCAGCCGGCGCAGGCCTTCCCGCTGCTGGTGGAGGCCTCGCATCGCTACCATCAGAATCCGCGGTTGTGGCTGCGGCTGGCCGAATCCTGTATTGCCAAACATAAAAACGTAAGGAAAATCGGTTTGATTGTGTGGTGCATAGACATACTAAATTATTCTGCAGTCTTAACAAAAGGGACAAGCGAATTTGATTACTCGTAAAAAAAGTTGGTATATTTACTCGTTTTATTATCTTTAGATGAAGCTTCCACATAGTTAATTGATAATGGCCTAACCGCAACTTTTACATTAAGGCGCCGTTACACAACGTTGCCATCTCCAAAATGTTAACGTGTGAATTTGATATTGATGTAGCTTATATTTGTACCATGTCTTTGCAGTTTAATGTAAGCTTTCGTAGTTGCGAATTGATCTCTTATGTGAGCATTACCTGAATGCGTTTTCAGCGGAGTACCTAGGGGTTGCATGGTTTATTGGTTTTACACCAGTAAAAAATACTGTTTTTATTTATTTGTTTTCACAAACGTAAAAAATCGTGAAGAATATAATATACCTATCTTGTTTTTCACTGCGTGTGAATATTAATAAGCATTACTAATACTAATTAATAAGCATTACTAATACTTTATGCTGTTAAGGGTGTTGGAGCATTACTAATACTTTATGCTGTTAAGGGTGCTGGATTGTTATGTTCTTTGTTGTAGGATCTCATCGATCCGTTGCATCGGCGTAAGCCAACCCGCTACATGATCAAGGGCTCGATCGGTGCGGGAAAGTACCGGAAACTCCTCTTATCATCAGTATTACTGCCGTATCAGAAGCAGCTAGCTCAGTAGGTTATTCTTTTAATTACGCAGTCTCCATGCAAATAAACTGGATTTTCTTATCTTTGTAAAGGCGAAAAGTGCAACCGCAAACCGAGGCGAAGAAAGACCCGTCGGAACCGGCGCTGACCATCGAGTTCGCTCGCATGTGCCTAATCAACGCACTGGCCACCGTCAATCGGCACCTGGCCAGGTAAGAAACGCCGAATAAAATTTGTTGTTTTTACCTAACATGTTTTTGTATTTAGGGGAAGCGGTCTGCCGATGGAGGACGTGTACGCCATTGCACCCAGTGGGATGACATCCAAGCAGGAAATTATGACTCTGAAGTATTCCGGTTTGGTTGGGAAATTCGGATTATGTGCGCTAACGGTTGACATTGTTGTAGGGCATACATCCTGGTTAATCTAGCCTTTGTTTCCAATTCTTTATGGGATTTCGTTGGGGGAATTGAGTACTCCCGGCAAGCTGAGTCCATTCCGGAATTGCCTGGCGTAATGAAGTAAGTTATCAAGAGTTGTATGATGCGTTTTTGAGAGTTGTATATTTGCAAATTTGCACACATAGAAACTGCAGCAAGTACTGTGCGGTTCTAGAAAATGATGGGGATTTTATAGGTCAGTTTAATTTGATATACTAATTGTGTCGTCATAGGCAGTAAATTATTTCCATTATTGTGGATATGGTTGTACTTACTGGTTAAGTACTACCGTACTTACCAAAATCACGTATATTCATATGCTAAAAGTAATATAATTACTTATTATTTGGTAAGTAGACGTCTTTTAAATCGTTGGTTAATATCGATTAATGTTTTGAGCGCTGCGAAGAAGTCATTACACTACGCTGCACACGTAGTTGCAATAAAGGTGTCGAGTTGGATAATAATGCTGTAAAATTTTACATATTTCTAAATCTGCTGTTAAATGAACTTGAACTTCGTTAGTCGGTCGGCAGTAGCTTATGTTAAGAAATAGCTGGCGCTCAGTCGGAATAGATTTCATCCCAGATGATGTTGTTTACGTTGTGCCTAGCAATGCATTATTAAACTGCTTTTGTAGTGACTTTGTACTGTGTATGCGGAACGTTTGCAGTGATCGTCATGAGAAGTACCTTATCACATTTGCGTTGGATTATTATAGGTTTCTGATTTCGGCCTACGCTAGCGAAGGCTTCATGCGGCTGAACCGATTAAACGACGCCGGACACTATTTGTCAGTATCGAACATCAACAACATCTTCCGCCAGATGAACACGGATCTGGAGAAGGACGGCCAGGTCAACATGACCCGTTCGCAGGCGGCCAGCCATGAGTCGGCTGCATCGCCCGCTGGAACGCGCAGCTCGGAAGAAAGTGTCAACGATGAGCAGGGAAAGATCTACGAACAGCCGGAAGCCGTTATCAAATGTATGGAATTTACACGCGGTTTTTGTAAACGAAGTTAGCTTATGCACAGATTGATTCTTGCAGCGTTCCTCCACATTCCAAATGATTATCTGCGGAAACGCCCGGTGTTTGCCAGGAATCTCTTGGGCTACAATCATGCGGTGTGGTTGGCGATGACTGGGGATTTGGAAGCCGGCTATGAGATTGCCGAAAAGGTATGTGGAATCACTAGAATGTAGTTAGCCGCTTTCCTTCGGTGCTTGTTTTTTTTCAAGATTCTTCGTAACAACACTTAACATAATATTGGTTTACTTGATCTTACTGTGGCAATATGTTCACCGCTCAATCTTATTTATTGGCGTTTTATTTATTGTGTTGTTCCTTTAATTTTTAGGTATTTATTTTTCTTTTGCTTTTATTTTGTTTCGTATAGATAGTTGGGCGTTGTTCAGTTAGCGTGTTATCATTATTCCTTGTTTTAATTTTTTGTTAATACATTGCTTCTGAAATACTGTACAACTACGAGTACTTTAGTGAGTACGCCGCGGCGTACTTACGTACTTACTTAAGGTAATAAAATAAACGGAGAATTAAACAACGCAATGCAAATGAATTAACGCTCATACACGGCATTGAATTTTGCCTAGTTTATTATTTATTTTGGTTATTTGCGTTACGGTCGTTACGGATCCCTTACTTGTCTTTGAATTGATTTTATATTTTCCCTTGTGCAGCTGCGCAGTGCGGAGACCAACGCCGATTCCATAACGCGTGCCCGCGCCACCCAGTTGTGCATCTATATCCGTTTCCGTCAGGAGAATCGCACGGAAGCACTGAAACTGATTCTGGATGAATGCCCGGAATGGAAAGACCGGTTGTACAAGGATTTCGATGAGGACGAGAAGAAGCTGCGGGCGCTGCGCGAGCAGCAGGGTGTCCCGTGGATTCTGGAAGGATGACTGGGATGATACTTGTGATGTTGCTGCTGATCAGGGTTTTTGCTCGTTGTTATTGATTTGGATGTTGTCCTCTGCGTTCGCTGCCGATGCAGCGTGCATGCTAGTGTAGTCAGTGTTTTTAACCGTTTTGTTGTTTTTTGAGCGTTTTGGAACGTTTGGATTTTGAACGGGAAATTTGTTTGCCTTAATTTAATGATTATGGTTGCGCAGTACTATTCCGAGAGTGGACAGTCCAGCTGAACAGTGCGTAGTTTCCGGCTTTGACTGCTGTTGATTTTGTGTTAATACGAAAAATAAAACCACCTTTAACGTTGAATGTGTTAACACGAACTCGTACAAACTGAACTGAAGAAAGTTTTAATTGCAGTACTTTTAACTGAACAACTGAGCCCATGGATTTTTTAATAAAGAGCAATTTTCAAATCACTGTCAACACTTCTTGTATTCTCAAAAACGAAATTATTATTATTATTACATCAAGAGCAAATGGCGAAATGACAAGCCAACCCTGGTTAACAAAGTTAAGCAAACACAATCGAGATAAAAACTATCAAGATAGCAAAAAAGCAAAGCATTTCAATAACGCCAAAACGTCACAGGCTCTACGAAGAGTCATATGGGAAAATCCCTCTACCGGCTATTTTCTTTTCTGTCCTGACTGTTCACGCGTCGCTCGATAGGGGCAATTGGTACTCCCGGGTATCTTCTTTTCTGTTCTGGCTGTTCACGCGTTACTCGGGTGAGGTCATATGGGGAAACCGTTACTGGCGGAAATCTTCTTTTCCGTTCTGGCTGTTCACGCGTTAAGCGGGGCTCGGAGGGGAACGGACGCGGCGGCTGGACCGTGGCGTTTTTGTACTTGAACAAACTCAGCAGCTCCGCATCCGTCAATAACCCGCTCTGCAGCCATATCTGTACAACAGCACGAAATCAGTCAAAACTGAATGCACACAAAATTACAGCCGCCAATGGACGGCGCAAACTTCCACTCACTTCACCCGGGCCGTCCGCCAACTCCTGGTTAGTCAACAACGAAAAGCGCACATGGAACAGCGCTTCGCCCAGCATCTCCCGTCGATTCGCGGCCGACGCGGCCATGGCGTTACGAGCGCAGGCGGCCGTCGCCCATCTAAACAATCACGCATCGGTGTCACATTCGTGACATTCCCAACATTCTATCAAAATTTAATAAGGACGCCACTTTGCTTACAAGTCTGTACGTTTATATTCAAAGCGCTTACTGTTATTATTAAAATGTATAATATAAACATATGCATACAAACATTGTACAAAGATTTTATTCATGTAATACGTATTTATACGATTATCTGAGTACATGATAACCTCTACTCTACGTATAACTGGTCGTATATAGATATATTATACTCTTGTCGTATTACTTTACGTTGGCTTTTACGAATTAATTACGAAGAAATGTAATTACGAACGTAATGTAATTAGTAATTACGAAGAAATGTCACCGTGATTGCACCTCTTTCTTTCTGGTGGCTTATTACTTACCTAATAAAAGCCAATACACGTTTGTATTTAATTCGAGACTTAACTAATAACATCAAATGTTTACCTTGTATACCTAATAACATATTATCTTGTAATAACTTACCTGGTATTACGTAGCTGATAAAAGTCAATATCTATATCTGCATACGTTTGTATTCTAATTCGAGACTCCTATTTTTTATCTTCAATAATGTCGAGGTTTTTCGTGACGTTTATGGTTTATATTTATTCATACGAGGTGCAGAAAATCACTAAATCTGTACCGTTCAACAGCCCGATAAATGACGAATTCCTCCGCCATCAGGGTGTTGCGCTGCAGAATACGCTGCAAAATATCCTTCGAGATGTCAGTGAAGTGGTCCGACTGCAAAATCGCCACAGCATCCTTGTCCACGATAGTCAGACACTTCTCCACGATGCTGTCAGCATGCCAATGCACAGCCTACAGAAAAGAATGAATCCATCCCTGATCTTCACAGTACACACTTTTACATCACATGAGCGATGTGAAAAAACTGCTAACAACAAGGTAAAAAAATTATGAATAAAAACACAAACGTAAAGTACTCGCATTTCCATTTATGTTTACAGAATAAATTATTTCCACGTTGCAGTTGCCATAAAAACATTTATTAAGAGATATGTGTGTGATCAATTCCTTGCCTGTTCTAAATTGGACATCCATGTGGTGGTATTCAACCGGTTACCGATGAAACTGCAGCATTTTTGCACCAGCTCCGGCAAATCGTACTTGTCAGCGCAAACCATCGTCGCGAAAACATTGTCGTTATCCAGATCATCCACGGTATCGGTGTACACGTAGCTGCAAATGGACTCGTTGAACGGCAGCTTATTGTAACAGTGAAGGAACAAGCGACGACATTAGACCAGGAATCGTCATCTAAAATCTACCACTTCAAGTACTTCTACAGTGCTACTGGAAAAAGGCCAAGCTGTCAGCAGAGCAGGTTCCGTAAAATAAAAATTTTCAGTCCATGTTGCGCTACTCGCAACACACCACATTATAAACGGGTACATACCGGTCATACCCACCTGAGCATATTGGCAAAGGCATCGGGAATAATATCGGGAATGTCGATCGTATCATCTCCTTTTTTAGCCAGCCTGCCGTAGAGCATGGCACGAAACACGGGACTGCGCATGCCCAGGAGGAACCTGAACAGATGCACAGACTCACAGATAGAACACAGTTGGCATCGTTACGAGCACACCGCAATTTGCCAAGATCCTAAGGAACGGGACAGAAGAATACGCAGGGATCATACTTATGCGCGGGGAAGTCTTTTATGCGACCAAACTGACGTCCCACGGTGAAGCACACATCACTCAGCTCTCCACTGGCGTGCGCCTGCTCCACCAAATCAGCAATGCGACTGCGACCACCTGCATTTGTGGACATGGTTAGCTAATTCGTCGACAACGGAGGAATCAATCAATATGGAAAATACTATGCAGTGTAAATGGGGACGGACGCTGAGAAGCTCTTCCTAAAAGTTAAAAGAAGGTGTGCTGTGGAAAAACAAGTGCTGTGGACCCGGAAGGCCGAAAAATATGAGAAAACAGTACAGTATACGTTCACGTAAGCGCCCTCCCACAGTTGCCGGATGTGATGCAAATATTACTGCAAACTGCAAACTCGTTAGAAAAAAGAGTATCAAAAACTATAGTGATACTATACTACTTTCAAGTTTCAGGCTTCACTTCTCCTGATTGATTCGATTTTTTTTTGCTCAGAACTTTGCATCTCTTTCTCGGCGTTTTCCGTGTGCGATCACCGCGCGTCCGCATATTGTGTTGATGCGGTTCATCCTGCGCTGTACTGCAGCATGCATTCCCCGCACTGCAAAACCCCGTTGTAGAGCCGGCGCACGTTCTGTGACGACACGCTCTTCCCATCCCCGATCGCGGACTTCCCTCGACACCATTCCCTCTGCCTCCGCTGGGCAAAAGGTAATGCCCGGTCTGACAAGTGACATGATTATCGTTGTCAGTCGCACACTCACAGGCAGTTCACTGACTTGAGCCTTCTTCGACCGAAGTTGCTCCATGTCCGAGTTACCCAACAGCGACATCGACGTTGCTGCCCATCAGGCCATCACGTCAGTCACGGATTAATATTTTTACAAATAAAATTATGAAAATTATTTCTAAAAATATTAGTATATTTAACAAGTGGGAAAGAGAGTAATCGATCCAAAATAAAATCAGAATAAATAAAAAAAATAATGCTGAATTCTGGGCCGTGCAGCTTGCTTCGTTCTTTCAGTGCCAGCAGCTCGTGGTAATTTTAGTTAATTATTTTGTTAAATTTTAATCTATCGCGTTAACAGGTACCCCTGCCCAGCCGGCTACCAGCATGAACGACGAGATCGAGGTCCGCGTCCCCGGGAGCCCCAAGCGCTTCCACCTCAACTGCTGGTCCGTGTCGGGTCTGGAGTCCTGCGTGACGGTGCGCGTGGACGATTCGGTGCGGTATGCCTTCGATATCGGGCATGCCACGCGCGCCTCCATCATGTGCGACCATGTCTTCGTCACGCACGGCCACATCGATCACTGCGGCGCCCTGCCCAAACATGTCTCGCAGCGGGAACTGCGCAGTCGGCCCCCGTCCACGTACTACTGTCCCCCGGACATTGAGGAGTCGCTGCTGACCATCTGCCAGGGATTCGCCGCCATGAATGAGGGGTACGTGGGGAATGAGAATTAATTAACAATACGCAAGGAGAATTACAAATTGGTTCAAGGCTTCAAGCGATTTTGTTGGCGCAACGTAACCGCAATCCTCTTGCTTGAATGTATTTTGACAAAATGATTTATTGAAATAATTCATTAACAAAATAATAAATAAATTCATTGTTTTATTTATTTAAATTTTTTTCAGTGCGTGATGTTTCGTTGTTGTATTCAGTGTAATGTGGCGTTCGGCTGAATTTGTGGATTTTCATTTTTCACTGTGTTTACCTTAGCAGTACTGTACTGATAGTTTTGTCCTTCTCTCGTTCGTGGTCGTACATGTATCGTAGTGTGTGGGATATATCTATATGAAGATATATGAAGTGTGTGGGATATATCTATATTGGTCGAAATCATTGTTACAGTCCCCAATAATACCAGCTGATATTTGTTTATGGTCGGTCGAATTTTTTATATTTTACATACACCAAAGAATTGAGCAAAATTAAAGAGACATTTTTGTTATTATTTGTTCAGGGAGAGCAGATCAGAGCAGAGCAGATTTATTTCGGGGTGATTTCTATTTTTTAATAAACATGTTTATTTCTTCCGGTGATATGTGCCTTCACGAAATTGAAACAAATGAATTGACGGTACTAAGAATGGCGCATTTATGTTGAGCTCAACTGGCTGCACCGTTTGCAGAGATAAACAAGCCTCTCTCACCCAGCCGCAAATCCGTGGCGTCCCCCGTGGGCCAGGACATTCCCTTATCCCATGGGCGTGTCGCGCGCCCCTTCCGCACCTACCACCGTGTGGCCAGCCAGGGCTACCTCATCTACGCCCACACCCGCACCCGCATCACGGAGTACATGCACCTGTCCGGACCGGAAATCGGCGAGTACATGGCGCAGGGCATCCAGGTGTGGGAGAACAAACACCTACCGGAAATCGCCTACACCGGTGACACCACCTTCGACACCTTCCTTGATCCCGACAACGCTGATCTCCTGCGCTCCAGTGTAAGTGTAGCGCATGCAGAGTGCAGACTAATTAGTGCAACGAAAGAAGTTCAATAACCAACCCGGATAATTCAATATTGAAAATAAGATGTAAAAGTAGTGTTCCCCTGTTGTATACTGTGTAGTGTGTACTTATTTAAATAATGTACATTTAATTCAGAACAATGAATGGTTTAGTCATTAATTTAAAATGTATGTAATTAAATGAGTTTGGAGTAATATTTTATTTTGTTCCTCTGTTTGAGATAACTTTTATAATGTTGAAACTTATTATGCGAAATGACTGTGCCCGACAACCCGTTATCGTTAATGATTGCGTCGTAGTGTATGGGATGCAGATACAGTATTTTAGGCAACATCGGTTTCTGTTCTGCGATGTGAAAATATACGTAACAAGAGAGTGCTGTTGTCCTGTTTGTGGTTTGATTAAAGTTTTTTTGTATGTGTAGTTTTTCTCAAATATATTTTTAAAAATGCAACGGTGGAAAGAGAATTGCAGAATATAATTAAATATTTAATAATATTTACAAATTACCGACTAATAATTAACAGTTAAATATTTACTAATCTCTCCGTATTTGAAAAACGGTAAAGTGGTTTGTCCGCGTCTGCCTTCCATTATTTAATCATAGTTCTGATATAATCCAGTTATGATTCCAGTATACTTCTATAATTAAATATTAAATATGAGTCTTCTATGTTGAGTGTATTTTTTAAAATTATTTTCGGTGGCTGTAGTTGCTGAATTGGTGATAGGTTTGTCGATAAAAGCAGCTCATGGAAAAATATTATAGATTTTGATAACCGAAGCTACGTACATTGACGACCGGCAGCCGGCGGAGAAGGCCCGCCAGCGCGGCCACATCCATCTGCAGGACATAGCTAAGAACGCCGAACTATTCCGCCATATTGGCGCGCTGGTGCTGGTGCATCTGTCGGACCGGTACACCAGCGGCCAGGCGCAGCACTGGGTGCGCCGTCTGCTGCCGCAGTGGTTGCTGAATAAAACCTGGGTCCCCATGTTGATGAAGGATATGGAGGGCGGTTATACGTACTGAATTACCCGGACCAGTTTGTGTCATGATTTCATTCGAAGGATTCTTCCACAGTGATGATGGCTCATGGATATTTGACGGAAGTACTTGACGTTTTTGTACCACATTGTTATTTACAGTGTGAGTATCTGGGATGACGGTCCGGTGGTTTTTTTTTTGGACCTTTTATATAAAAAATCCAGAGATTTTGTTTGCGGTGAAATGAAGTTAGTGGAATGGTTGTGACTTCTGTAAAAAAAACTGTGAATAGATTTTTGTAGAATTAAAACTGCCTGATTCATTCTGTGAAACTTTTGCCTGTCGCCTTTTCGCAAAGAACTAATGGCTTGAAAATGCAGCAGATTAAACTGGTCTTCATTGCTGCGTTGTTTATCTACGAATTATGCTTGGCGAAGACGCTTTTTTATTGGTGCCATTTCTTTTATTATTATAATTAGAGGTCTGTCGTATTCCGGCCGCTTTTTTCAATATATCTTCGTATTCCAAACACCAGAAACGCGGAATTTTCCGCGATGTTCCACATAAAAAATTGGTTCTAAAAGCCTATAAATCATATTTTTGTCGTAAATACTAGTGCAAACTTATGCACAAGGTTCATAAAGAATTATCAAGTTTCTCATTTTAGAGAAAAGACATAATGAGTAACGGCGTCCGGAATGAGAAAAACATGGAAGTGTGCATTTAACCGTACTCGTGTACTATAGATATTATCATACAGTACATATTACATAGTACATTGCAATAGGTACAGTATCTATATCTATAGTAGGCATACTTGTGCTACAGACAAGTAGCCGGAAGTTGTGACTATCTGCAGGATGCATTTTTTTAGAAGCATGTGCTTATGTTAAACGTTAGCACACTGCAGAAATATCTTATTAGTATACAATTAAAATTCGAATGCATTTTAATAACCCACGTTGAGGCAAGGAACACAAAAGCCAGTTGCTATTTAACATCAGGAAACATCAGTGTATCACAACAAATCCATACCCGGTAGTCAACAATGGCATGCTCCAAAATACGAGTTTTTGCGGCTGACGGACATTCGGTTCTACTTCAGATAACGGCGTTGTACGACGTACAGATCACCAGCAATAAAAAGTGTATTGAAAGTTGAACGGCGATGATCCTGCCGCCGGCTAAAACGGTAGCTTGTGGAGATCATGTTCCGTGAAGATTTTATCCGTGACCTCGTAGACCCTCTGCATAGCTTCCCCGGCACTCCGCGTAATCCTGATGGTATCCTCGTAGTTGTACTTGGATGTTTTCTCGCACAACTGCACCTTCGTCGGCAGTGTACTGATAGCGAAACCGGCAGCGGCGCTGAGCAGCCAGGAATGATATTTACCCAACGAGGCTTTATATACCGGCTGACATACCGTCGACATTTTGTCATCATCCCCAATGTTTTCCAATTGGCCAAGGAAGCGAATGAAGAAATCCAGCATCCTGTTGAGATGTAGCACGGTGCGGCTGCCGGACTGGCTGGGATCTTTGGCGCGGCGCTGCGGCTCCAGTCGCCGGTCATCCGCCGCCTCGAAGGCAACCAGGCGCTCAATGGTCGTGTAGTGCTCGCGCTCACCAGATTGCAGGTAACGCTCCAGGATGCGAATCTGCTCCCGGATGTCGGCGGCCATTGTGGCGAATAGAACGCCCATCATTTCGAAAAATCTACAATACATGTTTTTTATTACACGGTATGTTGCTCCTATGTTGGAGTGACAAGATAGCCTGTGGCGTAAAATGGTTGTATACAGGTATAACAAAAGAAGTTAAAAAAACCGGTGCAAAAAAACTTTACCAGCTTTCAGCAGAGCCTGCAGAGGTCGTAATTGTTTTCCTACTTTTACTTAGATGACGATTATGTCCAATCTACAACGCACTAATGCTACCGGTATGCTCAGTAGTTTATATGCGCAGCGCATTAAGGTCATTATTTCTGGTAATTTAGCAACAATTAATTTGCCACCGAAATTGTTTAGCTTCTTCTGACCGGCAGTAACTTTTTTCGCCACAATGAATTTGTTGGCAAGAAAACGTGTACTAGATTTCTTTCAAAAATGGCAAAATTATTACTATAAATGGGATCCGCGAACATCGTCCGCATGATGTCATGCAGGTATACCTCGCCAGCTCTTGAAACGCCTCAATATAGCTGGTGATTTCCACGCCCGCATCCTTTTCCAAGGCGGCATCAAAGCTGTCAGCAATCAGTTGATTGTCGATGCCATCCTCGCGCGGAATATAATTAACAAGGGCCATCCCTCCCGTGATTATAACAGTTTTTTATTAATTCGAAGCAACTTGCTGGCAACACACTCAGTGTACAGTCAGGACAATGCAGCGAAAAACTCCGCGGAAAGATGCCGATAGTTATGAGTAAATAAATTCCAGAATAGTACGTGACTTCCAGCCGACAGTGATGAGTAAATAAAATTCCAGAATAGTACAGTACGTACGGGCGCACATGACTTCCAGTACCAATAATTATAATTCAGTGCGGCAGTAAAAGATTAAAGAGCCGCGCGTTTCAAGCCAGTGGCCGTGCAGTACGTACACTCACAGTACACCGCATGCGACATATATCGGATCTTTTGTTTAACTCCAGAAAACACTCATTCCGAAACCGGTTTCCATTCTCACCCCGTTTATTACGGCGGTTTGTTCACACTTGACTGATAGACTTGTTATACTTCGATGGAGGTACATGCACCAGTATCAAAGGTTTTATCGCGCAATGTGTGCTCTGCAATGCAGTGGGTGATATCATTCTTGGATGTTGAATGATATCAAAGTGGATTGCTCATTTATCGAAGAATTCTGTCAGTAATAAGTGTAGCCATTTCAAAGTCAAGTACTCGGGTATATTCCGAGTATACATGTACCGTGGTGGTGATAACGGATATGATTTACGGCGTTCGACTGGAGTAATGTCCAATGGGCGTCCGATTGTCCAGCTTGTTACATAATGAACACTGTTACACAATGATCTCGTACACGAGCTGCAGATGACAGACACAGCAATACATGATATTATACCTACATCTGCAGTTGTGCCAGAACTCAGCGTTATAAATCTCACTTACAATTGTTATCGTTAGTTTGATTTTGCAATCACACTCACATACGATTCTACGAGTATACCTAATTGCCACCTTTTTAGAACTTAACATTTCCGTCACATTTACCAAATCGTTGGAAATTTATACTGATATCGAATTTTTATTGAATCATATTCCGCCATCACCAGTACCGACCTTATGAATTCAGCGATGTGACGAAATGTTTCAGGATACACCGTACTGCGCCGACAGTGCTGGCGCTCAGTGCGCTCTGCTGTGGGCCGGGTGTCTTCTTGCAGTTTTGCTAACTGGAAAATAGGCACGGCGTATCCTTTCGGCTTCAGTTTTTCAGGCAGAAAACAAGATAATACGATTAGTACTCGTATTAACTATTAAGTATAAACACTGCATGCACTCTTCAAACCAAGCCGCCTTAAAAATTCGGAAAAGTCTCGGAACTTTAGCTCTTCCGTGTCCCCGCACTATGATTTTCTTAATTTCGAAGAGGGTTTGTAATAATGTACTACGCAAAAGTACTGTAAATGTGTGAAAATGATGGTGACCTACCGTTGGATGTCATCACTCTCGGAAGGGCGGCTGCCATGGTGACAGTTGGACAGACATGAGTTTTTGTCTGCTTTCTCAGCAGATCCCTTTTCTTTTCTATGTCTAGCCTCCCAGAAATGAGTTTCTGCATTCAGTAATATGATCCATAATACTGCACAGTTATAGTAAGTTCTTGATACAAGTATTATCATTTTTAATAATTTTGAAGTCAAAGCCACAGTGCCTTTAAACCTTTACGAACAAACGCAGTCCCTAGGAGGCTGGCTTACCACCTGAATCCACCACCCTGGCGCGGCGTGTACATTATGCTAGGGTAGGGTTTTAAAATGCTGTACACAGTGTACAGCACTCTGTAACTATCGATGTCTTGTTGGTGTTTTTGTTTATATTTATTTTTTTGAAAGTTGTCTTCTTAATTTGGATGTATCAGAATTTTTAAGATATAAATCATATAACTGTGTTTCGCATTGTAGCATCATCATCATCAGCTGTCATCATTGTGTTTTCCTTCATATCTTTGCAGTCTTTGCATGCTGCGTGATAAAGAGTAAAGACCATAAAGTGCCACTGTGCAGTTCTTCGTTTGCCCAACGATGTCTTCAAATGCAGTTTCCTCGTCCCCTAAGGCACCAGAGTGCCAAGAGTCTGGCTGTGACTTCATGAAACTGCTGAAGCAGACATTTGCGAGCGGAGAACTCAGCGATGTGTGTTTCGCAGTGGGACGCGACTTTGGTAATGCACAGAACTTTCCCGCACACAAGTAAGACTCCGTCTCTCCCTGCCGAGTTCTTGTACGACGTGCTGGCTTCCGTTCCTTGATTACGTGCCTAGGTGCCTTGACATTGATCATCGCATGTATCTGTAGACTTATCTTGAGCATCCGCAGCGCAGTGTTTCGAACGATGTTCTACGGAAGCCTGCCAGAAAACTGTGACAAGGCTATCAGCATTCCCGATATTCATCCAGATGCGTTTGCCAATATGCTCAGGTGCGGGGGGATTTTTACTGTATCGTGTCAAGTACTTTAACAAAGCTCGATGTGTTGTACCTTCAGCAAAGTACGGTTGTATTCACACCCAGGCTCGAGGAATCAGTTTTTTTCTTTATGCTCCTTATTTTGTGGATAATGCGTTTAACGTTGTCTTTTTCTCGGTCTTGCAGTTTCGTGTACACGGAAGCAGTTGAGAATCTCACGTCTGACAACGTTTTCGCCACCATGAGCTGTGCGGACAAATACGATCTACCGCAGCTGGTGCGGATTTGTTCTGACTTCATCGGGAGCCATTTAAATGCCGAGACCTGCCTAGCCACTTTGCAACAGGCACGTGAGTCTTGTGTTTACATTGACTTTGTACTGCATCACATGCGGGGTGCCTGAGATTTGTCTGTTTTGCAGGCTGTTTCTTGGCATGCTGACAGCATCGTGGAGAAATGCATGGGTGTCCTGGAGGCGAACACTGTGGCGATTCTGCAGTCGGATCAATTCACCGCCATCTCACAGGATACATTGAAAAGCATATTACAGAGCGACACACTGTCTGCGAAGGAGCACGCTGTCTACTTAGCCGTTGAACGGTACGCGAGACGTACACAAAAAACGCAACATTATCGTCTGAATTCCGGTGCCCGAATTTTCTGGCTGCTGGCACAGTATAGATATGCCGTGATCGTTGTTACAGGTGGGCATCAGCAGCCTGTGCGCGCAACGCTCTGGATGCGCTAATCGTCGCCAGGTACTGGGTGACGCTTTGTTTCTTGTACGCTTTCCGCTCTTGACTGGCGCCCAACTGGCTGATGGTCCCTGTAAGGTTGGTTGGCCTTCAGTTTGTCATTTTGACCGGTCGATATTTTCATGCTGCGTTATGGTAGAGCGGTCTGCTAACTGAGCTGGAGCTGTGGAGCCTGTTCATGTATCAGAATGCCGCGGTGAAGCCACCAAATCTAGCGTTTCCGACGGAGCGCCGAACAGGAGTCGGTAAAGCCTTTGCGGTGGGAGACGCAGTGTTTGTGCTTCAGAATAGCACGTGGTGGATTCCAGCCACCATAAATCAGGTCCAGTCGGAACGTATTTCGTTTACTTGTTATAATAACGGCGGCGAGAAAAATTATGCAAGGGCAGACCAGGTAATTGCTGTTAAGGACATTCTGAAGACAGGCCAGGTGGTGTATGTGCGTTCGGCGGGGCAATATGGAAAATACGACCATGCAGTGGGGGATGACCATCGGATTACTGTGAATGGAAGTCTGGTTGTGGGAATCACGGATTTGCTGCTGCGGCAAGGTGATGTAGTGTCATGGAAGGCGAAGAATAGGAATTGATGTTTACAAGTTGTGTTTAAAGTTTTAACTGTTTCTCCACGTTTTATGACTGAAAGTTTGATTTCCTTAGTTTCGTATTTTGCAAAAATCGTGACTTTTGTGTTCTGATCGAGTTTAACATTCCTAGTGTGTAAATAACCGCTTTTTAATAAAACTCTGCGCGCTTTTTGCATGGCATTTGCGTTATTAGCGTTCTCAGTTGAATCCCAGATGCATTGTGCAGTGCAGTCCAGAGCAATGGCGTGGTGACATTAAGGATGAAGCTCATTTTTCGGATTTGCTGTCTAAAGTTAAAGGAAGATGCGAAGTAATCGTGTTAGTACTAGGCTAGTACTAGCACTTATGCTCACCATTTATGGTGATAATTTACTCGTGGTTAACAATGCTTTATGTTAAACACTTCGCAGGCAGCAGCTTCTAATTAGTGTTGTAATTTGTAGGAGCCGGGGTCGAACCGCTTTCATTATGTTGACAGTTGACAGTTTTATAACATCATCTTCGTTAAATATTTACAACACTTCGATATCCGAAAACTGGAAGGAAGGTTCAAACAAGCAACGTGAAACCTTAGTACAAATATTTGAAACTACGCCCCAAAATATGATGCGTAGTAAATATCTGCATGGCATCGACAACAGTCGTCAGTACTGTACTCACAGGATATGTGCTATAATACAGTACTATAATACTTTTCGATCTGTCGAATCGAGCATTGCAACTTGCAAGTGCTCCGCGCGTACGTCTCCAATCACCATAAATGCGTTCCTTACAGTTAGTGACATTCCTTCCCCAATACGTATGTACTGTATGAAGTGACTTAGTGAATCACTTCAATCCTGTCATTTGCAGTAAAAACCGGAATCCCAGTTAAACTATCAACATGCGCTTGGTCTTTGGTCAACGCAGCTGCCGCCGCCTTCACCCGGCAACAGATAAAATAATGCTCCACAAACGTATCAGTAACGTCTTTGACGTCTGGTTAAGTTTATGGATGTTCTTTACAAAGATCAGCGGACAATGCCCTTTATTAACGCGTCGCGCCGGCTCATCCACATTCTCAACCATTATTTCCCATTTTTGGATCGTGACCTTCACCATTCTTCGCTGCGTCTATCTGTGTCTCATAACTGCTCCGTTATTTTTCAGAGATTTAACCGGCACTCTGGACAGTTTCATCGAGAATATGTGTGCAAAGCTAGGCGATGTCGTGGGATTCGTCTCCGCCCTCTTTATCGCGCTGGAATGGAGGGGCATCAGTATATGCATCCAGCGGATACGGAGCTACGAAGACGAATACTTTGCACACCGCGAGACCAGTCTACTCGTCACAGTGACAGCTGTTTTACTGTCGGCGTTATGTACATTGGCGTACCAAGCGGCTACTTGGTTCCGCCTCTCACTGCAACGTTCCGCGACAATCGAAGCGGATTTCTGGGCGCTACACTACGGGGTCACCGTCTTCCGGACATCCAGTTTTATTAACTACGCTTGCGCCTTCCTCCATGTGATCCGTATATCCTCCGTATACTGCATCCTTGCCATTTGTTTTCTGATGTGTTTAACTGCCGGGCGGTTATGCCGTCGCATGAAGCAACGTCTCGGCGTTGTTAAAAACACCGAGCTTCTGGATAAAATTACACAGGACCATGTCGGGATATGCCGGTGTATTAAGAAGCTGTCCGGGCATCTTGATGTGTTTCTGCTGCTGTTCTATCTGCACGCCACCATGTGGATTGTGTGGATTATTAACAGTGTAGCGGGGAGCAGTTCAACGGTGTATGCATCGGCCGGTGTGCAAATACAGGGCGGAATTGCGGTGTTGCTGGTTATGCTGATTATAACATTCGCTATGATTTACGTGCACGAGCAGGTAAGTTCCCAGCACCGCATACTTGCAAGTTAAATCAGTTTTTGGATCACCAACTTTGTGAAGTTTACTACAAGTTCGTACTCGTAGTTTGCACTTTGTAGGCGGACATTTCTGATGAAATTCAAGAAAGGATAGCTCAAGAAGCCGACGATAGCAAAGTCACCAGGTTATTGGCTGGTCTCCATCGAATAACGACCAAACCTACCGGTTTCTCAATTGCTGGAATCATCCTAATAAACCGACCCTTCATTGCTACGGTAGGGAAGACAAACAACTTCATAAACTTGTATGTTTGAACGTAATTTATAACGCTCTGTGATTTTGGTAAAATTTGTAGATGATGGGCATTTTGTTCTCTTATGGAACGTTCGTCCTTCAGCTTAAAGAATCCCGCAACGAAGGCGCCAGAAGAGATATGGTGCAGCCGGTCTCCGCCAACTTCACGGCATAAGATCCTTGTATTATATCAAATCGATCCAGCTTTGAATCTTCCTTTAGTGTGTACACAATGCTAATGTTCCAGTTTGAAAGCAGTTGTGCAAAATGTGCCTTTCGCTGCTTTTAATTCATAATCTGACATAGCACGCCACATGTATTGAACGTTATACTGTATTAACTTGTACGCTATTGGACTAGTACGCTATTGGCTTGTATTGTAGTTATTGGACTTCGATCTAGTGCTGTAATTAAAAAACATGCTAATTGAACTGATTCTATGTGCGACTTGGTTTTTATTTAGTACTTCTAAAAAATAATTTCTTTTCGCATTATTTTGTGATAAATATAGCTGTACGAGGGAGCCAATAACTTTCCAAACGTACCCTATTATTCTGCGGCACTGTTTACAGAAGTATAGCTGAACTCCAATATGTTAATTTTGTAAGTGACAAATCTCTAGGGCATAACAAATGGACAAAAAATATATATCTTCTTTGGTTTATTCCTTCTTAGATCACACAAGGCCAAATGAAACTAAATCACACAGATGTGCCTCGGCGAGCTCTATATACACTTTTACTTTCTATCCAATCCAGAACGTTTCGACCAATCCCTTACCCTGCAACAGTGAAATAACCCTTTATCGTCTCACTGTTCACTGTTTTAGATCTGTTTTCAATGGTACTGCAGGCAGGTGCGTTAATAACACTGGTACGAGTACCTTCACTTGCACTTGACCCCGCGGTAGAAGCTTTAGGCGGGAAGCAGCTTTAATTTCTTCCAATTTCAGCTTCGTACTGTCGCTGATGTGAATTCTTGATGCTGAAGTAGACCGTGAATATACGTAAAGAAGGCGTTGTTGTACTTGGATATTATTCAGGATATGTAAACTGTATAACGGCTCTTGCTCGGTACACCCGGCCCATTAGAAAACAAGACTAACGCACCTTCTCCATGACTTTCCATTCGGCTGGCTGTATTCATCGTGTCGCCAAACCTGAACCAAAGTAAGGCGATTCAGTTAGTTCTCATTCAGGGTGCTCCCAGTAAAGGAATAATGTATGTAGCTTACAAACAATATCGTGGCATTATCACACCGATGATTCCCGCCGCAATGGGACCTGAGCAACAGTTTAACCGTGTACGCAATACGAACAGTAATTCAGAATTTAACAGAAATCGATTGGCATTACCAGTATGGATGCCTATTCGGATTTTTAGCGGAATCTTTTTCTGCCGTTCCAACTCCAGCAAGATATATTGTGCGAGCGACACGACTTCGTACGCGTGCCGCTCTCCATTACGCAACGGGACACCGCTCGCGACCTGGGAATCACAGGAGCGGTTAATTAATACGTACCGCAATTCGTAGCATCAAATCAGGTTGAAAAGTATTTTAAAAGGAATACCGTAAATAAAATGATACCTTTCAAAATAGTTTAGTGGTGCTGCTTACCACGTAGCCATCTTTGACCGTCTCCACTTTATACACATCGTACATGTGGAGGGTGCTGTCCACGAAGGTGTACAACTCGTTGAGGAAGCTGCTGACTTGCATGGGTGTCACCGTATTGCAGAACACATCGAAACCCACCATACTACTGAACAGGATCGTCACGGATTCGAAGGCTTCCGGTGGAACAACGACTTTGTCCCGCAGTTTCTTAATAAGAGATCTGTGAACATACCACACGATCGTCAACCTTTAGATCAAGTACGCACAATCGATGTATAGTACGCATTGACTGCAATCGTGTAAATGCTGTTGTACTACAGCAAATATCCGTAACAACTTTCAGTGAAAGTAGTCATTGATTTTCCCATGGTTTAAATTAATGTCTTGCAGGTATGCTGTATTTCCTTACGGTGGTATTATTTCCGCAAGTAAGTTATCGACTTTATTCTGCTCCGTGACCAACTCGGCGGAACGAGCCATCACGATTAATTCCAGATTCTCCGCGTGCTCTTCCAACCGTTTGATCAAACTGGCAATGACGGTCAATCGAGGTCGATAGTCAGCTAAACGATTCTGTATGGATTTTACACTGGGACGGGCTTCTTTTTTCTCGTAAAGGCACGCTTCGATCACGCCGCTGATTAGGCGGATAAAGGGCGCTTCATGCAGCTGCTCTATAGAAAAACAGTAAACATTTATTAACCAAAAGCTGTTTTTATAAAGCACACAAATGTATGGTGACCTTACTGGTTTTGCTCGTTTGCTGGTTTCTAACAGCGTCGCCTAGTATCTCCTGCATGATTACTCCCAGAGAGTATATATCGCTTTCCTGCGTAAGGAAGTTGCTGGGATCAGTTACGCATTCGGGTGCAAAGCTGGTTTCTGTATCGAGCGTCAGAAACTTTCTCGATAATGCTTGGAATATCCGTATTGAGCCGATATCACAGATCTTGGCCGTGTAACGATTATCTACGATGACGCTTAAACTTGACAAACTTCCGTGGCAGCGTAACGGTGACGCATGGATAAATTGCAAACCCTGGAAATAACAAATCCATCTTAATATTGCTAAGTTTTACAGTAAATCTAAAACACATTAATCGAAAGCACATCAGCGTCATTCTTGTAAGTCAAACCTTATGGCCAGAAATAATGAGCGCGTGAATTGTGAAAGGTCATGCAGTCATATAGCGTGCAAAAACGACTTCTCGATAATTGGCCATTAAAAACACCCTTAATGCTGTTTTTGCTGGCTGTTGCGTCACTTTGTTCGTAATTCTTACCGTCAGGATATTGTAAGTGAGCGTTTTCTGGAGAATCACGTCGGCGATGATGGTCTCGTTAGCGAATAGGCAGCGTAACGGTCCGCGCCCGTATTCCCACACCACACCGACATACTGCTCCATCCGTGCCACACCGTAAAAGCGTCCCAACGTATCGTGGCGAGGTATATTGCGAATCTGACCAAATTATTCTACTTAAAGAGACTTTAGCGTCAACTTTCTAAAGGTCACCCATACTGTACCTGCATCAACACGCTACGCAGAGCTTTTTTGCTCAATACTTCCGCTTCCGTGATCGCTACGGTCTCCGTTCGAATCCACACTCGATCCTGGCCGTAATAGCACTGCATGGTGCTGCCACCTGTCTGGAAGACGCTGTACCCTGGTTTGTAATCATCGCCGTGTAGAAGCGTCGCATCCAGCAGCCACCAGTTGGAACTGTCTGTCAGTGACGCGGTTTTTCTGTAAACCGAAAATAACCATTAATTTTCTACCTCAGCTAATTTGGTTACGTAATAATTCGACGGTTAGTTTACGCGATTTATAAACGTACATGTAGATGATAATTGCGATGCCAATAATTACTACCGCTCCACACCCGCCACACACCGCCGCGATAATAATAGTCCTCCCTGTGAATTTAGCCTCAAATGAACAGGTGACGTTATTGTTCAAAACTATACATACCATCATTGGCCGTCGCACACCGATCGCTGCGGAAGCCGCAAATTGGCTCATTTAACGGAGGCGTCGATCGTCCGTTCCAGTCTCCCTCCAGTTGCGGATTGAGAACGGATAATTTGGCTTTTGGGAAGTCGTAGTACCAAGTCGGCTAATCAATGACAACGCTATATAAACGCAAAACTATACAAAGCGTTTGATACATACCTCAAATTTCCGGCTGGTGCTGTTTAGTCGGTACAATATACTATCCGACATGCGCATCCCATTGGGCCCAATGCGCACGCGCCGTACCGGTGTGTAGAACGTGCGATTGAGAAACTGCTGACGGAATGTTGCCGTGGTCAGGTTCTCCAGGGGGACGGTGCTTTCATTTAGCACCTACACGTTGCCAACACGCGATGAAAAGTGCCGATTATGACATACTTTTACGAAATCATGTTTTTGCAACATCTCTAAAGAGCACCGTGTCGGATAACATCACGCACCCTGCCAATGGCGAACATGATCTCCGGAATGGACAAGGCAATCTCGTTTTCCTGTCAAAGCGAACAAATCTGTTAAAATATTAAATGAATCGTGTCTTGTGTTATTTATATGTTTACCCGCTCGTCTTGCTGGTAGGTGTGGTTGTATTTCGTCCGCGCCAAATCAGTCGTCATGTTAATCCAGCCGGCTAGTTCGGTGTAGTTCGGATTGACAAAGTTAATGGGCACCAGTGGTTTGTAAGCTTGAGCAATTATCTAAAAAAAGGTTAAGCAATAAAAATGTTTGGTTCTAACAATCGGATGCGTAGTCGTGATGCAGCGGAACCGGCTAAAGTGTAACGTCTCTGCTCACGGTTTTTGCAGCGTCATTACTGAGCGATTGAAGTAGTTACTCGGTGCACACTCACATCATCCAGGCCGTCGTTGCGATCCACTTGCAGTTCGATAAATTCCGGACCCTGACATGGCTTCGGATTAATGTAGACCTGCAATCACAAATATCTGGAATTTTACAGATTCCTTCAGTGTTTTATACAAGCGTACATTTATCGACCGTTAAAGTTGTCCTGATACAATTATTTTAGTTTTGCTGTTATTGAATATTATGTATCATTCTGGTCGTTCTGTTTTAAGCCATATAATTATGAAAAGTTATCTCACGTACGTATTCATCGCCAGTCATGTTCAATCGATAGGCAACAAGCTGCAACAATAAATCGTTCAAATCTGTATCACGACACCGGAAACATTGCCGGTGTAGAAGTATACACTTAGCATTTTACCATGAACTTGCGCACTTCATCCCCATTGGCAAGAAATATTATGACTGAAAATAAAAATTTGATGTTCAAAATTCCAATAACCGGAATGGAATACATGGAATACTGCGAAGTAAATTAAAGGATATTCTGGTACATTTCAACTATTGAGATATTGACGATGAAAATCTAGTTACCACCTGACGTATGCAAATCGGGCAACACGTGGTGAATTGATTACTGTATTGAGGTACGTAACTCGATATACTGTACTCGTATTAGAGGGATACAATAGGTATCCGTCGCATCGTGAGTAAATTAATTAAAATTGTGCATACTTCGGCTGTTTTGCCGCGCTCGCAGGAGCATCGCATCGTAATGCGGATCAGCCAGCGTGGAATCAAACACTTCCGAATACAAATCGAATTCCGCCGCGGACCCGAATGTCGTCTTGAAGGCCCGGCACGTGATGCCCAGGGAACTGGCTGCACTGGTGAACTTGGAGTAGTTATCACAGAATAAGGTCACCGTGCGCCAACCGTACTGCTTGACGAATGCGCGTGCAGCCGAGGAATGACTTCCTTGACCTCTAAAATATACATTACGTTAATAATCATCTTTTTATAAAACGTTGAAAAAAACGTACAGTGGTCCGAACGTAATTATCGTTGGGAAGCGTTTGGCGTTGGCGAACATCAGATCAGCAGATGTACTGTAAATGAAAATGAAATAAACAAGCGGTAAACAATAAGGTCATGTTAGTAAAACGCTCATGGTGTTGCGTATACCTGGCCATCAATGGAAGGTTGACTTCTGTAAGAGAAATGTTTTATGAAGATAAAGTGTTTGTTTACTGTCAGCACTAAAGGAAAGAAGTACCACGTGCAAAGTCTCCCAGCGGCATCAGTTCCAGGCTACATCCTGCAACACAATCAACGACTGTCTGGCGTTCATGGCCCAAGTGGGATTCAAGTAGGCGCTAGAGTGTGTGCTCTTCAGAAACCGAATTAGTTCGACGGATCAGCGCTGTTAAATAAATATTAAAATATGCGGAAAAAGTACAAAAGGGTTGTAGAGAATCGTTTTTTAGTAGCATTGTGCTACCAGTTTGCCTCGTCTCGCTTACGAGAGAGTAAATAATTTCGTTACACAGCACTTTTTTCAACAGGTACCGTATTTCTAAGAGGAGCTAACAGGGGCTTACGTAATAACTGTTAGCCATTTAAAATTTTTTAGTTTAACTAAATTCAGTTACACTTAATTACGAGATCATGCATGAACAAAAATTGTCGCAGTAACTGGTGTCGAAAAGGAAATTGTGAAGAAATTATTTAGAAGAGCACAAACTGGGACAAAATATTCATAATCAGACTTTTACAGATTTCGCAGTTAACATTAAAATTTTCCATTTTTGGCAATCTATATAATTATGTAAATCTGTTGGTTAATTCGTACAGCTTTATACAGTGCTTTATCGATCAAAGCTTACCTGATGATAAAAGAATCGTAAATCCGCTAATTTTCGATATAACGTCGTATATTTCCCCCGTTACACCGAACATGTAATCACCGGCATCGTTACAAGACGGTATATTGGGTTTATAGAAAACCTTCCGGGTGGCATTGGCGAAGACATTAGGATACAGTTTGGTCATGGCGTCAAAGGCCACATCATTAAACGGTCCGGCAGCATAATATCCATACAACAAATTATCCCCGATAATCACTTGTACAAAATTAAGACTAAACCCATTTGTTAACAATAACCTGGTCAACAAGACGAAAGCTGCACCGGCAAGATTCATGGCATATTTATTCGGATTATTCCCTTCCCGACCGTAAAAACTAATGGCAACTGCATGGCGTGGGAAATGAAATTGTCACGAAAGGATGCTGCGGTCACCGGCGCAGCCGGTAAGTGGTGTATTGATTAAAACAGTCACCACCTACCGTCGTCAAGTAGATACTTCGGCGCCTATGTGTGGAAGACAAGGGGCTGTATTTGATCTTTCGATTTTATCGACAAACAGCGTGTGTAAGGTTATTGCAAATTTTTGTGGAGAGGCAATTTTAATATGCGGCTGTAGCGGCGAAAATAACAACTGACAAGAGTGTGGTGCACTGCCAAGTGTGTCGGCATACACGTCATAACGGGCGTTTAGGTACGTCATTAAGCGCGTCGCTGCTTATGATCGGTGGTACAAAGTAATGCGAATGTCAACTTAGCTAACCAGTAAAATTAAGATTAAAAAATGCGGATGCGGACCGGCTCTTAGTTTTTGAATGTAGCCTCACAGGTACACTTTGCATCGTGGTCTACCGGAAATAATCAGGAAGCTGACAGATCAGTTATTATGTATTTGACTACGAGCCTAGGTCGGAAATAATTATTTACGGTCTCATATATATCCTTATTGGCGGTGTATAGCAGACTTAAAAAAAGTAACTTCCGGAAAGTGTTTTTATAAATCCGGAAACGACGTAGTGGGACACGAACGGAATGAGGCATATATACGTAGCTTAAGCTTATTACCCTGCTTGTTATCCGAACGACCATGCGCCAGCAAAATTAAGAAGCCTGTGCTTTTATAAAAAATGCATCGGGAAACTGTCAAGGCACGTTCGATCATCTCGTGACGGGCTGTATAATCCCACAGGTGCTAACTCACAATTCTGATATGATAAGCATCCGTTTTGGGTTTGCAGTCCTTCGTCCAAAAATGATGTAGACACAAAATGGGCAAGAATACGTATGGAAGTGGGCTTTACATTGTTAAGCGCTGGTACGTATAAATTATACGTACGGTATAATTACATAAATATATATAATTACATTACATAAAATTATATAATTGCATTATATAATTATAATTATACGGTATAATTACATAAATTGCGTAAGCTAGACGCAAGAAGGTTTTTGTTAATAGTTGTGCGAACAGTAAATACGAGTAGCTGGTAACATTTCCTATATTTAGGAGAGTATCCATACGAGAAGCTGCATTAACAACGTAGATTTTCAAGTTTTGCCAGCCTCATGCACCGTCCCGCAAACTTAATTCTGAGCCGATTTTCCATAAATAAATCGCTAATGTTGTATGCCCCTAAATCCAATTTACAACATACGGAGTATAACAAACATATGTATTTGTTAGTCCAAATATTTGCACCAGCCGTATTCTGAGCAAATTGCCAAGAAAGTTATTCGCTTTGTAAAATTGCTGAGAGTTGCGGAAAGCGTCCACACCGGGCGCACAACGTACAGACAGTGTGCAGCAAACATGTACAGTCTGTACATTAAAAAAGTGATATGGTTATCAATGGCAATGATGCGCATTCCGTGGCAAGAAAGTGTTTTTCCGGAAGCAGTTAGGTAGCGCCGCTTAGCCAGAAGGTTTCGATCAAGCCCTTGCCCTTAAAAAACGACGCCTTATCACCCGAAGCTTTTTCAATGGAAATTCACGGAACGCATACCTTTATCATGATAGATCCACGACACTGGAGGTTAAAACGTTTATCCGCGGCTAAGTATTCCTTGGCAGCTGGGCTCACGTGGATTTTCGACTCTAGAGAAGAATCCATGCGTGAAGCATTGTTCGGACATCTTATACCTGTTTGCGGGACAAAGTTCACCTTCTCCATGGCTTTCCATACGGCTTGCTGTATTCATTGTGTCTCCGAACCTTCACCACAAATACAATAACCGTGAGTGTAAGTTATGTAACCGTTAATAGGCCCTCTCGCCGCGCACCTTATCACTGTAGGTACAAAGTGGGCCAAGTCTTAAAACTTTTAAAACTTTTAAAACCTTTAAAAGTTTTAAAAGTTTTAAAACTTGGCCCACTTTGTACCTACCCTCTCGCACTTTAACTTACAGAGAAATTTAAGGTGCGCAGCGAGAGGGCCTGATACACGTCCGTGTGCGTATAAAGCTGTTGACAAAATAATAAATTAACCCTACGTTTCCACTCACAAGCAGTATCGCGGCATCACGGACCCGACAACGCCGGCAGCTATCGGACCTACAGAAACATTTGTACTGGTTCCCTGATGTTCGGGAAGTGTTAGCTGTCTGATCGATGTGCAGATAGGGACACATAATACCTGTATGTATTCCTATCCTTATTGGCAGATGATGCTTCAGGTTGTCCGGTGTACAATTGCCAAGTACCAGCAGCGCAAACTGGGCGATCTCTTTGGCGTGCTCGTCACCGTTCCTGATTGGTACGCCGCTCGCCACCTAACGATTGTTAAAAAGGCCTTGATGAACTTTGTAAGACAGAAGACGCGATCGACGTACAACATAACCGTCCTTGATGGTCTCGACTTTGTACACATTAAACGACGCCAAATACCCATCGATGAATGTGTAGAGTTCGTTGAGAAAGACGCCGACTTCCAGCGGAGATTTGGCTTTGCAGTAAAGGTCAAAACCGACCATACTGCTGAACAGAATGGTCACGGCTTCAAAGCGTTCTGGCGGAACGATGATTTTATTCCGTAGTTTTGAAACGATTGACCTAACAATAAGATCCACGGTTCAAAAAGTAGGTTTGTGATAACCTTGCATATCTTACGGTGGAATTATTTCCGCTAGTAATACGTCCACTTTTTGTCGTTCTAGCAGCAACTCTTGCGTTCGATGGGCAACGGTGTGTTCTAAATGTTCTGCGTGTCGTTCCAGCCGCTCCAGTATACTGGCCACCACGTTGCCCTTTGGCTGGAACGAGCTCAGACGTTCTATCACTTGTTTAATGGTTGGTCGCGCTAGTCGATCGGCTGCTGTACACTGAGAAATCACAGAAGTTACGGCGAGTTGGAAAGGCATATTTTCATACTTTATGGCATCTACAAAAATACGCCCATTTTTTAAACGATTATTGTAGAAGACTCCATAAAGAAGCCGTATCTACTAATATCAAGGGTTTCGCTGGGTGATATTTTTGATCCACGCAGTATTTCATAAATTATGACCCCCAGGGCAAAGATGTCCATTTCTGGAGAACCGGCAACCTTCCGTTCCGGACCAACCATGACATCTTGTTCCGTAATGATGAAAGGCGATTTGTACAAAATCTGGTAGAAACTCTTTGATGCGATATCACATAATTTGGCCGTAAACCGGCTGTCGAGGATCACAGACATGCTGGATAGGCTCCCATGGAACCGAAACGGTGTTTGTAAGTGTACATATTGTAAACCCTGTTCAACAGAAAAAACATGGTATACAAGTATGTTTCCTTAGACTGCAGTATAGACTGTATAGATGCAGTTTATGTATCTTGAGTAAAACTTAAATTATTTATTTTAATTTTATATGCTGCAAAGCTACTATTAATTTTATTTTTTGCTCGTACGTTTGCTATTTTTTGGCAGTACACCTTTGTATTTATTCTCTAAACCGAAAGACATAATTTAAAGAGTGTTTGTACACTCGTCTTAAGTAATCCTAGCGAAATCAAATAAAAGTTTCTTGAGGTACCGAAATTATGTTGAAAACAAGATGGAGCTGCACAATCGCATCCGATATAATCGCCTCCTTGGACAGAAATAACCGCAGCGTTCCCCGGCCGCCATCCCATACTACGGATGTTGTACTAGGTGTCAGTATGATGATGCCGCGAAAGTGGGAAATATTTTGATGCCGCACCTGTCGAAGCTGAAAATAACCATATTACCGCATAGGGTCATGCTGCGTTCGATAGATCAATGCGTACTTGAGAGAAAAGAACGCGAATCGAAGGCATCAACAAAATATCACCGTCTCGCGTATTGATGCTCTCCGTGCGCAGCCACAGGCACTCGCTATTAATCTGCATAGTTTGGACGCCGACATTAACCGTGGGTTTGTTGCCATCCGTGACAAACGACTGTGGTTCGAGCATCCACCAACCACTCTGATCGAATTTGGTCGATTTTTTTCTGTAACATAAATACCCAACTTACAATATTTTGCGGAAGGCAATGACAGTAGGATACATATACCAGCTGAACGTACATGAAATAGTAAAATCCAGAAAAGATTATAGCGGCGGCTGAGACAATACCGCAAACCGATCCGGCAATAACTGCTGTGATGTCTAAAACGTTATTTTCTTACGTTTACTAATCTGAAAACAAAAGAAAGTAAATGCAGAAAATGCGTACTGTCACTTAAGAGACAGCGGTCACCACGGTATCCACACATTGGTTCGTTTAGCGGAGGCACACCGGCACCGTTCCAGTCATCCGCCAATAGCGAGGTTTTTTGCAATGTGGTTGAGGCGAAGTTGTAATACCATGCCGACTGAAAATTGTCTTATTTATCGGTGTCGCAACTAGCAATTTTTCTGAACAACATCACCGTCAAACCTCAAATTTTCTAGTTGTCACATTCAGCCGGGAGAAAACCGAGTCACACAGCCGCATTCCCAGGCCACCCATTATCAAGGGTCGGACGTTGGTCCGGAAGTAACGGTTAAGAAAGGCCTTGCGGAATGTTGTTGTGTCAAGTGGCGCAAGGTTTTTGTCGAATTCATTCAAAACCTGCGACACATATGCCACACATGTAATTGGATCCGGAAATGTGTATCGCACAGCGGGTACGTATATCGTCCTGCACGTGTGTAACGAAGCACTTGTAGTCACCGGATCCGCTTACAGTACCTCTCCAACGGCTGTCATCATCTCCGGTATCGCGAGAGTTATTTCATTGTTCTGCAAGATGCAAAGTAAAGTTTGTCGTAAGTGTTTAGCGTAACGTTGGGAAAGACCTTAAGAAACAAAATAAACGAGGAAGGCTGACCTTTTCATCGATTGTGTAATTATGATGAAAATTTAACTGCGAGTTGAGCGCCACAGAATCCGTGAAGGGTGCCAGTTCGACGTAGTCGGGGAGTGGAAAATTCAACGTTATTAGGCTTTTATACGCTTCGAAGATGTCCTGGGAATAAACGGAAATCCAGTAGGAAATTCCCAGTTTTGCCTGACAGATAAAGCTGACCTTATCATGAACGGTGCCGGTATCGATTTGTATGGGAACATAATCAGGGCCTTGCACCGGAATACAGTGGAGAAAAACCTGTCATTAAGAATTGATTTCTGGTCATCCGATATCGATAGCAGTCACCTGCTTGTGTTACAAATTCGCTGTTTGTCATGTTCAGGGTGTGCGCCAAAACCTGTCAACATTGCGGCTTTTGATCGATCTTCACACGTGTAATACGACAAAAACGGCAATTATGTACCATAATTTTCTGCAGTTCATCCGCTCTTGCGAGGATAATAACGACTGTAGAAATAGATTGCATTAAGCGAAACGCTATAAAGCCAAAAGATCAAGATAATTTACTTCGGCTCTGGCGTTTGGCTCGCAGCAAGCGTGCTTCGTAATCCCGACCGAACTTGGAGTCGTACGATTCCAAGTAGAAACTGTATTTTCCCGCCACATTTAAAATGAACGTTATCGATCGGCAATGGGCTCCCAAAAATGCCGCTACCGTCGGAAATGCGGAGAACGCATCGCAGAACAACGTAACGGTCGTCCAGTTGTAGTAATCCAGAAAGGCTTTAATCGCCGCGGCATGGCCGCCTTGACCCGTGGATCCAAAGGAGAGAAAAGTCGAGTATCGTTTTACATTGGCAAACATGGCATCTGTGGAGGTGCTAAACGAAAAATCCGAGTAAAAATATTTGCAGTTCAAATTGTGCCTTATAGGTTTTAATGTTTCGTATCACAATAAAGTATCTGCTTTAACTAGGATACTAACCTTGCCAACAGCGGAACGTTAACCTCTACAAAAAATCTGGCATAAAAACAGAACACTTTTCTGTTTACAAATATTCTGTTTACAATTTACGTACCTCTCGCAAAATCTCCCAAAGGAACTAGTTCTAAACTGCAACCTTGAAGAAAATGAAAATATGATTGCCTAATACCAGTAATAATTTTCGGATGATAAGGTAATTCCGTTAGTACGTACGGTTTTACCTGGTGCCAGAATCACATTAAAAGATTGTGATTGTTTAATAATTTGGTAAATTTCCCCGACTAGAATGTTCATAGCCGCCGCGGCATCCGGACAGGCAGAATTTCCCGGCTTGTACAGTACTCTTCGTGTGGTGTTGGCGAACGCCGTTGGGTACGTTTTTGCTACCTCGGCAAAAGAACTCTCGAAATACGGCAACGCTGCATAATAGCCATATAACGGGTTCTCTCCAATAACCACTATGATGAAAGTCACGTTAACACTTCTAACTCGCGATTGCATTGATATCAAAATTAAAATACAAAGTGTATTTTTAAACATTTTGCTTGTTGTCAAAGAGCGTTTATTCGCGGTAAAAGAGTGCAAGACGTCCACATCACGGTAGCTACAACTTGTGTTCAACGCTTCGGGAAGATTTGTATACGATAAGCCGGCAGTGGATTTGGTAGTATTGTATTGATCAGGGTTAAAGTGTAAAGGCTGCTGTATCTTTAGTAAACGACCGCCTGAAAAGTATTATACAGATACAACGGAATGACACGAGTATGTGTACAATGCTCGTATCTATCGAAGGGATCAGTGTGGGCGAGCAGCTGCCTGGCATTTCCGGAAGGTAATAGGCGGGGAAGACGTCATATTTGTCGAGCGATGGCGTAATTAGCGGGCGTGCAAAGTCTGCAGACGAGTATGACGTAATTTGCGTAAAGGCTTTTAGCTGGTTTATGGACACGTGCAGGATTACACTAATTTTTGACATGGCGAGAACTCTTTCATTAGGCTTAAATCTTTCATTAGACATGCACTGTTTCATTAGGTTTACGCAGAAAGTTTACGTATTTGTAAGTAGATTCAAAATGTCAAAACAGTGCGAGTTTGACGATAATCTGGGCACCGTGTACCGTATCGACAAAGGTCACTCAAAAGCGAACGTTGTATTTAACTTGCTTGAGATATGGAGGCTGCAGCGACGAGTATTTGATACTAAAGTTAGCAAATTGCCTCGAACTCTTTGACTCTTACGTCAACCGCGTAATGCTGTATAGCGTAATCAGTTATACGACTCCATCAGAAGGATTAAAACTGAAAACGGTGAGATGGATTTGCAACCGGTACCTGGTGGCAGCGCTAAGATTTAATCCAGGTAAGAATACTGTGTCGCTTGTCATCAAACTCTGGAACGGCACTAATTAACTGAATGTCATGGTTAATTCCTTGTCAAGTCATAGTCAGTTCCTCGCCACACCGCTGTAAAGCCATCCATGACTGTAAACACCTTAGAGTCTTAAACAGTTAGACACCAAACTTTTAATTTATTACGCTGTTTTTGCGAGATTGCGGAATTTTCTTATTAAATCACCTAGTTTCTGGCCCACTCATACAGTATCACAGTGCTGCTTTTGACAGTGGTTGTAACACTTGTATGTGGGTCACCCTAAAGCGATTTCCGTATTGAAACGTACGTGCGTTTTTCTTTGTTGTACAGTATGTGCGAGAAATGTTATTTGCTTGTCAAATCACGGTAACTGTTACGAACAGCAGCTGTTTGTCTTCTTATTCGCGTGAAAAATAACAGCAAATGTAGCGAGAAAAGCTGGTCATACAGACTCATACTCGTAAATGAGCGGATGTTTACAAAAGTTACACTTAAGGTGTCGCGAATGCACCTGAGCGCTAGCTAAGGCGAGTCGCCGCTATATTATAACACGGCGCGCGCATAATGTTTAGCTCGTAGGAATCAATTTTCGCATTTGAAAATTTTAATTTGTTTGCGAACTCCAAGGGTTTTGATAAAGATTTAACACCGTAATGCCATTGTGGCAAAATAACCCGCCAGGAAATGCCGGTTATAATCCGGCTGCTGGCAATGCGGATTGGTTGTACGGAAACAATGGGAACGGGAGATCTGGATTGAGGTTTAACAATTTTGATGCCAATGAGACGACGCGGAAATGGTCGTGGTTCTATGAATCGCCACGCGTATCGTTCGAGCGCAACGGATATCCTCCACCTACAGCACGACGCAGTGCTCCATGCCTTACTGGCGAGAACGTCGACAAGCAACAGTCTAGTATCGACAGTGTTAACTGGGAAAAACGTATGGTTAAACGGGTTGACCAGTACGGAATGGAGGGGCGTGGGGGATACGGTTATACGACCTCTTCGGAATTTTTAGCGCGGAAACCCAATTTTCTTGCAGAAATGCGCCAGTTTTGTGCGTATTATCCTACGTAGTCAGTTGCCCTTAATCAGGGTTTCCTCAATATTGTACATCCCCTCGCTGTATAGAGCCAGTTACTGTAGTTGTACTGAGACATCAATAACTCTTGGGACGCCTTAAAATTATTTCATATTGTGGTATTTGAATACGTCCACACGGAATTGAGTTTTTCGTTGAGTAAAAGTTAGTTTATGGCAAATTGCTTATTGCATTTTGCGGTCGGGTAATCCGTTTTCGGCTTTCGGAGAGGAATTTTTCAGCTTACCGACTGTTTATTGTTGCATTTTTCTCACAACTCCCAAAACTACATTACTTTTGATTTCCTAGGCAATGCAGAAGATTCTCATGCCAGAGGAGATCATCCCAACAAAGAATACATAAATATCCACAATGCTGAAACCAGCCAACCTGTGACGTATGGGCATCGTTTTGTCGGCTATGGTTACCCCGGCAAGAATGCTGCCAAGAAAACCAGTGATTGACTACACTTTTTGATTTTTTTGTTCTTTCTATTCTTCGACAAATCTTTATGCTATACTACTCTGCAGTTTATATATATTGCACATGTAGATACAAATGCAACAAAGCCACGTCTTTGGGCGCCAAATCCTTATGTATGATTACAAGAGCTTCTTTTATTTCCGTGCAACAATCATTGTCTTTCATTTTGTTTTGCAAGTAATGTTGGAAACTGAAAGTGCCGGGAGCGCCGCTTACGCATTATTTCGCGATATTTACGGTTCAACGTATGACACTAAAAAAAGAAGCAAATGGCCGGTTATCGTTATGATGCACGTTGCCGCCAAGCTGCATCGTTCGTGCACTCAGCAAAACTAATAATTGTAGAAGAGTTTCAATGATAAATGCACCGGCAAGCTGTCATTAGTTAATGACTATGCTGTATTGCCTTGATTCAACCAGAAAGTTTCAATCATTCCTTTGCCCTGTTGAAAATGAAAATAAATAAATTGCGCATTGTCAACCAAACAGTTAGAGAGATAATGCAGCAGGGTCTTACCTTGACAGTTATAAGCCCACGTGATTCGATATTGAAGCGATTGTCACCAGTTAGAAATTCTTTTGTGCTAGGACTGATGTGAATCTTCGATTCTATACAGAAAGTTGGTTACTAAAATGATAAAACATTAAATCGGTGCCGTACGCTGCCACTCTCACCATAACCATGGCTTTCCATTCTACTAGCCGTGTTCATCGTGTCTCCAAATCTGGAACATGAGGTGTGTCAGAAATTCACGTTACGAAATTTCAGCGCAAAGCTGTACAGTACTGTAGTCATAAGTACTGCAAACTGCAAACTCGCATTTGCAGTCATAAGAAACAAGTCGATCCTTACAAGCAGTAACGCGGCATAACGGAACCGACAACCCCGGCAGCAATCGTCCCTAAAAAAGGCAGAATCTCTTGGGCGTTTTGCACCGAGCCAGTATAAAGCAGTTAGGGCAATGTCAATTTACCTGTGTGTATTCCTATCCTGATCGGGAGATAGTTCTTCAGTTTGTCTTTTGTGCAGTTGCGCAGCACCAATAAAGCAAACGATGCGATCTCCTTGGCATGTCGTTCCTCGTTACGGATAGGTACTCCGCTTGCTACCTGAACCGTGTGCGTTGCGTGTGTTGCAACGAATTAGTAGGCAAACAAAATAGAACTGCAAGTATCAATTTTGCAAGTTACTTACGACGTAACCATCTTTGATTGTTTCCACTTTGTAGACATCGAAAGAAGCCAGGTACCCGTCGATGAACAAATACAGTTCATTCAAAAATATGCCCACTTCAAAGGGCGACCTGGCTTTGCAATAAAGGTCAAACCCAACCATACTGCTGAAGAGGATGGTTACCGCTTCGAAACTCTCCGGAGGAATCACAACTTTGTTGCGGAGTTTCGTGACTATCGATCTACATACAAACCGGTTAAACGCTCAGCTGAAGTACTCTAACATCAAACGTAGTCTATGTTTATCTTACGGAGGAATGATTTCGCCCAACAGCAAATCCACTTTATGCTGCTCCGATAACAATTCCTGAGTTCGGTGAGAAACGATATGCTCTAAGTGTTCCGCGTGCTTTCCTAGCCGATGCAGTATATTAGCTACAACGCTTCCCTTTGGCCGGAATTTATTCAGACGATCCGCGACTTCCCTAATAGACGGTCGGCGTGCTGGGTCCGCAACGATGCATTTCGCTATCATGTCGATTGAAGCCGTTTGGAAATCAGCGTTTGCATGTTTGACTGAACCTAAAAACCGATCGGAAGATTTTAAACCGAGTTTTGTAGTAAACCCATCCAAACGTACTGGTGTTAATGGTGCTGCTGGGAAATACCGGCATGCCCTTTAGGATCTCGTACATAACGATACCAAGAGCGAATATATCCTTCGACTGCGAACCGTCAGTCTGTCTATCCGGCGGAAGCATAACATCCTGATCAGCTAGAGTAAAGCTAGAAGACTTGCTAAGAATCTGGTAGATCTTTCGAGATCCGGCATCACATAGTTTGGCAGTGAAACGACTATCGAGAGCTACTGACAAACTGGATAAACTTCCGTGGTACCGAACCGAAGTTTGGAGGTGAAGGTAGTGAAGACCCTGAAAAACTGTTCAGTGCCGCTTTGACCGTTTCGTTGTATGTTGATTTTAATACCTGGATTACGTTGCAGACGAAATGCAGTTGAATCACTGCGTCGCACATGATGATTTCTTTTGATAAGAAGGAGCGCAGCGTTCCTTGTCCGCCTTCCCAGACTATAGATGTCGTTTTGGGTGTGGATAAAAATATACCACGAAAATGGGAGATATTTTCGTGGTGAATGTGACGAATCTAGAACGCCAAGTGGTAATGTACGATGTTCATTCAATCACATGAAACATGCCTGTACCTGAGAACACACGGTACGAATTGGACGCATCGCCAAGATATCTTCTTCGCTAATGCCAATAACCTCAGTTCGCAGCCACAGCGAATCGTGGCCAAGCGGCATAATCTGGACGCCGAGACTGGGAGACACAGCCATGACCTTTGGCACAAGAAGCCACCAGTTGCTGCGATCCGCCGTTAGTGAGTGTTTCCTGCAGAAGATTCTGGATAACACATATAACTGTTAGTCTAGTCCAAAACTTACATGTAGTAGAAAACTCCTAGCAAACTAGCAATCAGGATAACAACAATTCCGCCGATCGATCCAGCTATGATAGCGATTGTATCTACGATAAATTGTGTATACTTAAACCGTTGCTGTGGACGTTGAAATATTAACCATACTTATCAGCAAGCAATAGCTTACTATCAGTTTCTGCGCATCGGTCTCCTCGAAAACCACAAATGGGCTCATTAAGAGGAGGAGCATAAGCGCCGTTCCAATCGTCCGCCAGGGCCGAAGTTTTGGTCAGTGTTTTCAGTGTGAAATTAAAATACCAGGCTGCCTGCACCAAAGAATATTTTTGCTGTACCCGTATTGCGCGCTGAAATTACATTGCATTACTTGAAACGTTTGTGTCGTCGTGTTGAGCCTGGAGAAGACTGAATCAACCAATCGCATTCCAAGTCCACCCATCACTACCGGTCGCATATTTGTTTGGAAGCGCCGCTTGAGAAAAGCTTTACGGAATTCCTGTGTGCTCAGCGGAAAGCCAATGTCCTCAAACTCGCTCAAAACCTGCAGTACAAGGGACCTGGATACCGGTGCACAAAAGTTTCGATCAGTGAACCAATGCAAAAATATACCTGGCCAATAGTAATCATCATTTCTGGTATAGACAGTGTGATCTCGTTAGTCTGTACGAAAAGAACGGATTATGTATATTACGCTCTGCTGCCTGACCACCTGTAATAACGCTACCTTCTCATCGTCGCTGTAGTTGTAATGAAACAGTGTCTCCGCAGTACGTGCTACAGCGTTCCCCAAAGATAATCGGGCGGCATAGTCTGGCAGGGGAAAATTTAAGGTCACCACCTGTTTATAGAGTTCCACTGAATCCTGAAAACAGCAGGCCTATTCCAGTTTGACAGGGTACACACTTTAGCGGAGCACCAAGTCATCGTGTGTAGCCGGCAGAAAGGTGGACGCGTGGATGGTGGATGTTCAATGAAATCGCATCCACCAATCTGCCGACCTTCGGCAGATTGGTGGATGAGCCGTCCACCTTTCTGCCGGATCACATCCACCTTTCTGCCGAAGGTCGGCAGATTGGTGGATGCGATTTCATTGAACATCCACCATCCACCCGTCCACCTTTCTGCCGGCTACAATCGTGCACATGCAACCTTCATGCGCATGCTTTCTAGGTTTCAATTTTATATATGAATGGGATGTGTTTGCAAACCTTGTCGTTTGCATTTATTTGTATCGGTAAGGAATCTGGTCCTTGAACTGGAATTGGATATATGAAAACCTATAAGATGAGAAATGAAATTGGAACGGTATAATTGTAAGGTTGAACAAAAATTTTGCGGTTCGTCAGTTGTATATGTCTTACGTATTCGTTGCTGGTCATGTTGAGCGAGCGAGCCAAAATCTAGCGCAATTATCTGTATATCATGCATCAGAATGCTATCAATCTCCGTATTGCTCCATTCGCATGCCATCTTCGCATCTGTCTGTCTGATTGAAAATTGTACGTTGTTCTGTGAACAGCAAGTGGCGTATCTCCAGGAAGCACGCACCTGACTCTGAATTGGCTCGGCGCAGACGTCGCCGTGGGCGGAATCGTATTCCTGGAGACGTTTACTCCATTTGATATCGATCGACGGATCCAGGAATGCCGCTACGTGGAAGGCGGAGGCATCACAGGACGGTTGTCTGTAGTACTAGAAATCTGACGTCGCGCCACCCTGGCCGTGGATGCAAGGATAAATCCGGTGTTGGCAAACATACATCCGTGCTGAGAATAGGCTCAGACTGTTGGCGTGTAAATATCTGGGTCGTTACAACAATAATTTTGCATTTTCGCTTACCTTGCAAGCAACGGCACATCAGTTTCTGTAAATAAGACAAAAACGTTATCCGACATATTGAATGCTGTTGCAGGATAGGCATATAACTCTACACCAATAGGAACTACTACGAATGCATAATGTATCCAAAGACCAAAGATAAATGGCAATGAAACGGTTTGGCGGACTGAAAGTATCTGTGCAAAACATATTAGTGCATACTGTACGCACCTCGGGCAAGATCTCCCAAGGGAACCATTTCCAAACTGCATCCTGTAAAACAGAAACTCGTTATAGAAAATATGTACGGATGCCAAAGCAGTCGAAAGCGTTTTCGTCGTATAAACAAAAAATGTGAATTATCAAGTGGAAGAATTTTTGTTTCCAATATCATAGAAGCTTAACGAAAACCAGACGTGTATGTCTATCTTGCGATATGTTAAGTTGTTAACCATACAATTTGTTGCACATGCAGATGCCAGCATTTCATGACAATGATTTTTATTAGCGATTTGTGCTGGGAAATGTAAGCATTTCATTGTACATAGTACGATTACCATAACTGATAACACAATATAAAAAAATTACCAGCAACAACCAAATCTTTTGCCAAAGAGTTTTCCCCGGCAAACTGCCGAGAAATGGCTGCGACCGAGAACACTTAAGAAAACATAAGATAATACAAGAACAAGCTTTAACAGAACCGTTGCACATTATTACAGTCTAGCTAGAAAGCCATACCTGGAGCCAAAATGATATTAAATGACGTTGATTTGGCAAGAATTTGGAAGACCTCCCCGAACAGTTCTGGCATGGCAGCCACTCCATCCGCGCACGTTGAACTGCCTTTTTTGTACAATATTTGCCGTGTTACATTAGCAAACACCTTGGGATACAGCAGAGCAACTTCTCGAAAGGCCGTTTCGAAGTAGGGCATGGCTGCATAATATCCGTACAACGGGTTTTCGCCAATGGTTATTATTATGAAGTTAACTTTGAAGGCATTACATTTCAGATAAGCAGCTGCCAATAATAAAATCACTAAGAGAAAATTCATTTCTGGATGTCAGCTGTGTTACCGCTGAAAACAGATTATGACGCGGGGGACATAATGACGAGACGACCTTTAGAACTGCAGAAATACTAAAGGCTCACGAATGCTTCTCGCATCAAAAATAATTATGGCTCGTAGGAACCGGAAAAGCGCCAACTTTGTTCGCGGAAGGGCGGATATTTTTCAGTAAGGTCAGCAATTTATAAGCAATTATCCCGCATTTTACTCCCAGTTACAACTGCGCTACGGTTATACGCGCAGGTTTGTTAACTTCACAAACTCGGTAAATAGAGATTCTGAACGTGGTATCAAACAAAACTGGTCGCCTCCAATGGAACGATCAGCGCCGTTTAGGTCTTGCATGTTTACTTATGGTGTTAACACCAGAGATCGGCTAGGAACTGATGCAACAGCCATTGTTAATTATGCTGCGTGAGTGCTTGTACAGACGATATTGTACATACACTGTACAATACGTATTTTACACACACATACACCACACTTATCTTCACTTTCATGAGCCATCAGACTTTTAAACCAGCTGTGTGATCAGCCGATCCATGATGTTGTATGATACTCCAATTATTTCTTAAGTGCCCAGTGCTCACATTACAGATAATTGCGCAAGCCAGCCTATAAAGTACCGCACAATACAAAGGTATTTTGGTGCCGTTCAATATTGCAGCATTAGTAACTACAGAGAGATTACGTTAAGTTCCAGAATCCAGATGCTGCCAGTAACTAGAATGCTTATAATTTTAAGTGATCACATGCCGGCGCTCCTTGCTCGACTATAAGTGTTGATGAATACCAGGGGTTTATGCATAAAACGTGAAACACGGCATAAGCCTGATTATGAGTTTCATCTAGAACGAAGGGCAATCACTTTGCGTAACCTTTCACGCTGACGTGCTAGACCGGGGGAACGTATGTCATGTCAGCTGTACCACCTGCCTGTTATCTGCTATACTGTTCCCAACCGCTCAAGTTGAACCACAGACTCCTTTTAGGGTTGAGGGAAAAAATCGCACGCTCTGCTCGATGCAATGTGTGCGACGCCTGGCAAGGCTACTGGCCGGGCTTGGCAGTGGCGTAACTGAAGTCACTGGGTTCGGTGTAACAACAAAATAACTTTAAATGGTGTACAATAAAAGCCCGCTCAAAAGAACTGAGATAATGTATACACATTTTAGGTAACAGCCACCTCGTGCGGTTAAGCAACCGTACCAAAGCTATTTGTTGCAGTGCAGTGAAGTGTTGCAGTGTTTTCACAACACTGTAAGCACGAATTTGATTTTAAGAAAAAAACATTTTAAAGGAAACGTGTGAAGCGTTTGTAATGATAAATGCTTGTGCGTCCTTGTGAAAACGAAAAGAAAAAACTACTTCCGGTGCCAGTATGATTGTTATGGATTTTCATGCCAGGTACAATACAAAATCAATACGATAGTTATTGTTATTTACGATTATTAATCAAAGCACTGGCATGCGGGACTTATAACATTTCTACAGTACGTACTTGAATCGTCCGCCAAAATTCAATGTAAACGGTTCAATGAGATTCTGTCATTGTATGTTTCTTTTCCGACCGGAGAGGCATAAGAAAACCTCAACGACTTACCATGCTTCTTGGAAAGAGGATTTATTCAAAGCGAACAGCAAAAATTTCTATTCAAAGTGAATATGAACGTTTACATAATACTTGTCAAAAATGTACGAATGCATCTAGCTGACACTTGTTACCCCATATAATTAAAATAACAGCATACAATAATAAAAGACGAACAAAACATGTAACATATTACAAAAGGCAAATTAAGGCCGCGACAGGGGTGCATAATGTCAAAGAGCCGGAAAGAATTAATATGAGGAAAAAAGAGATAAAATGAAGTTAATCGTCTACACAGGGAACAATGACATCCGTCAAATTACTTAACCGATCGACCACAAACAACAGTCGCTTATCTGCTACACTAAACAGGGACTCCGCGGCATAACAAGCTCATATATCGATGCTGTACTGCGCCGGACCGCTACATGCAGCTGCACTATATCTTGCAAACAGTGCCAGCAAAAGGTCAGCAACGTCATCTGGCGGTTACTCGTTCCACTCATCGGACTGCGGATCGCGGTACACTTTGGTCAGAAAGGCGGTCGACAGCTTATTCAGTTTGCGCACATCCACATCGGCCATGGTCTCCAGCGTCCAGTCCCAGTCGCGGTAGTGCGTGGTGGTCGGGCGTGGATCATCCGCCTGGTATCCCTGCTCCTTGTCGAGACCCTGTAGGAATACAGGAATTCAGTACAGTACATCAGTGTGCATCAATGTGTGTGCGAGGTGTCGCCCGTTTAAACAATCGGTATTAGAACATCAACGTACATCTGGCCACGTATATAATAATACAGAACCTATCTGTACCTGCCAGAGGATGTTGACGCGGCGGTTACTCAACTGGCATTCACCCGTGCCGCTCGGACGATGGGCGGCAGCGATCATGGCCTGCAGGGCCGGCAAATCCAGCGGCGTCTCCAGTACGAGATTCTCCTCGAAGAGCCCCCACAGCTGCAGCTCCATGGTCTGTCGCGAGGCTCGGGACTGCACGCTGAACTCATGATGAGCAATGTCAGCCTGCAGAAATCCGTCCTCCATGCGGCAATCCTTCCACACTAGCCGCTCGCACGGATACTCGACGGCCACGCCAGCCTCCAGCTCGATAACGTCCCGGAAACTTAGTCGGTCGCAGCCGAAATCGCACTTGTAGAAAACCAGCAGCGGCAGACGGCCGTTGTTCAGTTTGAGCTTAATAGCCGGAAAGAGCGCCTCCACGCTGCCCAGCTGCCGGTGCGTGATGACCAGCAGCTTCGTGCGACGACTGAGAGCCTTGAGGATGCCGGCCATCGCCCAGTACATGCTGGCCTCACCGAACACCCCCTGGTCCCCGTAATCATCGATTTCCGCCGACACCCGCACATCCGGGAAGGGGGCCGCCAGGGTGAGCAGGTCGTTCCACCGCGCGCAGAGCAGCCGCGCGCGGACGCGCTCGATGGAGTCCAGCGAGCGGAACAGCTCCAGCAGCACGAGATCCGGCAAATGCAGACACCCGGCGCTACTGTCCAGCACCTTGCGCCGTTTGCGGCCAGCGGGCCCGCTCCCGCTGCTGACCATCATTGCCATCACCGGCTGCGCTTGTCCCGCCAGGGAACGAGATGTGATGCAACTGTCTTCCGCTGTCGCCAGCTGGCATACCTTTTCCTGCAAGACAACTTCACTTATTTCACTGCATGCGCCCGGGCATCATTACATTACACTTGTACGTTGCTCGATTTAATTCCTATCGCAATCCTGCAGCCCTACATCTGTACAGTACCCGACACCGTAATATTAATAATAAAATAATTAATAATTAACGCGAAACACACGTCAGAACAGGTGCTTACTAGTTCCTGCTACATGTAGTGTCTGTCTGGCAGAAGCCGTGAGAATTATAAGTAAACTGAAATAATCTAGACAGTTCAGTGAATGCAGATTGTACGTACGCGCTGACTGTATCTGTATTTACCAGTCTATCAGCGTCCAGTTGGCCTCTGTAATGGGCCTTCTGCAGATAAAGCAGAGTCTGGTTGAGCCGAGCGACGAACAATACACTGTGCCGCTGGCCAAATTCCCTGTTGAAGACCCTGCCGAGCTGCGGCATACCGGCTGACCAGTAGGCGGCCGGCAGCGGGCAGCAGCGCACCACGAAATCATTCTTCTTCACGCGCCGATTGGTGAGATGGGCGTCCGCGGGCGGCACGCGCACTTGCCGCTCCGGGACCAGTTCCTGGACGGGGCCGTGCGGCAGCTGCACCTCCACGAAGCGAGCATCATCGCTGGAGTACGGGCAAACGTTGGGAACGATGTGGCCCCCGTACCACACCCATGGCTCGTCAGCTTTTAGCTGCCGTCGCAGCAGCACCTGCACATCGGCTGTCCCGCTCTGCACTGGCGCGCGCTCGTGCTCGCTGTAGCGAAAAATGCGCTCATACTCCACAAACTGCGAGCGCTGGCTGGCGCAATGGAAATCCACGATCAGGCCGTCCTCCACCACGCCGATGACGTTGCCGTGCTGCAGCGGACCGTCGTCCACACAGACATCCACGGCGTTCCACGCTGCGACAGCGTCTCTGTAAATCAGCATGGCGCAAATACAGTTAGGGCTGCAGTCGAACGCGGCAGCACAGAGAGTCTCGGTAGTCGTGGCTGGAGACGCACCAGCAAAAACGCAGACCAACGCTGATCGATCAAGCTAACGCAAATACTATCACAGATTGACAGAAACAGAAATACTGCGATTGTGTCTCCTCAGAGTAACAGACAGAACTACAAGGGAAAAGCGAAAACAGAAAGTAGTTCAAGCGCCAACCAACAAAAAGTCAAATCTACAGTTTCCAAGTACTGTACGCCAGCGGATCATGTTCTGGTCAGCGGCTTTGTAGTGTAAGTACAGTACAGCACTCACAGAAACACACAGAAGCATGTTTGAACGGCAGTGGTAACCGCCAGCTCGTGCGGGCTGACAACATTGCCATTACTCAGGAGCGCATCGTCCACGTTATTTGCTGCTTTCGTTTGTAACAATTCTTCGATGCGTAATTTCTGCATTCGTGCAGGAAATACAGCATCCACAGGACAATATTTAGGTGGAATTCAGTCGAACCTTTGGTTCTGTTGGACAGTAACTGGCTCATGGCTGCAGCTGAATCGCTGGCGGTGGACGACTGTGTCTGCATTAATGCCCAGATCGATTACTTAATGATGAGATGGGGATCATCAAAATGTCGTCCTTCGCAACAATCGCAAGTGCATGGGCACTGGGCAGTGTCGTAGATCTAACAAGTAAATTATTACATTATCTAAAAATATCTAAATCCGTGCCTTTGCGTTTAAACATTAACCTGACTCGGTAGCGCCCTGTCTGCTACTTCTATTCCTACGAATGAGAATAAATTCATGCTGATAAAAATATTGCAGCACTGCGCTAATATCTATATTAATAATTGTATTCGTCCAGTTGACTTCTGTAAAATATAAAATGCATGCTGGGATCCGGTATCCCAGAGTTTTAAAAGCCGGAGATCGTATTCGTCCTACCACAGATGTGATACGCGTTTTGCTGATTGTAATTACCCGGGTAATTGGTAAGGCAACGCCACGCCGGTCGGTATGAACCTTTGGCGGTACTTTTGAATAGTTTTGATTCACAGTCTGTGTACAGCTACATGCGCGTAAGCACGTATACATTTCTTCATTGTGCGTGCATTGGAAGGTATCTTAAAATTATGTCGTAAATCAGAGCATGAACAAAGAAAATGGCTTGGAAAAAAGGCAGCGATAAAAGTGATAACTGCAGCTACAGTAAATCGAAATTTAAGGCAGACGCCTTATTGCATAACACCTGCATATTCTGCTGAGATTGTGCAGAATTATCGGTGAGTACCGTATTATCTGTCGACTGCAAACAACGAAAATTTTAGCGAGTAACATAATTATAGCTTACCCATGATCGTTACTGACATAAATTGTCAATAACGTTTTCCCCATCCGTGTACTTCTTTTATGATGCAAAAATGCGACAAACTGTAACATTAACCTTAACCTTATGGCTAATTTGGAATGCCTGCGTCGGTAATACAAACACAAAATTGTAAAATTATAATATGCGTACTTTTAATGCAGTATTATCTGGGCCTTTTTAGATTGTCAGACGACGACGTCGCGACCGCCGTACACTATACCGCAAGGATTAGGATGTGACCGTTGGAGCCATCTAATAGGTGATTCGTGCTTCTACTTTGGACAAGATCCCGGCTCTACCTCGGGTGAGCGTATTCGCTATAATTTCACCGAAGCGCGAAAATTTTGCCAGACAAAATTCTGGTATGGAGATTTGGCTTCCATTACGTCTTACGAAGAACAAAGCTCCATAAACGACATACTTCTTGGGTATGGCGCAGACTTTTGGATTGGTTTACGGTAAGTACTAGTATAACTTCCATGCGTTATTTACGGGTACTCAAAATCTCCGGTAAACTGACAGAGAAGTATGGAGTGCATATAATAACTGGATAGATGGAACGCCGGTGACCTACTCAAACTGGGGAGCTCCTGGGGTGCCTGCGCCCAGTCCTGCGAACCCCCGATGCATTGGAATCCGAGGAATGTTGGCCAATAATCACACTCGCGGCATGTGGTATCCCGATTACTGCAGTATTGAACGACCCGCTCTCTGCAAAGGTCCGGCTTTCCTAACCACAACCAGTGCGCCGCCGCCAACCTTTACAACCACACGAACTACCTCCACAACCTCACGGCAAAGCAGCCCTTGGACGTTTGCTTCGACCACCCGGACTCCAGTGTCAACACGTCCGACCACGCCCAACTGGCCGTACACCGTGCCACCACCCACTACCAGACGGCCAGCAGACATTACAACAACTCGCCCAACAGTACCGCCCACCGAAATTTCCTTTGAGGTTCCGTCGTACCTGCTGAAAACGTTAAACGTTACTTGCCGGTTGGGACGAGTGACCCTGCCCGAAGAGGATCTGGATCTGGTGGACTCGCTGACGACGGTGTTTGACGGTGATAATACACTCAACTGTCGTGTGATCCTCCACGATCTGCATTCATGGATCGTGGCTAAGACTGGCGAAACCAGACAGAAACGGGCGTCGTTTTATGAACCGATTAAAGTCGAATGCACCCGGGGAAATTTAACCGTATCCAACGTCGACCCGGGGACATCAGAATCCACGGGGTTGGTCTTCCGCACCGGCGGATCCAACAGATGTATGGAGACGTACAGAGAGTTTTTGAGCTATGTTACCGGCTTTCGCCACTTTTGAGTTGTTTAGCAATTTGTTTTTACCCGCTGACAACCGAAGCAACAATAATTGCAAATACCGTTGCACTGAAGTAGTTCCTCGAGACATATACGAGTTTTATTAGCGGCCATAAAATTGGCAGCTTTCATCCGTTGTACTGTCGCAGAGCGAGTCACCGACACTTTGTCGACGAACACTGCGTCTAACGTCAAAAGCTCGCTCGTCACGACATTAAGTAAAACTATAAAAATAAAAAAACCTGAGAATGCATAAGAAAACTAAAACTGTTCAGCCAAGTATTAGCTCAAATTGAGGACGTGACGGGCCGGCATCGTGTCATTCTACTTAAAGCCGGTCGACAAAATGGTGGGTCACCGTCGCAACGCACAAACTCACACGATATGTTGCCCAATTCCCATCGCTCTGAATAAGGAAGAGCAAACGCATGTGTTCGCGCATCAGTATACAGCATCACTTTGCTGGAGAAAAGACCACGAATCAGACATTACTGAACCACCTGTAGGTAATGGCCTGCAGGCTTTTTAGCACAGAGCGAGCTGAAAAGGCCTGCAAATAATCAGGTTTGGCCAATAACGTACGGTGGGTAGTCATCAAAAAGTATGCGCTATCAATGAACCCAAATACTACAACCCGCAAACTGCATTACAGTAAGTAATACGTTGCGCTTTGTCTATGTTGCGATAACGCGTTAATACTGCACAATACTGCATGATATATTGATGATAATATATGGAATTTTCCCCTTTTGTCTACCGAATAATTAAAACAGAGCTGAGCGAGTTGCAACTGCCGACTGCAGATCAGGTTATCATGTCCACGTAGTTCCATCTGCAGAAGTAAATACATGTGCTACTTTGCAGGTTCAATGTAGGTATATCAATATTCAGATTCCCGCTACGTTAGTCCGTGAACACAGTAGAATTCTTTATGGTATTTTGGTTATTTTGAAACGTTAGTTCGTTCTCTGGAAAAGATGAAAACTCTGATTAAGGTTGTAGCTTTAGGGCTTATTTGGATGCGCGGCGCAGGTATCTACTAAATATTATTGAACAGCGCCGGTACAGCTTTGGTACAATGGATATTACTCATTGTAGAATGTGACATCAGATCGGCATCGAAAATAGACATTCCACATCCAGATGGATGTGATCCTTGGGGAGTACGGTTTAATAGTTCATGCTTCTACTTTGGGGACAACCCGAGCGACGGATCCGAATGGGTTCCCCGTCCTTATCACAATTTCGATAATGCACGACAATTTTGCCAGACAAAATTCACCAACGCCGATCTAGCCACCATCGGCAGCATGCAGGAGCAGCAACTGATGTCGAACGTAATTTCGCGCATTGGTGCAGAATTCTGGATTGGTTTGAGGTATGTATAGCGCAAAACGGCAAACGGTGCTGGTACCGTTTTGCTAATATCCGGTACCATCTGAGCGTGGAAAGGATTAGCCGCGAATAATTATTATTATTAACACTTATTCAACTGTAGCTTTACATATGCATGGATACATACATATTTCCGTGCACTTGTACAGCATTCCACCTTCCACAGGGAAAACAGTGATCCATGGACTGCCTTCAACTACTGGGTAGACGGCAGCCGAGTAAAGGTTAGTAATTGGGGATATGGACAGCCAGCCATTTCTCCATCTGTTGTAAACAGCTGTGTGGGTTTGCGAGGATCATATGGTAAAGAGCATTTACCCGGCGACTGGTTCGTGGATAATTGTAGCGTACGGAGATATGCCCTGTGCAGAGCTCCAGTTTCTGACCGGGTCACCACCACAAGCCGCCCACAACCTACGTACACTACTCCTCAACCTCCTACTACGGATCCAGCGTATATAGATACAACCAGCACATGGCCTTCCGCAGGCCCGGTGTCGCCGGTTGATGTTCCATCCTATCTGCTTGAACCGTTGAACATTTCTCGCAGTCTTGGACGAATGCAGTTTCCCGAAGGTGATCTGGATCTGATGGACTCGCTGACGACGGTGTTTGACGGTGACAACACCCTTGACTGCCGTGTGATACTGCACGATCAGCATTCGTGGATCTTGGCTAAAGCCGGCGAAGCCAGACAGAAGCGTTCATCGTATTACGAACCGATTACAGTGCAGTGTACATGTACGCGGGGGAATTTAACTGTTTCCAGCCTGGATCCCGGGAACTCGGAATCCATTGGTTTGGTTTTCCGCAGCGGTGGATCCAAGAAATGCATGGAGACATATAGAGAGTTTTTGACCTATTTGAATGGATTTTACAAAGTATAAGTTATGTTGTTGATTTGACGGTGTTTGGCAGTGCGCGTGAGCCAACATGCAGAAGATCTCTATCAACGAAAATGGTTATTCTGAAGCCAGTTTGCGATAACTGTTGACTCTGCATTGTTTAATTTTGCTTGCAACGTACAGATTTTTTATTGGACTGGCTAGCGGCTATCGTTCGTAATGTAGTGGAACTTTCTACCAGCTGAGCTCTAACCGGTGCTGCGAATTCCAGTCGTTACTTCCAGTCGTTTCCAGTCGTGACGGGCCGACATCGTGTCGTTCGACTTAGTGCTGGTCGACAAATGGAGGGTCACCGTCGCACAGCACAACTTCACACGATATGTTGCCCGATTCTCATCGCTCTGGAATTAGGAAGTGCAAACGCATGCGTTCGTGCACCAGTATACAGAGTCACTTTATATACTGGATAAATGACCACGAATCAGACATTATTGAGCCACCTGTACGTAATTATGCGTCGCGGAAATGGGAATCAATATGCAACGACTTACAAAGTAGCAGATGTATTAAACTTTCTGTTAATTATTTCCGTACGCCACCGTATTTCTGCAATATTCTTATGTATCCCGCATGTATTTCACTATAAAGAAGCCTAAGGGCCAAGGGAATTGAAGGGAAGCCTAACAGGATACATCGAAGGTGCAAAAATTAAGAATACAGCTCGTACTGTGCGAAGATTATACCCATATAAAGAAAAAATCAATGGTGCATTCAATTTAATCGCAGCGGCATAATTCTTCCCGCCACATTAAATTTCCTGTTAATTTCTTCAGAAGTGCAATTCAAGTACACTGCCAGTACACTGGAATTAAGCAGTTGTGCAAGAATGCATGGGTGTTTATAGCGCTGCAAAGTGCATACTGAAGTACGTCTAATATTGTATTCCTTCTTGTATTTCAATTGTCCTTAAGAAAATCATTGTTTCTAGTTCGTTAGCGATATTGACTGGATGATTATGATGAATACTTGATGTGCATTCGATTCTGTGGTTGTTGATTGCGGGCTGAGGGGCTACTTCCGGTTGCTGCCTTGCCGCGGCTCGTACTGAACCAGTGTAACGGTATATGCGGTTGGCGTTGTTCGTAGATGGTTGCCTGATGACGAGCAGCTGGCGTGATATTACTGCTGTTGCCCTTAAACAACGCGACCAGCAACCAGTGCACGCACTACGTACCGGCTGGACCGCTATTCGGAGCCCAACCTGGCGTGCTGCTCGTGGTTCGCCGGGAACGCCTGCTGCAAGCGCACGGAGGTGACCAGCGTCTTCGCCGACATGTTCCAATTATTCGGCGCCACGTAGGACTGTCTGAACCGCATCAGCTACCTTATGTGCTACTTCTGCAGTCCCGACCAGTACATCTGGACCCTGGTTACGCGAGTGTGTATGCGACTCCTCCGTACTGCTCAGTTAACTGAACCGCAAGTAACCACCGGTGTTGTGTTGTACGTTTTAGGAACAAGAAGGCCAGCATCTGCCGGTCGTTCTGCGAGTCCATCTACGAGTCGAGCGCCGACGACAGCTTCAAGTCCGAGGGCGAGACGCAGACGCTCTTGCTGAAGGATCCCTTCGCCCAGAAGGGCGAGCGTGAACACCGACGACGGCGGCTTCGGTCGCAACAACTTATTCGACGTCGTCGAGGGCGATAAGGACGGCTACCGCTTCGACTCCACGTCCTTCAGCCAAGCCCACGCCCAGTGAGCACCTTCGCCACCCTCCTACCGACCGCGCTCGGCGTCCTTCTTCTCTTCCGCTCATGACTATCATTCGCGCTTCATTCGACCAAGGCAACAACAATTAGTAATTGCTAATCTGCATCCAGTTAAATTAACAAAATGTGTGATAAAAACAGACTGTCATGTACCGGGTAAAGTTAACGTGAATTAAACAGCAGCAAATTACAGTGGACTTCATAAATGTGGTTACACATATGACATAGCCACCCGTATGCATAGCGCTATCGGCTTTAAGTGTAACCACATTTATGAAGTCCATTGTAACAGGTCGGGCTAAAGGCTAAAAAACACAACAAACATCCAGACAAGAGGTAGAGCAATCAATTACAAAAACTTAAGGCAGACAAATCATGGCACGCAGACCGCGCAATGAATAGTGTCGTGTTTCTGTCCGCGGAATTCCTCGTGCGAGATGTATCCATCCTGCCACGAAACGGTCGTACAGAACCATCGATTGTTTCCAAACCTCCCTGGATTCCATCAAGTGGAAAGATCTTAAGTGGACTAAACGTTTCTGCATACTGAACTACGGAACTACGTGAACTGAACTGATGGAACTACGTGGACATGATAAACTGATCTGCAGTCGGCAGTTGCAACTCGCTCAGCTCTGTTTTAATTATTCGGTAGACAAAAGGGGAAAATTCCATATTATCATCAATATATCATGCAGTATTGTGCAGTATTAACGCGTTATCGCAACATAGACAAAGAACTATTACTACAATGCAGTTTGCGGGTTGTAGTATTTGGGTTCATTGATAGCGCATACTTTTTGATGACCGTACGTTATTGGCCAAACCTGATTTATTTGGAGGCCTTTTCAGCTCGCCTCTGTGCTAAAAAGCCTGCAGGCCATTACCTACAGGTGGTTCAGTAATGTCTGATTCGTGGTCTTTTCTCCAGCAAAGTGATGCTGTATACTGATGCGCGAACACATGCGTTTGCTCTTCCTTATTCAGAGCGATGGGAATTGGGCAACATATCGTGTGAGTTTGTGCGTTGCGACGGTGACCCACCATTTTGTCGACCGGCTTTAAGTAGAATGACACGATGCCGGCCCGTCACGTCCTCAATTTGAGCTAATACTTGGCTGAACAGTTTTAGTTTTCTTATGCATTCTCAGGTTTTCTTATTTTATAGTTTTACTTAATGTCGTGACGAGCGAGCTTTTTTCTTTTTGAGATATCACTATAAAAAAGGCTACTTAATTAGCTTTTTAATGAATACTAGCACTTGTAGAACGATTCAGAGGAAAGTGCGCAGCGAATTCCCAAAGTTGTCATAAATATACGCATGCTATAAACAATTACCTCCCGTTAAGAGCTTTTACTACGAAGGATTGATCGCTGTGCATCCTTAATTGCGCGAAGTGTCTCCGGGCAACGGTTTTTCTTGGAAATGTAATTCGTTAATGGAAGTCCTAATTAATGGAATTTTAATTTGTTAAGGGATTATTTAACCGTAAATTGAACTAGTATAGGTTGTTTTTTTTTACCTTTCCTGAAATATTTATGGCCCCCCGGGGGGTCGGGGGCGTCTTCACTATAGTTAAGCGTAGTTTGAAATTTCGCTTTAAATCAATGGTAAACTAATTCTTGTCAATAAATTTCATATGTGCACTGGAGGCTGCTATCGCTTTTCCAGCAAATGAAAGTGTTGCCATGAAACAATAATAAAGGTCAGTCGGATATCACGAAATTATTGACAGATTGATGTAGCATAAGTTCAGTTTATTGATGTCAACAATAATCAAAGCTACATTCAGCAAAAGATGAAAAATGTTGAAAGTCGGCGACACTTTTGACGATTACGAAAGCGCTATAAATTCTTTAAAAGAGTACGAAAAAGCGACTTTCCAGTTATTCGTAAAAAGTCGAAGTTTTGAAAGGCTTTCAATAAATCATCCGTGTTACAATGACTTAAAATTTAGCTCGATAAAGTTTGTATGTAAACATCATGGGAAATGGCGCAGTCATCGGAAAGACTATGCAGTTGAATGCAGGAAGGTTCAAACAACGGTAAAACTTGACTGTCCGGCATTTGTCAAGTTCAAGCTAATCAAGAATGTCGTCCACGCAGTAACCGTTGCTGGGGCATCGGATCACAATCATGCAGTCGAAGAATCTGTGTGGAATTTTTATCCGGAAAACAGAAAACTGGCGGACGAAGAGAAAAAAGTGATAGATGGTCTTCTCAACTGTGGTGTCCAACGGGCGACTGTTTGCAAAAAAATAAATGAACAGTGTTGGAAGTCTGGTGTAAATGGCCAGTTGAGAACTAAAGATATTCATAATTATGCTGCAGTAACGCAAAGGAAAGTCAAAGGTAACAAACCGGAAGGGCAAATACTGGAAGAATATCTCCAAAAAGTTGTGGAAGAGAATCCCCATACCGACATCTTCACAGTTACTCATCAAACAAATTCCACTGACCGGACTTTGGACATTCTGTACATTCAAACTGGTGAAATGAAGATTTTCTGCAAGCACGGTCAAGCTCTTTTCATGGATAGCACCTACCGGCTCAATTGTGAGCATTTTTGTTTGTATTGGTAAGTCCCCTTCCACTTTGTAGTTGCACATACCAAAATACCATTGCCTTAATTTGGAAATGTAGTACAGAGTGTACAGAGTTCGGGCACAATTTTGTAACTATTTCTGTAAACATAAAAAGTGGAAGTACTGTATGTGACCGTGTATGTGACAGACCCAACATACCAGGTTCAGACTTTTCTCAAAAACTAATAATGGCAATGCAACTGGGTATTTACTCTTCTGGGTATTTACCTAAATGATAGAAACACGTAAAGTGTGCAGTAGTGTGAATTACAGGAACGGCGGCAATAGTAGAAGATTTCATTTTTATTTCAAACCATTGTATATAACTTTCGATTTTCTATTTCTAAGTTTGGCTACCCTTGTATGTTTCAGTATACTGGTGGAAGACGAAAACGGTTTCGGGCAACCTGTAGCGATGGCATTTCTACGCGATGAAAAGAAAAACACGTTGGAAAGGCTGTTCGAAATATTCAAGGAAAGAAATAATGACAGTGTCGAGGGTATTCAATGTATCTTTGTGGATAAAGACTTTGCACAAATTGCCGCGCTGGAAAAATCGTTTCCTGCATCGCCTGTATTATTGTGTGCTTTTCACACCATGAAAGCTTGGAAGACAAAAATAGCAACGCAAAAACTGTCACAGACCGAGAAACAGGAGCTACTCGCTCAATTTAAGCGTGTGCTGCATGCCGACAGCATGAACCGGTTGGAGGAAGAAGAGCGCAAATTGGAGATACTCCTGCCAGACGCAATGGCAGAATATTACTCAAAACACTGGAAGTCTAGGATAAACATGTGGGCATTTGCTTATCAAAAAAGTATTTTGGCTTTTGGTAACCGTACAACAAATCGTATCGAACGCTTTTTCCTCATGGTTAAGTCAGCGTTTCGGAATACCGGAAGATCGGTGTGGACGCGCTACCATTTAAAAGATTGTGTGGAGATTATTCTACGAGTAGTCTCGCATAAACTTGAAATTGCCAAGTACGAAGGATATGTGAACAAGGGAAAGGCCCTTGTGTTGCATGGTTTTCCTTCGATTCAGTATGCCGAAAGCGTTGGGCGTTCGCTTACAAAAATTGCAGCCCTTATCGTGCAAAAGCAATTCATGCTAATGGGAGCCGAGACGTACGAAGTCTTGCCGAGTACTGCCGATGAGTGGAGTGTTACAAACACTACCAGGATAGAGCATCGTACATACGATCTAATACGAATGGACGAAAGGTATACGTGCTCGTGTTATACAAACTGCTCATTTGGTTTGCCTTGCCGCCATATTCTTTATTTACGAAAGAGCAATGGTGAGGACATATTTTCATTGAATGACGTTATAACTAAATGGCATCGCGGAAGTAATGCTTCTGAACTGGAACGTATCCCCGAAAAATTTCTTGACGCGGCGCTGGAAGGTGTGCCAGATGAGGTTCTGGAATGCGAGCGCACGGAAATTTCCAATCAAAACTTTCCGACAATTGGCAAGCGGTTCAGTGCAGCAAAGGATATATGCAACAGAATTGCTTCGATGGCTGCTAATTTTGGTGGTAACCAGTTTAAGGAAGTACTTACCGTTTTAACTTCAGTAGAAGAATCGCTGACAAGCGGCTGCATACCTACTGTAAGAGGAAGTGACACCTCCAGTAAGTCTCCGCTGGCCTGTCCGTTGTTAGCGACTGGGGAATTAGTGCTTCGATCGAGCAACACTTCTAAACCAAAAGGTCGGCCAAATGAGGGAGGTCGGTTTAAAAAATTTAACAAAAAGAACTTAAAGTGACTGCAAAAAATTGTGAGTACTGCAATGTCGAGTAGATTGGATTCTGAATATTGTAATTTTCCCGTACTCTGGATATTCCGAAGCTAAATTAACAATAAAACTACGTCAATTTTGCGCAAAAAAAGATTTGTTTATGTCGGCGCTGTTTGTTTACTGGAATGATAGTCGCTCAAAGTGGCCACCGTTAATTAAGAATTTTACGAAACGATTTTTTTCCGGTTGTTTTCTGTACTTAGTTCAGAATAACGAACTCTATACGAAATACGGGGAATTTTTAATGCTGGTACGTATGCATAGTACTTAGTGTGTACTAGTACGTAGTAAACAACATAAGCATTAATCAACATCACTTAAAGGAGGTTACAGTAAAAGTATTTCATCAGTTCTTATGTTAATTTGTATTGCATTGCTTTTTTAAATCTAAACATGTGAAAGCTGTCCTTAAGGTTCCAGACTGCATTCACAAAAAAGGTGACAAAAGTTTTCTGAGAACGGATTCGGAATTAGTGAGTCCGATTTACCTAATAAAAATAGTTTAAAAGCGAAAAGTTGATTCCCCCTTGCTTGAATACGACTGCCCGTGCTTGGAACGGCGGGTCCATTTTACTTTACCACGTCTCGCTTTTTTAAAAGTTGACAAAGTTCTTAACTAATTACAAAACCTATTTTTTAAAAGTTGACAACGCTAGTATTTCACTTATGTTTAAAAAGCCAGTAAAACAAAAAAGGGAAAGAAAAACTCATTGGCGACGCGGGAAACGGAGTGTCTCATTACTCGGAATATTGCCTTGTTACTCAACATATTGTCCCACTTTTCTGCCTTTGCGAGTAGTAATCGTAAGTTGGTATGTAAAATAAAAATTGGAGAACACAGTAATGTGGAAGAAAATAAAACATAGAAAACAGAATAAAAAAAAGGTATGAGAGTTGTCACACGAACGAAGAAGGGGCTACCCGAAGAAAATAAATGTAGCCCAAATCTAACGCAGTCAAAGTAATCAACCAAGTAACTGTTTTGCTGCGTATGAAAGTGTGTAATTAATATTACTTACAATACTGCACGATATAATGAGAAAAAATGGCAAAATGGTTCCTTAAACTTGACGAAGCTTTACAATACTGCGTGTCAAAGTGTCCCAACACGTTAAGAGTCTTCTCTTTTGAACAGTCTGAATCGGGGTCACGAAAGTTTATTGTGGCTGAATGCGAGCAAATTTGGCGGCTTGTAAATGTTGATTATAAACAACGCCCGTATTTTTTTGAGGTGGTTCTAGAGAGTTGGAAACAAAAGTTATATTTTGACTTAGAATGGAAAATGCACTCAGTTTCTCCAGCGACAAATCTGATATCAAAATTTAGCAGTTTTGCTTTGGCTGAACTAAATACTGAAGAAATTATTGTTTTTGACTGCTCTCGAAATGAAAAGTGTAGTTTTCACGTGGTATTTCCGGGAGTCATTTTTGGCAATCTGAAGCACCTTAAAGCAACTGTGGTAAAGATCGCGCAGAAATTCCATCAACTAGAAACGGTTCCTTTGGTTGATCTTACACCTTACACTAGGAACCAGCAATTCCGAATGTACCGATGCGCGAAATTTGGACAAAGTGCGGTTTTCGAAAAACATTCACTGACAAATGTCCACACTTCAAGCGAGTACAATTTTTTCCTTCTAACATTGCTTAACACTGTGCACTGCCATGAAAAACTAAATGATAATTTCACACCCGTCTCTTTAGCGCGCAATAACGCTTACCCTGCCCGCCTGACTTTGACTTGTTCGGTTATCAAAAATTTGCTTAGCCGGTTTTTTGGTTTTACCTTAAGCAACACGTCTTTTTTCGCCAAAGTGGAGAAAGACATTGCTATTTTTTACGGCTCGAAGCTGACCTTCTGCAAAATTGTGAATCGCTTTCACCGCTCTAACAACGTATACTTTGTGCATGCCTTGGGATCATCGATTATGCAACAACGTTGCCACTCTGTCGCATGCAAAACTAGCAACTACCCAGAACTTAATGTGCTGCCTGCAGAAGCTGCCGCGCTCAGAGCACTAGTCGAAGGTATGCGATGTTGCCAAGAAACCTGTAAAAAATTTAACACGCGGCGAACCGGCTAGAAGTGCAGGCTTTGCAAAGTCTATTTAGATTTGATGAATTTCGGAGTTTTGGTCAAAAGACTTAAGTATCTATATATATTTAAATAAATCCAAGTTTCACATTTATCCAGTCACATTCACATTTACTTTTTTATTTATTTCTATTAGAAAAAATGAATACTGGAAAGGTTGTGAAAAAAACACGTGGTAATGGAAGAAACACCAAAGTCGTGCAGCTGGACACTTCTGATGAATGCGAAGACGAGCAATCAGCTGACCTTCCTGCGTTTACTATCACGAAAGTTACCGTGACTAAACCAAACCAAGAAGACGAACTGGACCATCTTGACAAAGCCTTCGCTGTTCCCGTTTTGCAGGCAAGTCCAGTGATGCAGAAAAAAACGGGATTATAAAAACGAATTAATTTCCCTAATTAACTATTAATTAATTTTTTTATTAATTAACTAAATTGTTTATTTTCCTGACGTATAACTAGTCCTTAATATTACTCAACTAAAGCAAGTGTGGGAGAACGTTTGGTAATGTAGGTAAACGCGCGCGCATCCAAAATACTGCCTATCGGGGCATCCGAGATAAAAATCTTCCCTCAGTATTAAGCGCTAACCTGCCTGTAACAGTAGTCACGTTACCGAGTAAAAAAATACTGCAACAGTGCAACCCATACTGCAACTAGCGCCTAAAGATTGGTTTGTCGTCTAAAAAGATCGGCATTTTTAATGTACACGCGCTTACGCCACCTAACATTCTCCCATTCTTACTTAGCTCAGCATTATAAAAAAAATTTAACGGAAAATTTATAATTTATTATAAGTAATATACGGGGAAGGCTCCGCACACCACGTTTTGTTATTTTTCAATTTTTTTGAAAAAACCACCTAAATCTCCTAACACCACCAGGAGCGTAGTGCACACCACCAGAGTCTCTGCACACCACTATTTTGGAAGAAAATTAAGCAGTTGTTATTACGGGCGGAAAAACAATAGCTCTTTTCGTCTCGCGGTCTGGCTCCCCTTTTTTGATACCACTCGCTGGCCTCCGCTTCCGTTATAGTTAGCGATTTTTTTCGGTTTTACTCGCTCGGCCGCCCTGCCAGGACGGTGTTTGAGTTTTTGCACACGCTTAGCTTCGAATGGTGTTATAATCCACTCCCTCAAGGTTTTTTCAGAAAAGGATCAATTTCACAAAAAAAGGTCAATCCTGTGGGTCAATTCCATTGAACAGCTCGTGCGCAAACGCTAAAGCGTAAAGGAGACAATCGATTCCGTTTCCTTGGTTTTGGACAGCCTTGTGGCTAACCGTAATCTGCTTTTCCGGCAGTGACGTCCCATAAAGCAGCCATATTTCTTCTTTAACATGCCAGTTAAGCTCCATCGCCAAACTATCATACACCAGGTCACGCAACAGCAAACACATGGCATCCGTAATGTTCGGAGAAACGGTCTGGTTGTTTCGCACCCTGGCACTATCAACATCCAGCACACTTAGTCCATTAATAATGTATCGAACGACACGGTCACCCAAAGTGACATTTACGGTGGATGTGGACGCAGGCACCAAAGGGCCCGTTTGCGCCGCTGGTAATGTTTGTCTATTTTGGCTTGAGGGCGACGATGCTTCTCCAACACGCTCGTTAAATTGCGAGTGGGTTTTGTCTCCTTTCTGGACCACTGGTCGCCCATGTTTTCTGCCTGGCACCGGAAATGCCAAAGAGCCGGAAGCAGTGGACGAAGGAAGTTTATCGCCGCCGGTTTTTGCCTTTTCCGTACCATGAGCGTCCGCATTTCCCACCGGCTCCAGACCTTCAAGTCGTGTTACGAAGTCTTGCACAAGGTTCAGATACGCAGCGAGCTCAACGCGGAAGAGGCTTGGTGGCAGCTGTGCCAGCTTGCTTTCGGCAAGTTTGCTGACTTTTCGACCAGCATTCCAACGCTCCTGTTGTCCCATTTTTGCATTGTACGGCTCGTCGTCGTTTTCCTCTTCTATGCTCCCTATTTCGGTGACCTTTTCGATCAGTCCCTTAAAATTATGCGCAGTGTAACTCGTTTTTCTGTTCCAGCGGGCTAGACAATCCCGGGCGCCCGCTACTGGTCAGGAAGGACCTAAAATGTCTTGTTGTTTTTGAAAGTAATTACATAGCCCATAGTAGTCGTATATACGACCGACTACTGCATATCTTCGAAACTACGAGTAAAATGTGGTGTCCCAAGACTACCGACGTTTCAAATATATGTAGTGGTGGCGTAAAAATGGTGGCCCGAGTCAAAACGTGGTGCGAATAGTGGTGTGCGCAGCCTGGTGGTGGTAAAAGGTGGTGTGCGGAGACTTTGGTGGTAAAACGTGATGTGTGCAGCTTTCTCCACAATATATACTATTTATTTAATTTTACAAGGCGATATTCGTCTCATATTTTGGTGAATATGCGCTGATTTTAACTATACTGTTTAATTCTGTTGTGGTTCGCGATTACAATTGAAATTATCAGGCCTAAGCAAATTACCCATGCAAATCGTGTACCGACCAATATAAAGCTCGAGTGCTTGTGTCCGTGATCGGTTTGTTTTTTTGAATTTTGGTTGCGACATAAAATACGTTTCAGAGTTCCTGAGAATTCAATAATTCTGCAATAAAGCGTTAAATAATAATAATTAATTTCTTGTTTTAAAGCATTTAATTAAATATGAAAAAACTCGTGTCTATTGCCATAATTTGTTAAGGATGTTTTGCTTGGAAACGCCCCGCCAATGTTTCCGCTTATCATCACAAACAAACGTGGAAGCAATACCGAGACTACCATTCTTGGACGTGACCGAATTCACGCGTCGTCCGGTAATTAGGCTTCTGGTCCGTGAGTGTATTACAAAACTAACGTCTGATTTTTTAGCTTTCGTGTTGTCGAAAAAGGCAGTGAAAGCGATGCAGTCAATGAATTTGCCGACTGCGGTCAACATCACCAAATATTCTTTGAACTCCGAGTACGAACGTGGCATGAACGATTCCCTTTAAAATTAAAATCTCCAATAACCTGTATAATTTCACAATTTTCAATTAACTTGTAGTGGCGCCATTCACATTGATGACTTGGTTCCAATAAAAACCGGCTGTACGATGGGAGACTACATTGCCTCCAGACTGCCTGTGCCACAGTTTGTGACTGTCCAGTCCGTTGGTTGTACCAAGGCAGTGAAGATGGATATCTTTGATTTGGACAAAGAGACAGATCGGTACGAAAAGCACACCATACGAACTCGCAATGTGTACACAAACGTGGTATCAACACAAACTTGTGCATACTGTATGTACAAAAACAAAAACTTGCATTTCAGAGCGGAGCTTGTGGTTCAGATCACTAATGTTGCGGTGAAACACAAATCGAAAGGCACAGGGCGCTGCCTCCTATTTGAAGCAACGGACGCAACTGGGAACATGAGTGGCCGCCTTTGGGATAACGTTGAAAAATTCGAAGATCTGCTACTAAATGGCGCGCATGTCTCTATCAAGTTTCCAAAAATCGCCTACGCAAAGACTGAATTTAATAAGCCCTACAGTTCGCCTTTTCAATTAACCATCATTCGTGACCGCACTCAAATTACCACTATAAATAAGTGACCTTTCTGTTTTTCTTCAAAGCTGTTTTCAGTAATCGTTTTTCATTTATATTATTATTGTTTCATAGTAACGCGTGACTAACGTTACACTTGACGTGACTTTTTCATTTGCTTAACAATTATACGAGTATATACCTTCTTTACTTTATTTTTTACTTTGTGACAACTGACTTCCTTTATTACCGACTTTGTGAGGTCTGATTTGCATTTATCGCTATTTGTTGCCTTTTTTTCGCATGATTATTATTTCTTGAAGCTTGAGTAACGTTAAACTCTAATTGACAGTAGCTAACGATTGATTAAACTTGTCTCAAAAGCAGTTTTGGTCAAAAAATTCAAACTAAATGTACATGAAATGTTCATTTTTCTGGAGGTTTGCAACATACGTAGTGCAATCCGAACTGAGGTACATATGTAGTAGTATACGTACCATTTTTCTGGTCTTTAAACAGCGCGGTCTTTATAAGGTTTTGCAGACGGTCGTGTTTTAACCATAGACTTACAGGTGCCTGCAAACTACTAGTTACATTTTTGCGCTTAGGCTTTTTCCACTTGAATTCCCCATCGTTTCCATGACGATTGTCGTCAAACATATGGTATTGAGTGTCCACAGTCTTGTGACATACTTTAAATTTGATGAGGCATCAAAACGAATACAACACAACTATCTATATACCCGTCCCGTTACAAGCCGAGCACAGGTAAATATCGGACGACGACTTCTAGAAACTTGATAATATTTCGAGGATGTTTCTTACCGCATACTTATATACTGTCATAACACAAAGTACTAAATACGTTTTTTTAGTACAGTAAAACCTCTGTAATTCGAACACCAACGGTTAAAACAAATTTGTTCAACGTAATATGCTACTGTTCAATATGCTACTGCTACTGTTCAATATTCGCAGTATCTCACGCAGTATATTAGACGCGCCGATTCCTGTCCGGGAGTATATCAGTACAAGCTTGTCCAATAATTTCTGCCGGTTCGAAACAACGAAATACACAAATTCGCGTATTACGCCAAACGTAGTGTAGTGGCAATCCTATAGCGCGAACTTCGCGCTAAATATGTGCTATCTGTACCTTTACGACAGAAATTACCGGACAAGCTTGTACAGTTCGTTTTACTGCATAGTACGGACTGCAGGCATGTACGGACTGCCGACAAGCTTAGTGCTTAGTTAATGCTTACGCACAGTCGCACATTAATTTCAAGAGTAAGTTTGTTCTCCTTCACGTTCGCCAAAATGGTGGGCATAAACTTAGAAGCAATTTCTTGCACTTATAAAAAACAGGAGGTTTCCAAAAGCAGTTTCTTGCACTTAACAAACCGTAACTGAACTGCAATACTGCCTACTACAGAAATCACCAAAAATAAATACAATCACTAAAACGCGGAGGCTAAAGTGCAGCTAGTAATAATATCTTATAAATGGTATTGTCACAATATTGTCATGTGACTTATTGGGATTACTTTATTACTCTACGGACAAAGTTTTTCACGACAGTACAGTTCACACAAAATGCTTATTGCTTAGTCAAGTCCGTCGCGCCATACCTGTAGGTACAGGGACCTTGCTAAGTAACCTTGATGTTCTCGCTAACTAGAAAACTTTAAACGTAGCCACGCTGTGACTTAAACGAGTAAAATTACCGAAACGGGTTTTGCATCCTCAAAAAAATGAAACCATCTACCAGTAAATCTGGAAATGCTAACGTGACTGAAGAACAAGCGGCTCAAGTTTTCGAAAGAGCCCTACAGCTTGCATTTCATGACCTTACCGAAGTTGCTTCTCCCGAATTGTGCAAGGCTTTGTCCTGGTTTGCCGTTGACGGCAAAACAAAGGAATCTGCAGTGCTGATGTCTTTGATGGCCCTGACAGCCACCATTGCCAGTGGGAATCTTGCACTGAAACCGGACGAGGCAATAGACCATCACATCGTACCTGCTTTACTCATGCTAGCAATTGCAGCTCCAGGAAGCGGGAATTCACCGGCAATTGAGCGCTACTGCTTAGGACCGCTGTCTGTCATTGAGTCACTATTCCAAAAGAAATTCCACGACCGGCCTTCGAATAGCGCCAGTAAATATGCAGATAGTCATTAACGAGTTTGCTATAAAAGTTTAGGAACACACGTCTTTTGTATGCTTGTTTAATTTGAAAAAAAATTTTACCGCTACTTTACATGCATTACCGTTAGCTAATTTGGCTATACCGCTGCTCTATACATTTCAGAGGAATATTTTTTATGCAAAACTATTTCTTTTTGTTTTATGGAATACATTTTAATCTCTTTATTTCTAACATAACAGTATGTAATTGTGCAGTGTGTAATACTAAAGCCAAAAATTATGCTAACTTGCAGGCTTTCGGAAATTAATAAAAGAAACCGATGGAAAAGTTTCGATCATTGGAGACGAGTTTTCCAAATTCTTACACGACTTGACCCAGGGCCCAGCAGCGCAGGAGACAATTGCATTCATTAACACAGGCTGGAGTGGCGGGCGCCTCTGTGCAACCTACGCAAAAGCGTGCAGCGTGAAAACGCAGGACTCCTGTGTTTCTTTATACGGCACAATACACCCTCCTACCCTAGCGAATACCATTCGAAATTGGACCGGTGGGGAAGGTTTGAAGGTGTGTACCGCAATTCATAGGTGCCTGTAATGCAGTACGCTTATAATACAACACACCATTTCATTTTCTGCTGCTTCTGTAATCGCATATGAGAATTCTGATTACGAACAGTTAGTATTCGTTTTTTGCTTAAAATACGTTTGGAAAAACTATTTCCACTGTTTGGAAAAACTCTGCCGCTCAAGAACTATTTCATGGCTACAGAGAACGTTTTTCCAGATGTGTGATTGAAAAAATTTATTGTCCGCAAAACCAAGATAAAACTGCCTGGTTGTTAATTCCAGTCCAACACGGTACTATTATACCACTGCCGCTCATGTTGGTACAGTTATCTTCAAAAATTACCATGAATCTCCCGTCGGCAAAGATAAACTTAACTACTATTTAAAAATCTGTCCGACTTCTTTTGCGTTTGAGGTTTTCATGCCGAACTAAAGCTAAAAAGTCATTCGACCCATCGAAATTGTTAGGCATTTGCCAAAAGAGAATCTTTCGAGGTGTTTGCCAAACTCACAACTGGTCGGCGTGGTCGCTATCGACTGTACTCTCTGTGCCACCCGATTATAGTTAGGCTTGAGTAGGGTTATTATCGGTACGATTTTGCACCGGTACACCGGTGAAATTCGAGAAAATCACGGTGAAATATCGGGGAAGATTCGCGTAGTCCACTGGTGTAAGGAAAAAATCACAACGTCCATAACCGGTGAAAACAGCGGTTCACCGGTGTCAAAAATACTAGAAAAAAAAAGGAAAAATGTGTATAAAAAAACTTTTACGAATAACTTCTCGTATTTTTTTAGCTGTTTTCAACTACTTTTCAGCTGGTGCGCATATGATGAGTGAAGAAATTATTGTTTTGGCTGTCGTTTTTCGTTCCTTTTGGCGTTTTGGAGAAATCATCACTAGAGTCGGTGCGATAACAAAATCGCAAAATTAACACCATCGACTATGAAAGGCTTAATTTACGCACCAAATTGCACCGTTAACAACCCTAGGCTTGACTGACCGTAGTCATGTAAACAGAGAACTGGAAACTGGCCTCTTCTGCCTGATCGCCGCTGGCCTCTTCTGCCTGATCGCCGTATAGTCACCCGGTACCGTATTAAAAGTCTCGTGGTGCTAGTCACCCTATTCTTACTGTGCAATGGCAATAAAAATTTTTTCGAAGTGCATATTAATGCCGCTTTCCACGAAGTATTCAAGAAAAGCATTACATATGTAAATCACTCTTCCCTAATGATGAGCACGACTAGGCAGTGGCCATTTAGTGGAGGTTGCGAGCCAACCCAGATCATATTACGAGGTACTCGTGAGTTGTGGTCATATTAACGTAATTTCGATACATGTACTGTGCGCATGACGGCGATTGTCATGGAAACTAATAGTGCAGCACAATCACATTTCCAATATTGACTGACTTGTTCTGCTCTTATTTATTTAACAGGAACGCTGGCTATTCACAGTTATTGAAGATGACACAGGCAATGCGAGAAAATTCCGAATGCACAAACAATCCAATACATCACAACCTTACAACATTCAAGCTACCTTTACGGCCCTGTACAGATTTTTAACTGATCAACCCGAACTATTCGAAATATCATTGTCAGACGAAGCCCTCGAACGATATTTCCAACTTTCCGAAGAGATGGAGCAGTTAAAAAAAGACCGACATGTCAAAATTCGCGAAAAAAAGATGACCTCGTTTACTCAGAGTTATGCGAAGCTGAAAGAAATGGTGTTAAAACTTGCTTTGATACTACATGTGCTAGAACGCGCTCTTCAAAGTTTCAATGAAACCGGAACCATCGATATTCCACAGCAGATCTCCTTAAGTACTTTCGAACACGCCATCAAGTATGCGCAAACAAGTCAGCAGGTTTTGAAAATATTTTCCAACGAAAATGTCCCAACAACTGCAGAAGGTGACATGCTTCTGCTGTATGGCAACCTACTAACAACTCAACTGGTGTCGGAAGCAACACGCTACAGGAACTGCTACCCTTTTGCAGAAAATGAGAAATTCGTTCAGTTTGCAACAACACTTCAACAGCAAGGCTTAGGTCATCTTGAGAAAGTCCAGTACAAAAAAGGAAATGCTACCTTCATGACATCTGTTGATGTTTTCTTCAAAGCACCGCCTTCAGATTCCATTGCTTCACTTCTTGCTACTCATAGCATTACATTAAATGACTATGCAGAAGCCTACAACGCTAAGCACAAAATGCGACCATCAAAAAGGAAATACCTGAACCACCTCATACAGGCATTAGATGAATTTGATCCATACGTCACACGTGTCACCATACTGCGGAATTCCGAAGAGGTGGAAGAACAACACGAAACCGAAGATGACCGTTTTCTTTGTAACGAAGCCGATACTGACAGCATCACCTCAGAAACGAAAAGCGACGGCTTGGAAACAATCATTCAGGATTTTGAAAAAGACGAGTTCCTTCCAACCTGCGATTTTGAAGATGTACATGAACGAAATACCGAACCAGCGACGCCGGCGAAGAAAGCGAAGCTCGTGTGAATTTTCACTTTTTTACTACTAAATCTTCAGAATTTTTACAGGTTTACTCCTGATTTTCTCTTATTCCTAAAGATTTTTCACACGTTTCAGTTATTCAGCGTTACTCCTCATTTCAGATACTTTTGGTTTCGTATTAGTTTTTGCAGTTTTGTTCATTTTTAGGGACATTTCTTTTAATCTAGACTTCAACGAAGATAAAAGGACTTTAAAATATTGCAGAAGCTTTACATATGCGTTTTTTAGTTTAAGTTTATTTTTATGTTGGCTGGCTGGTGGGCTAAATTTAGCTCCGCCAAGCCAGCGGAGTTTCTTTAACTTTTTCCTTTCAAAATGTAACAGAAGCAACTTTTTTCTGTAGTAGAATGTTCAGTAATTTTTTCTGAGTCTTGCAACTGTAAGTTTGTACGGATTGGTTGTATATAATCGATATGGGGACCAAAAAACGCTGCAGCTTATCTTCAGTGGCTTATTACCATCTAAATATACAGGGCATTAATAATCGCAATTCGACCAAGCATAATTTGGTTGAAAGTATTCTTCTCTCTGATGATAACATTTCTAAAATTTTCTGTATTTCGGAATCTCATCTTTCATCTTCGGATCCTGATCAATTATATGAAGTCCCTGGATATAAGCTGTTTCGTAAAGATCGCAGTAAAGACCACTGTAAAGTTCGCGGCGGAGGTCTCCTGCTGTATGTGCCCAATTATATCACCAGTAAACTCGTTGATAGCAAAGAAACGTATGCTCATTGTGAAAGTTGGTGGGTTTTATTACAAATCGGTAAGCGAAAAGTATTGGTGGGTTTGATTTACCGTGCTCCGGATTCCAACGCTTCAGATACAAAATATTTGTTTGCGCATATCGATAATCCTGTCTCGGTTCCCTGATTGTGATTACGTGCTTACGGGAGACTTGAATATCGATACTTCCATCAGTAGTACTCCGTACCACCGCTATTACCATGATCTGCAAACAAATTTTAATCTCGACGAAAAGGTGATAGGTTATACTCGCGTGGCCACCAGGAAAATGAAGAAGGATAACATGAATTCTATCAGCTGCACCAAAATCGATACTATGCTGTGCTCCCCGCCTTCCCTGTATGCCAGTATGCCTGCTACCGATGTCAGTTTTTCGGATCACCGCCTGTGTCGTACTGTTGCACAGTACAAAACTATAATTCCAGTTCACAAAACAATTCAATTTCGATTGTGGAGCCATACGGACGATAACAAGTTTTTGGATGAAATCGGCGAAACAGTGAAGCGCTACGAACAGTATGATGAACAACGTGACGTAAATGAAGTTGTGGAGAATTTCGTGCAAGACCTCTCAGCTGTGGTTGACAAATGTTTTCCTACACGCTCCCGACGTGTAAAGCGTGCATCTCCACCGTGGATGAACGATGATTTAAAAGCTATGCTAAAGATCAAAGACCAACTGTACGAAGAGAAATGCAGATCACGTGGGACACCGATGTACGATCAGCAAGCCTGAGAGTATAAGCGAGTGAAGCTAGAAGTGACCACGGCTATTTTAAATGCTAAAGAGGCGTTTTTCAAAGAAAATCAGCGCAGGAGTGACGTAGTGTGGAAAGAAATCGGCAGAACAATGAAAAAAGATGCGAAACCTAGTGCGGTTGCAGTTAATTTAAATGCGATTAATCAACATTTCGTGACAATGGGCCAACACGGGGCTCCGCACGATCCCCCACAGCGACCGCCACTGGGGGACGATAGTAACGCTTTGTTTTCTAGGTTTGCGCATGTTGATACAGCAGTGGTGGCTGGGATACTTCATCGAATGGCCGCGAAGAAAAAAAGCCCCGGACCAAACGGGATGCCACCAAAACTGCTACAGAAAATCACGCCGCTCATCGCTCCAGTCCTTACGCAAATGGTGAATCAGTCGCTGAAGGAGGGAGTGTTTCCTTCCGTCTTCAAAAAAGCCGAAGTTTACCCCTTGCCAAAAAGTGTTTCCCCGCAGTGTGTTGATGACTTCCGCCCCATTTCGCTACTTTGTAATTTCTCGAAGGTGTTTGAGAAATGCGTCCAATTGCAGTTAGTGCGTTTTTTGAAAGAACAACAGATCTTATCCCCAAATCAGTCTGGATTCAGAGACGGTCATTCTTGTGAAACGCTATTGTTAAAAACAACGGAGAAATGGAAAAAGGCATTGGATAGCAGGAATGTGACAGCAGTGTGTTTTTTAGACCTCAAGAAAGCATTTGACAGTGTAAGCCATTCGCGACTACTGGACAAGATGAAGAAAATCGGAGCCGGGGATATCGTAGTAAAATGGCTACATAGTTACCTTACCGGCAGAGTCCAAAGAGTACGAGATGGGAAACGAACATCCGACTGGCTGCCATTAACATCTGGCGTCCCGCAGGGCACAGTGCTAGGACCAATCCTGTTCACCATCTACATTAATGATGTACTTACTGTTAACGCAGAAGATTGTGAGGTTGATTGTTTTGCAGACGACACAATTGTCCATGCAACTGGAAAAACGAAAAGTATTGCTGCCGCTAAACTGAATGCTGGACTGGTGCGTGTCGGCCAGGTTATGGAAGAAAATCTCTTGCACGTAAATGGAAAGAAATGCCAAGCCATTTACTTATGTTCTGACCGAAACAAACAACCGGATCCGGAAGTCGTCATCAACGGGTCGGTTGTCAGCATTGCAAAATGTGTACGGTATCTCGGCGTTGAGATCGATAACCACTTGAAGTGGAGTGAACAGTTCAGAAAGGTGCAACGGAAGGGGAATTTCGGCATTGCCATGATTAAGCGAGCACAACAAGGGCTCAGCATGTCACAGCGCAAAGGTCTTTACCACGCTTGCTTTGGATGCCATATCGGACACCAGTCGCCGGTATGGTCTGCAGCGTCTTCGACTGAGCGCGACAAGCTGGACGGACTGCAACGTAAAGCTCTGAAAACCATCAGTGATTACAAGATGCCGGTTACTCCGGAACTGTATCAGAAGTTGGGTATTCCTCACATATTCGACCGATGGCGTCAGAGCGATGCGGTGTGGTTGTTCAAGTTCTGGAACAGAAATCAGTTCTCACTTCCGGCCTACCTCCTGGACATGATCCAAGTAAAAGATAACACCGCGCACTACAACTTGCGGAAGCCGGCCCGGATCGATGTTACGCGGGCAAAGAAAGTTATCGGAGGGTCGACTATGGAAATGCGACTAAAGCGTCTTCTTGATAAAATTCTTGCTGTTATCCTAAAATTCTCGAAGCTAGTTCTGTACCTTCTTTTAAATTTCTACTCAGATCTGTTAATCTCTCCTAAATGTTTTGTTAACAGAAAATTGTTTTGTTCGACCAGACTTGAAGTCCCTTGGGGGTTGTCTGCTCTTGTGCCGTAATAATAATAATAATAATAATATGATCCTAAGTAACATTAGCCAGTACGATGACCAGGTGTGCTCGTCTCTAGTTTCCCTCTGCTAAACAATGCCGCGATGCGCACTATAACCAGCCGCCACAATTGACCAATTTAGGTGTGTACCGGGCATTATGTGCCGGCATGGAACAGATAATCATGACACAATCAGTCGACCCGATCTTCGGTGTCCCCTTCTCAAAGTGTCCCGCAGCGGACACTTTTCCGCCTGACTGACCAGTAAACACGGTCAGGCCTGGACTCGAAACAACGTTCGCTGGATCCGGAATAAATCGACACTTTGGACACGTCGAAAAAATAGGAGACATTGGCCTTTCCACACTTACAACCAAAAACACTGCCTGCTGTTTACTTATTTTACTGCTGTTTGCTGCTCCGCTCCGCTTGCCTAATAAAATAATTTACAGTATATGCTGTATAAATAACTTACAGTATATTTTGCCCATTAAAATAATATACAGTATATGCTGCCAGGAAGGTTTGTGTATATTTACAAAATAATTATTAGCTAGGTATAATTATTTGCCTATTAAATAATTTTGTATCAATAGAAATGAGTTTAAATTTCTGCTGCCAAGAAACATTTGCATTTACTTAAAAATAATTATTCGCTTTATTAATTTGCTCATTAAAATTGTCTGTAAGTACTCGTAGAAACAGCCTACATTTAATCCTGGCCTTTCTTTAAATAGTCATTAATAAAACTACATTTAATCCTCGCCTTTCTTTAAATAGTCATTCATAAAATGATCGTATTATAGTTCCGTTTTTTTCTTTAAGGTTTGATTCAGACGTTTATTCCCTTTTAAAAGGTTTCAAGTTTTTAATAAGTAGGAATAGGTTTTTTGTAAATACTATAATGCACTAATATACTGCACTGCTATATTAATTAGTAAGTACGAGTATGTTACAAATAGCTGTTTATCTGTAAGATAGACATGTTACGTAATATCAGAAGGCCACCATGCTCCACCATAGGCTAAAACAGTAGGTTACTGTACCACCATTACAATGGTAGCCGAAGCCTTCACTCTATGGCCTAAAGAACATAAAAAGCATGGACGATGTGAAACCGAGCGTCATCATAATAATGACCTTATAAAACCTTTGATATGAACCTCAACAACCTAACCATAATAATATTTTAGTGACGTAACTTAAGTAGGCGGGGCTGTCACACTGTCACCAAAATTCGACCACAAAAGGAAAATAATAATTTTTAAATAAATTTAAAAAATTATTATTTTAATGACGTAACTGAAGTAGGCGGGGCTGTCACACTGTCACCAAAATTCGACCACAAAAGGAAAATAATAATTTTTAAATAAATTTAAAAAATTATTATTTTAATGACGTAACTTAAGTAGGCGGGGCTGTCACACTGTCACCAAAATTCGACCACAAAAGGAAAATAATAATTCTTAAATAAATTTAAAAAATTATTATTTTAATGACGTAACTGAAGTAGGCGGGGCTGTCACACTGTGACAGCTGGCGAACAAAGGCTCACGATAGTGAGAGAAGGCTTTATTGTGGATAGCAATAAAGTACAGAGAACCAAAAACACAAAGGCTC